GCCTTTTTCCGTCTTATTTGACCAACTTCCACCGAAGATCAGTGCGGAGAACTGGAGACCATGCGCAATAATGTCTCCTGTGGCACAGTATTCATGATGTTTTCAAATCCGATTCTGCAATATCTCACTAGCTTTCCGGTGGCCTAAACGCGTCAGCAGGTTAACGCAACCTTCGACGGCACCTCAGGCCCCGCTTTGCACTGGTCCAACAATAGCTAATACAATAAACACTTTACATCACCTTCAACCTTCGATGCAACGCACGAACTGAACTGTAAGGCAAACTTTTAGCAGACAAATGCATGGGACCGTGATGACTGTATGAACGTGATCTAGGGTATCGTCTGATGTGGGATACCTCGAGGTTGTTGTGGTATCTCTTTCTAACGGTTAAGGTTAGGTGTGAAACATACCCTCTGGGTGGGTTTTCTGCGCGATTTCCAGTAGGCAGCTGGTTGTCTATCGAAGGTGCACAGCTCTACTCTGAAGAGTTCGAGAGCTACTTTAATCAATGACAGTGCCGCATCTGTATCTCTCCTCCCAAAACTATTCACTCTACAAAGATTTGTGGAACTCACAGGGCCCTCCTGTCGCTCTTCACCTAGATTCCACAAGAACTGTGTTACATCCCTTGGTTTCTTTCTCATTTCTAACGGCCCTAGATCTCGTTGAAGTCGTAACATTTACTTCTTTCATTTATTCTGCAGCTGGCGACACTCCAACTCATGTCCTCCTTGTGACTCAGTCAACGCAATGGCTGTGATATATCGAGAGACTGGCCTACTATCAGAGGCATGACACTGGAACACATCAACGCGGGCTTGCTGGTTTGCCGGAGGGTCATCCGAGTTGCACACATTGACCATGTTTGACGAAGAGTACATGTTGCGCTTTACGTTCCGAATAACAAGTGTTATCCGATAGACCTTCGATTGTTGAGCACTGTAACGGCCAAAAAACAATTATCCCGGTCAGAATGCAGTGTCCAGTGCAGTCGATTGGTATTCGTGACGCCTTACTTAGTTGGGTAAAATCATTTCACAGTGATCGTACTCAAATCGTGAAAGTATGTTTCGTGCCGTCTGAACCTAAACACAACTAGTAGAGTTATACGGGATAGTGTCCTTGGGCCTTTGTTGCTTATAAATCACATAAACAGTGTGTGTAACCACCATAGTGAAAGTGAAACATTCTTACACGCTGATAATCTGGATGTTGTGCATGTTTGTCAGTCTCATGAACTACGCAGTTCTCTGGATACTGCCCAGCAGGAGCTAGGTAGACTTGTAACATGGTGTGCAGAGTCCCACCATGAATTCAATAATGGCAAATATGGTTGGCTTACCATGGGCAACCATAACCCTGGCCTGACCGAACCCGACCTTCGGTGTGTGTAGACGCTCTTCCGCGCTAGGTCTTGACGTCAGATATCTCTGTGTAAAAATAATGCCATTCGGATGGTCACTCTCTTATCGTCCATTTCCATGCACCACAGCAAGTATTCCTAGTGGAACTGGTCCATATCACCCTTAAATGTTACTTGGTGAACTGGAAATGCATTGCTTTTGACATTCACCCTGGTTGTATAATTGTGGCTACTCACTGATACTCCAGTTTGTATACACGAGTCGTTTGTGGTTAGCAAAGCTAAAAACCGAAGAATTACTTAACAAGTGGACGGTTATATTATTAAACAAGAAAGGAGGAGAGCGGACTAACAATGTCGGCTAGTTTTAACGCAAACTTCTAGTCCTGGTCTCTATTGATTCCATATTGGCAGCTATTTACGTGAGGGGAGTTGACGAATTCAATTTCCAAACTTCTTGTCGTAGAATTACTGAAATGCAGTACCTTGCGTTCTGTGTCTGTCTTATTGGAGTGCATTCTAGTTTTTGAATGGTCATAGATATCTCCCAGGTTTTGAAAAACCTGAATGGATGGAGATAATCGGTTAATAATTTATCTGGTCTAAAGATAGTTTTGCCGTTCCTGATCTGCGGTTGACGGAATGCTTCTTGTTTACATTCCGTTGGAATATATATCTTACCGCCTTTTTAGAACATCAGGGAGTAGCGTCACACACTTCTCCGGAATCAATAGTATAGGGTTCAACATTCATGAATGCAGAACAATGACCATACTGCTCATGCTACACAAGGTACTGGAAAGCCTGGTTGCAGATGTTCTTTAGGACCTACTGGAGAAAGACAATGTCGTCTACCCCACTCGGTATAGCTTCAGAACCAGACGGGCGTGTGCAACAAACCTGACGATCTCTTGGGATGACTGGACCAATAGATGGGACAGCAAGCAACCAGTCCAGGTTATATTTCTGGACTCCAACAGGGCTTTTGATGGCGTCCCGCAATGTGCCATGCTTGCTGAACCGAAAAAAGTGGGCGTGACAGAATCATCCATAGCATGGCTTGCAGCATGCCTAGAGGATAGAGGCCTGTGTGCTAAAGTGGACAGAATTCAGTTGCCCCAGTGGAGAACAAGAACTGGAGTTTCTCAAGGGGAGATCCTTGGGTCCCCTGTTTCTTCGCCTCATAGGTGACCTCCCCGTTCATACCTCCTCATCCTTCCTCACATTTGCTGATGAAATCAATGTATGGTACGTAGGGAGAATATCCCAGGCCACTCCAATACTATTTAGTACATTTTGAATTCTGGATAGCTGAGAGTGGTTTCAGCTTAAACCCGGAGATCCGCAAGATAATACATTTTCAAAAACTGGAAGGGATGAGGACTAGCTGCTTCTCAAACGACCAAACAGGCACCGAGGTATCCATGGAGGAGGGCCTGGGACTGAACTTCTTCGATATGCTAGATAACATTGCCAACTATAAAGGAATGGCGGCTAAAGCGAAAACTACCGTACACTGTTGAGTGTGGCAGTTGTAGACTATAACCTCCGATTTATATCTCATCGCAGTTATGGCTTATGCTGGGCAACACTTAGGAGTGTTCAACACGGTAGCGCTTCCCTTACCACCCGGGGGATGTAAACACTTCCGAAGGGGGGAAGAAAAGGATGACAAGGCCAACTGTCAGAACAATCGACGAAACATATGCACAACGCCCTAGACAACTTGACTCGTTCCGCTCAAGCTGTTGAAGGAAAAGAGGCCACCTAATAACAGCCCACAAGGCAATCCCCCAAGTGGACCACCCCAGCTGGAAAACATTTTCGGTCCGGGAACTACAGTCTTGCGAGAACCCCACTCGCACACCCCGCCGAGGAGAAAAGAGGGAAGATGGATCGAAAATCTGTCACTGAGCGTGCGCTATGGAACGCTCCACCGAAAGAAGTAGCCGAACCCACCTTAGCTGACTATTTTAAACGAATGCTTGACAAACCAGTGGGCGAAAATGGCTGACCACTGCCATATTTTGGTAACAATCGGAGGTATACTCATCCGTCCCTGTGTTGCTTAGCCTGAGTGTCCATACTATGAACCATGCCCTCTCCATGCTCTTACTAGTAACACAGTTTTTCCATAAATGCTTTTGCTCTCCTCTTGTTCTCTATTCGACCCATCTGTTACACTAATCCTAGAGTAACGCTTAACATTCACTTGCAGGCGCCAATAAAGACGGGAGAGGTAAGGGGGTAGTTGATCTTATGAGCAGCTCCGTTGCTCCCCCAAGGAAACCAGCCTACGAGTTGTAGAAGAAAACCTGTGAACCATTCACCACCCCAAAAGGTATAGGTAGATAAGCCGCATAAACTTTTGAGGCTATCGAACGAGTACAACCAAACAAAAAGAACCAATCCTTATAACCTAGACAAGACAGTTCAAACACCAAAAAGTTCTTCTACCCGCAATATAGATTTTGGATCTCTAAGACTTCTGAACTGTTTCTCATAGTTTTATAAATCTACGTACGGCCGCTCCAGGTCTTCAGTATGGTGGCTTCCCCCCAACAGTTAAGAAACAGTCCAGTGTTCCTGAGAAAATTAAAGCATCTGTAACAAAATCAGTTGTGGGACTAAGGGGGAAGGCATACTTTGGGAGACTGAAAAACTTCAGTCTGTTTACTTGAGGCCATTGCGGACGAACCGACCCCACCATGGCTTAGAAGATCATCGGCTGGACAAGTCGACCTAAACGACTTACTTTACCTGCAATGTCAGGACGGAACCCCACCAGGATAGTCGATTGTAGAGTCAACACCAGGGGCAGTTCTAACTTTCCATCAGAGTATGTGCATTGCAGAATGCATTGCAACGAAATGTAGTCACAGCCCCCTCTCAGTAGGCTCATTCGAAAGGTGGTCATAGAGTTACACCATTTCATATAACCTACTGCAGACACACTCAGGGTATTACTGAAAGCACCACCCCACCACTAATTCCTTCACATTTGCCACTCATCCCCCTAGTTGATCAAAAGGTGGCTTATCTGCTAAATCTTCTGCAATAACTAAGCTCACATCGTTTAGTTTTATCTTGCAGGATAACTTCCAAACGCCTCGACCCATTGTCTTGCTTTCCATATTTATGCACCTATATAGACTGGACTCATGAAAGGCCCCTAACCTCCACAGAAACCCATAGTCCCCTAGCATTATCAACCTACGAGTTGCAATTACCAAGCCACAAAAACATTCACCTCACCGAAGCCAAAAGCAGGGGAAGGAAAGAGATTTCTCTGTCTACTTCAGGAGCAAAGTGAACAACACTAACGAAGTCCTAAGAACTAGACACCAGAGATAAAATCTACCAGTTTCTTTTGGTCGCACTGTCGATGTTGGCTGCTGAAACCAGCCAGTAAAGGTGAGACGCTTCTTAAGGTCTAACAGTGGGAGGAGAAATACTAACTGGCTCCTACTACCCAGTTAATCAGTTATTGGATATTAAAAATGTCATGTGGTTTATGTACATAACTACACTAGGTCGTCTGAAGGCATCTTTTCGACTAATGTTGTCGGGATGCCTTGCTGTGAAAGTCTTTTCTTTAGATTATTACCTCTCGCCACCAATAGACGAGCTAGATATGTGTTATTCGAAATTCTCAGGAGCTTATTCAAGTCGAATGCCGGTTATTCGAGTATATGGTACAACAACTACAGGTATTTTAAGCAGTATATATTGTAATCCTCTCAAGGTCAAAAGATCTGCGTAAACGTGCACGGAGTTTTGCCATATTTTTTCGTCGAGCTACCAGCTGTAGAATCAGACGTCGAAAATTTTATTAGAGATTTTGTGTTTTCTCTGGAGAAATCTATCCGTTCTAAGTTAAGCACCCCTTATATGAGAGAAATGTACATTTTCGATGCTTCAGTGGTATCCGGTGTGTAAGTTATTTTGTCTTGTCACTCCTGCATAGTTCTATATACGGTTATCATGATTCAGCGAAACCCTTCATCAAACTGTACCTCATTGATCCTGCCTTAGTATCTACTTGTTCCGAACTACTACAAAGTGGAGCGATATTAAATCGTGCTTTCCAAACTTATGAGACTCACATTCCTTACTTGTTGCAGGTTTGATCTTTATTTTAAATTTTCACTTGATTTCAGTTCTGTGTTGATTATAATCTTTATGGTATGAACCTGCTTTATGCAGGATATTTTAAATTTCGTGGTAAGTCTTTAGATCCATTACTTCTCACTTCCCGTAGTCTCAAACTACATAGGCTTTCCATCGTTGTTGAAAAAATCTGAAGACTTGTGGAGTCCTTCAAAATTCAACTCGTAAGTCACTACAGTTATCGATTTTATGTTGTAATTCTTGTCCGAATTTATGGCTACCGAATTGTTTGAAAAGTATTTAGTCTTATAATAGGTGCTGGAATGAGATTGGAGTACTGCTTTACTTGTTTTCGTTTTATGGGATTATGTTTTACATTAAAAAGAATTTCGGGGAGATACATTACTGAACCGTGACATTGTTCAATTGGTTTAACGTACACAAATAGTGTAGTAAGACTTACCTCTGGAGAAATTTAGTGTCTATTTCACTGAAGTTTTTAGGTATCACCCATGATTTTCAAAAATCCTGGGAGGTCAACCATTATAGTTGTAGAATCTAGTCTTTCAGTTCCATTCCAAAAGAAAAATTCCACCTTCATACTTACATGCATTATTTTTTATTAGCCTCACTAGATAATCTTCAGCCAGTCTGGAAACCGTATTAATTTTCTCCTTTTCTGAGAAAACAAGCTGGGCTTCCAACATCCTACATCGATGACGTGGGCGTAGGAAACTGATGGAATTTGATCCCTCGCATCTAGTTCCTGGGGTTTGGTCCTTGTTGTTCGGTTTAATCCTGCTCCTGCTCCAACTTAATAGATATCAAACACAGTCAGTTCCAGTGACTTCCTCATTAACCATTCAACTATTCCTTTCAAGTTGAATTATGCTTGTTTCAAGTTTATGTCGTTTGGATAATCCGCGGCCTCTGTCCAATCGAACAGTTTTGCCTTCCATACGTTTTTTTATTATGGCACACACACAGGGATTGGTTATATGTGCAATGTAAATTAACCTCCATGCAATGAAGATACCCTGTTCCATAAAATGCACTACTTACATTATCTGAAATCTTCCGATGTGGTCTGTACTGACTTGTAGGTACTGCTGAATATCACAGGTCCTTAAATGGACTGTTTGTCAGTAGCTCCGTAATGTGCTATTTGTTCCTATACTTGTTAATGGTGAACGACAAAGCTATCTGTCACATCATGTTATGTTGGTAAGGAATAGTTGTTTAGTGAGTCACCGTCGCATTCGGTACTCTCATGTCAATCATGTTTGTTGCCTGCACACCGACTGTATAGATAGTTATCACTGCATTGGTGTGATGGACTAATTATGTTAAAAAGCCCACTATCACATCCATTGCCTACTTTTTGGTTATACTTAGAGGCGTCAGTTGTCGTACAGTCTTAAGATATTCGTTTAATTTCTGAAATGTGTATGGCGAATTCTCGGATTTCATGTCATGTAAAAGCCCGTAATTTTTATATTGTTTTCCATCATAGGAACTCAATTGCCTGCACATTTTTTAAAATTAGATTACTTAAGAAGGGATAATAAGTAGAATCGTGAGCGATCACTGCTGATGACCACATACTGAGAAATGACTTTCTTAATGAAACCAAATGAATAAGCATCATTTATGGTTTCCTAAAATTGAAGCATGAGGCGCGTGCTCACTAAGATTACTCCTTGAATACCTTAAACTTGACTTTAACCTGACTTCCTTGTTTCTCAGAATCGATAAACTAGGCAGCAATAATTTAGGTTGAGTTCATGCATAATGGTTAATGTCTTCCCAATACGATCTTTTCCCTTATATGAAATGAATATATTGTGTAACTAAAGTGTGAATATGTTACTTGGGATTGAAGGACGTTCAGTGTAAGCGTGTCATTCTACTTGGGTGAATTTTAACTATGAAGTACTACTAGGCAATGAATCATTCATTATAGTCGCCATAATGTAATACTTGACGACGTTCTGATTCTCAGTTATTTATGGCTCCACAACAGGTGTACTTCTCCAAGTTACCTTGATGGAGCAACGAAATCAGAGCTTCAGATGCGTAAAATAGCAGGTTATAAAGTCAGAGAATTGTAATAAATAATTACATTTTGATAATCTAATTAGGTTATTTACGCTTTAGACATTCGGGACAGGCAACCTTGATAAACTACGACAGACTTTGTGGTTGTCACACATATAACCTAACAATAAGCCTTAGCGTTTATACCTCAGGTTATATAGGAAGCCTCTGAATGACAGAACCAAATTACCGACTTAGTAGGAATCAATTAATGTACGGAGGCGAATATATGGTTGGAATGTACGCACAGTGCTAAGATCGCATTTCATTCTAGTTATACGCTGGAATAGTTACTTCTTTCTGTTTATCATTCGTTCCCTTTATTTATGTATATCATTTCATCTATGTTGATAAAATTGTGAAAACTTGAACCTCTATCCATTCATATCACACTGCGTCCTGGTTGGTTTGAAGTTCATTGGTTTTATGACTAAATCTGCATATATCGTGAAATTCTTACAAAGAAAACCAAAATTGGAGCTGTGGCTCACTGGTCTAACAGTTCGACTTTAAACCAATGGATCGTGGGTTCGAACCCTGTTCCACTTACTGAGAACAAACAGGCAGTTTCATATATTCTCACACAATAGATGTAGCTTATTTTCTAATCCACTAGTTTATCAGTTATAAACTACAGATTCTTGAAAGGATCATAAGGATTTGTTCAATTTGCTTTTCTCCAAATAATATGACACTTTTTAAGATATTGTAGTTTATTGAATATTTTCACAAAAGTAGCCACCTTTATCTTATTGATTTACATCAGGAAATACTTTTTATCATCGAATTCCGCTCCTAAATGTACGAGTATGGAGTTGGAAGTTGATATATCTGCATGGGACATACTGAATCGTCGAGACCTTCAAGGTATGTTTACAGTTAAATTTTTAATGCCTTTTCCAATATATATATATATATATATATATATATATATATATATATATATATATATATATATATATATATATATATATATATATATATATATATATATTGGCTTTGCAGCACTATGCTTCGTTATAGCCTTCTTTTTCATTGTCAGTGTGATATTTTTTGAAGTATTACCTTTCCCGTTAATCTTCTTTTGTTTTTATTTCATATTAGCTCCAATTTCACTCTTTTATCTTCCTTATTTCTAAATGTATCTGGATATAGTGATGTGAAATAATTTTTTTTTTAGCTGATATACAATTATGCAATATCTTACGGTAAATATATCAGAGATTATCGACTGTAAACGAAACGATTTACAGTTGACCGTAATAAAAAGGAACTGTATCCATTCTTAATCTTCTTCCAAATCGTGAATATATTATCCCTGTCAATCTGTTTGTCCGTTCTTCATGCATATCTTGCTTTGTATTTTGGCACCTTTTCGCTTTTATTTGTTGTATTTTCATGCCATTACAATGAACTTCTATATGAAATTCTATATCGTATCAACTTTTAACCTCCACACAAAAAATGGCTGTTATTCTTTGTAAACTGTTGAGTAATTTCTATTACTATTGTAATTACTCGGTTTCTTTGAATGTAACTTCGATAATTTTACTCTTAGAAAGATCACTCTGGTCTAGGGAATTAGGTACACAGCATTTATAAATGACCATGTAACCGGAGGGTCAAGGAGTGGATGCATTTTGTCTATGTTAACTAATTTCCAGTCATCTCACCAACATTCTTCAATCAAGTAGTCTACATCTCTCCATACGACTCAGACCGACAGTCAGTGACTTCATAGACTACTGCCACTTGTTGGTCTGACCACACTGAGTCCTGTTTCAACCTAATCTAACTTCTAGCATGGCATGACCAGTTAGTTTGTAGAGAACTGAAATGAATAGAGTGTTAAGTCTTGTTTTAAGGCTCACTGGGTAACTACTTGATGAATAGCATCGGACCTGGTCTGCTGCTGGTATGAATCGAAATACACTCAGCAATCATGTGCACTTTCGTGCAGTAGACTAAGCCTCGTCTAATGTGTGGTTGTCATGACCTCGACAGGTGGATGACATGAATACAAAATACTCGGCTGGAATTTCCCACTTATCATCCATATCACTAGCAAGATACCTAAACGCTGTTCAGTTCACTCTTTACTACTTTAAAACTATGAGACTTCACTGTTGAAAAAATCTGTTATTCCGTTAGCGATGTTTTTCAAGCATTAAAAATATTTAGTGGATCCACCACATTACAAAATCAGATTGAGTTTACAGTCTCAGAAAAAGCTAGTTGTGAACTTGTGTCAACAACTGTGGTTTTGACGTGTTTTAAGCACAACTGACCATTTTATATCTTAACTCCGGTTGGATTAGGGTACGAAAGAGTTAATTTTAGCTATAACATTCAACCGGTAACTTTATGGGTGCTTATCTACGCTGTGAAAAGGTCTAGGAATTTGAGATATCACCCTTGGCATGCTAGAGATTAGCGGTTGAAGACTCTTACTGACCTAGTTCACAACTCCATTCAATCCTCATCTTCATACAAATTTTGTTGTTGCTGATTAGCATCTCACTTTTTATTTTCTACCAAACATGTAGATAATTTGTCCCTGAATCCTGGTCTTGAAGCTATGTGGACTGAAGAGGAGATGCGTCGAGCATCGCGAACAAATCAGTCAGAAAAACTGCCTGATTTACCGACTGCAGATGAATTACTACCAGTTGAACGTGAGTTATGTACAGTTTTACATCTCATGCTTAGCTTCCACTATTCATATTTAAGTGAATAAACAATTTCTCTTCAATTATCATTCTACCCTCCTACATATCATATAAAGTTGTTGATGATTTCACGGTTGATTTGTTCTGCCTCTTGTTTTCTATTTCAAGAGGATATTGGAGTTGATCTGTCAGGAAGTGAAATACACTATCTTAGTCAATGGGTTGATCTCCTTCATCAATATGCAGCCCCACCGATGCAGCAGGATAATGACGTAACGTTTACAGGTAGATAACTTTTGACCAGATATTCCTATTGTTTTTACCGTTGATAACGATATCCTGGATTATTTCAGACTAGTAAAAGTTTACCAGAGAAGTATATGCGAGGCAAAGGGGGAGGAGAAAGGGTACTCTTCAGTCATCTTTGTATATATAAAAAACTATACACCCATGTGTACTGTTTTGGAATGACGGTGTAGGGGCATATCGTAAGCGAATGAATGGATAAAGATGACTTAGTGACTCCGTATAGGTTTGTACATTAGGTGAAGAGCCACACCTGTAGTTTGAGGACCTGACCGTCTTAACCTTTTCAGGCATAACGGGGTTCGAACCTGGGCTTACTGGTGAAAAATCAACCTCTTAGACCAATGAACCACAGCAGCACATATGATGATCCTCTATGTGAACCGTTTTATCAACTGAAATCTTTTCAGCTCAGGGGAATAATATCTTCAAAAAGCATTAAAGACAACATAACCCTGTCAATTAATTTGACATACATGTCTACGTTGTCAGCAGCGATGCAAATAGTTCTCCACTTTTTAACTGGATTTGTAATTGTCTGTTCGAATTCGTCAACTAGTTAATGAGTCTTATCTGTTGTGATTGCTCACACCTTGTTAGGTGAGGCTTAATTCGAACTTGTGACCCACCGGTTAGAAATCGAATGACTAGACCAATGAGCCACAGTTCAAACACCGAAAAATCGATAAGTGACCTTGATTTCACCAGCTGTCTTGTCAAATGCTGACTGAAAATCTTCAACATGATTGATTCAATGGGGAAGTGTGTTTCCACATAATATCGCCATCACTAAGGTTTAATTGGATCCGTGAAACCGATGGTTTAATTCCTAGAAAACAGAATTATTAACAAAAATCAACTTTCACTTAACAGACGACTATTTTGGGAATTGTGAATAAACGCAGTAACAAGTTTATTGATCAGTAACAAACCTCTGAAGTTGGCTAAATAGAAAACGGCAACCGGGCTTGTATATCCCCTTAAAATTCTGTGTGAAACAAACCAATCAAATTGCTACGGTGTATCTTATGTAAAACAAAAAGCCCATTTAACAAAAAAGAAATGACCAACGTTACCAATATTTGCGGATACCACTATATGAGACAATCAAGCAGACCAACAGTATTACAGCGCCTGGATGACCAGCAGCTTGTTGTCAGGCATCATGACATTATGAAGTCTTTCATCTCAATCCTCTGTGACAACCACAATTATACAGTCGACTGGGATAACTTCGAAATGCTGAAACATGCAAACTCAAAAGCGACCAGAGATTTGTTGACGGTCTTGCACTTAGACAAGTAATCGTCGATCTAAATGCAAGAGAATCCTCAAAAGAGCTAAACATGGGATCATTAATCAATTAAATGAAGATATCTCATTCATGCTTAAGCCAGTTTCCTCAGTTAACCAATCAGTAGAAAAGGATATTCCTCACTAGCGAAGGCTTGTGACACCCCTTCACTTAAAGCAAATGAACCAATCAATGTCAACTAATAACCAGAGGAACAAAATATATCAACCACTCAGATCAGCGACACTTTCATCATTTTTATTCGTATAATAACAGCTAACCATTCACAACAAAGCAGCATCAGCGTTACTATATTCAAACAAAAGAAGTCAACCAATGACCTAATTTCATACCCTTCTGGTCTAGCTGAAGGCAATATTTCAACTAGTCACAGTTTACTACACGCCCAGATACTCATCAAACGTCCAATCAGATTGAATTCAACCAAAGTAAACATGCCATAAATACCTATACACAAACGAATTACTTCACTTTCTTGAAGAGCCAGTGGTGAACTGATAATGCTGTCTGACATGACATTGGAACGTTAACCAACCAGAAGGGCAAGTCAATGAACAACTCAGAGTGAAAATACACATTCTGAGCTAAAAAAAATACTCTCCATCATTATTATCAAAAAAAGGCTTGTACATTATGCTTCCTAAAGGAAGCTAAAATAAGCGAGCAAGCCAGCAAGAAAACAGTTAATCACATTTTTTTTTTACTTAGAAGCTGGGTTACTGCCTGGTTTGATCTCGAGTATATACATGTATATAAGTAGTATGCATAGCATTGGTTGAAACTTTTTCTATAAACTTTTTTCCTTGTGTTTTATGTGATGATGATGTTTTCCAGAGTCATCTACTCCAAACGATGATTACATTTCTAAATGGCTTGAGTGTAGTCATACAGACGATGAAGATGCAGATGAAGAAATTGAGAACTATAAAGATGATCATACCATTGAAGCGACCGATGATAGAATTCCCGTTCTTCAACTTACTCAAGAACCGATTGTATTGAAAACTTTTATTGACAATAACACTACTACTAATAGTATTACTAGTAGTAGTAGTAGCAGTATACCACAACCAACGAGAAGCAAATCAGTGTCAAGTTTTACAACAATTAGTTCCACTGGTTTACAGGAATTATATCGTCTAGCTAGTGCAACTGAAGAATTTGATGCATGGGTACCATCGACTGAACAATTGGATCAATTGCATAATCATTTAGATAATGTTTCTAAAATGCATTGTTCATTGGATGCTACTACTTTAAGACATTCACAATTATTGACTAATGATGCTGATTGGACAAACAGTAGTCCGATTAATACTGTTGAAAAGGAAATATTGAATCATGTAAGAGATTGTAATTATGCTATTTTTTTTAAAATGAGTATCAGACTACTATTTATTATACAAGGGATAAAACTGTTTTCTGAAGTTTTGATCATATTTGATGATAACTTTTCAGTCAAAACTGTGTGAATCGTATACATTCGGTTAGTTGAAGTGCACTGAGGCCTCTTTTTTTGCTTTTATTATTTACCCTTTGGGTTCTTAGTGGAACAGTAGCACGTCGCCATTTCACTCTCTTCTCATCAGTCTTTTGAACCTGGCTCCACCACTACCCAGAAGCTTTCATTCCCTCCTCACATGATCTCGTCTGTATCACCCTCGGACGCCCAACTCGTCGTTTTCCCTTCGGGTTCCACTCGACGGCCTGGTCTGGGGTGTAATGTCCCCAGTCGGTCTTCTCAGTGTATGCCCAATCCAATCCATCTCCACTTTCTTCTGCATATTTGTTCAGCGATAGATTCTTGGTTGGTTTGTTGACAGGCCAGAATTCCTTGTCGCTTATTCTTATTATTCTGGCCATCTGATCTTCAGTATCGAGTGAGCGTAGGCAGCAGCTGTTGATGAATGTCTGTAGTTTGTTGGAAATGCTTTTCCTAACGCGCCAAGTGTGTGAACCATCACACAGAAGCACTAACTTGACATTAGTGTTGAAAATCCGGATTTCGTTCACGCTTTATGCTAAGTGCAGTAGATCTCCACACTGATTTCAAATTAATGAACGCTTGTCTTGCTGTCTTTCCGATCCCGGCTTTGATGTCCTCGTCTGTATCGTCTAAAGTTGAAACGATGCTGCTTTGCTTAGGTAGTTGAAAGAGACTTCTTCCTTTAGATTTCTCCCGTTGATGGTGATTGGTGTTTGTTATTGTTGTTGCTTAAGTATCTCCATCACCTCTGTCTTCTCTACGTTCACCTGATGGAAGTGCCGTCTTCGCTGCCTCTTCTGTCGACTTGTTAGTTTTCGCCTGTAGATCTTCAAGTTTGTGCGACATTAGACATAAATCATCATCGGCGGGATCCAAATCTTCTGGGGTCTTTTCATCGGTCCAGTTAGCGTTTACCCATCATCTCGCTCCTCACAGTTTCTTGCATGATCCAGTCCAGTCGACCACAATTGGGAAGATCATGGTTGATAGTAGACAGCTTTGTCTTACTTCTGTCTTCACCTCAGAGGCATCACTGAGCTTTCCATTGTGATTCACTTGGCATGTAGCATCATATAGGATGTAGCTGTTGAATGAGGTCAATAAAGGTTTGTGACACTGAAAGTGTAGTGTTGAAGCAGCTGGCAAATTACTTCTCGGTCGATGTTATCGAAGGCCTTTTGAAAGTCGATGAAGTTGAGGTAAAGAACCGACTGTCATTCTATTCTGTTTTTTTCTTGCTTGGGTAACAATATTGCGTAGTGGTTACATCACACAGTCACCACACCTCATACTAGCATATCAATGTAGAAAGCATAAAGATAGTGTAGTTGAAATTCGTAGAAAGTTGTAAAAAAAGAACACAAACGAATTAAACATAATGAAATTCGGTATGGTGATTAAGCTGAAAATAATGTATGGGTGCATCTGTACCACTGAGATCGATTCTGACAGACGGAGAGATAAACAACGTAGAACCTTGCTTACAAATAGATCAGTCCAAGTTGCCACACTTCATAGGTGGACTGACTGACAGACAAAATCAATGTAGAATCTCATATATATATATATATATATATATATATATATATATATATATATATATATATATATATATATATGCATTGGCTGACGTAGCCACAGTACTACACAAAGAACAGGTGAATAGAAAAGGACCGGTATCAAAGGAGACAAAGTTGTATGCGAGAACAACCCGTTTGAAAACAAAGGTTAGTGCAAATATTAAAGCTTTAAAATACGTCGAAAAAAATCAATACATCTGCACCATTGTGCCCGATTCTTTTCGTCTCACGGAGTCCAACCAAATAGTCTACACCTCCCTACATTGAATGGTACCACGTCTTGGTCTAACCACCCTAAATCCTGTTCCAGCCTGATCCAACCTGCCTTTGCATGGAATGGTAGATCGAGGTAGGTGGTGACTTGGCATACGCAGTACATATTCAAGCTATCTCAGTCTATGAAGGTTCACAATCTCATCAATCGACTTGTCTGTCTTGCCTAGTATCCTTCGTCTGACCCCAGTATTCCTCACATAGTAATTCTAGTAAACATGAGAACAGTTAAATATTGTAACGTTATCAAATTGACTACTACAGCAGAAGTCCTCAGAAGGTGATTAGTTATCTCATAAAACATCAGATTTCTCAAATAATTCGTGAAAACATAAAGTTGAAGTACTCATATCTAGCAGTAATACATTTTTATGGTCGTATAATTTAAGTTAATGCTTAGTTGTTCTTAGCTCTTTACGAAGCGTATTCATCCGGGTCAAACTGCCCTCCTGATATATCGATACATGTCAACAGCTGACTCAACATTAAATGCAATCATGACTCACATTTGCAAAGTTCATTGATGGTGTTTAGTTACTAACTAAAATGCAATTGCACTATATAACATCAGATATTCAACTATCTATCAGAGGACGAGTATACTACCATGGAGTCCTTTCTGTCCTCTTGTACAGCTGGAATATGGCCGTTAAAAGTAGATGACATGAAGCGATTTCCGGGGTTTTTGATCGCAGATATCTTCGTAGTATTGTTAGGGTTTGGTGAAATCACCGTGTGAGCAATGATGAGGTTAGGCTAAGGGTACTAGGCAAGATAGGCAAGTTGATTGATGAGATTGTGAATCTTCATAGATTTAGATAGCTGGAAGAGGGTTCATGGTGGTCAGATCAAGATGTGGTACCAGTCCATGAAGTCCCTGATTGATGATGTGAGCCGTGCGGGGGTATGTAAACTGCCTGGCTGGGGTCCCCGATACCATACGAATCAGTGGTTGGGTTGACTCTTGGCGAAAGGGCTGAAAATCGGTCACAATGGCGCAGATGTATCATTTAAGACTTGAATATTCGCACTAACCTTTATCCTCCAATTGTTTATTCTCTCACACAACTTCTATCCAACTGTTCTTCGTGTACTACTGTAGCCTGTATACGAGGTTCTGCGTTACTTTCGTTAGTTAGTCAATTATTGAACTTCGACTCAAGTGGCTAAACGGCTAAGGTGTTTGCCGCAAGGATTGGGTTCGACCTCTCTCGAGGTCATAGGTCACAGATGCCTCTGCTAAGAAGTCTCACACTACGGTACTTTCAGGTTTTCAATAGTTATTCAACTGATGAATACTACCTTAGAACCTCATGTCGGTTTCATTTTAGCATATCATTGTTCTCAGATAGTTAAGTGTTGAGAATAGTTCGTACTTTATGCATAAATATCTATAAACTGCTTTCGATGTATTCTCATTTTTCAAGGGTTTCAACAACAATAGTATAGCTAGTCAAATTTCAATTCTCCAACCATCACAAACCACTAAAAAATCAATCGAGCAAGATGGCCATGAAGGTCATAATGATGATGATGATGAAGATGAAGCGACATTGATTACAAATGCAACACAATATGCTTTGTCCTTTGTATGCAACCAACTATCTATTACAAATGAACTGACAGTTGGTGGTAATCTTTTGGCAACAGTCAACAAGACAATTGAAGATGATGAATACATGTCTCAGCCGGCTGGAGGTGATTTAAACGAGCATATCGCCAAGTTATCAGTTGATCAAAACACTAATGAGTCATCAGTGTCATATGTAAGAAGTTTAATTGTGTTTCCGTTGTGTAGATGAATTGTGTCTGTGTAATTCTTCAGTTATCAGCATTTAGGATGTCTTTCTACATTGTGTATTCGAGTTTTTTTTCTTCTACGTCTTACAATTCATGGATCATATAACTTATTTGATGTTGGTTAGTAGTATTAGGACCGGACATACCTTCATGACAATGACTCGCCATTCAATCCAGTATCCATCATTTCAAGCACCAGGACACTATCCTCTCAGCGTATGACTGAAAATAGATAAGTTGTTCAGGTTGCAGTCTGGTATTCAAGCACAACGTCCGGTCAACTTAACCTCGCTAGATGTTGGTGTGTGAAATTACTCATAATAGATGAATCTATTGTGAACTCAGATCGTCAACCACCACCACAACAACAACACCGACGCCCGAAGACAAGAACAGAAGATAGACCGTTGACAGAGAGACAGCTTTTACTGTCTCAACAATAGTCAATACAGTTGACAGAGGTGCTGAATATATACATTTCTGAGTGACCTTGACAACACTGAATTCACATATAGCTAATAACCAATGAGAGTTCAGCGTTGAGAGCAAAGGAGAGAAAAATTAATAACGTTGTGAAAGCAGCCATGTAAGTCATGCACAAAACTGCAATATGCAAAATTAGGGGTATACAGCAAATAATGTTTAGTGTGCTAGGTGGCAGACGAATCAATGTAGAATCTGACACAGAAGTGTATCATTTCAAGTTATCACATTTCACAGTACTATACAAAGAAAAAGTGAAACAGAAAAGAATGACACGTAAGCGAATCATAGTGTACGACAGTTATGAGGGCATGACAATTGTTTGTCGCTCTCTAAGCTTTGAGGTTTTTAATTGGACGTTTCGTCACCAAACTGGGCAATTTCATCAGCACTTAATTCATGAAGAAGTGAAGCATTCTTAAATTGTATCAAGGTTTATAAAGGAAGTTTGCCTAACTGGAGCGTTATCGGCCTGCCCTTCTTCTTTTATCAGGGACTGACCTTTATCATTGTTGTTATCGTTTGGCATATCCTCTTCATCTAGTGTCTGATTACTGATTTACGTGACTGATTCCCACTTGGCTGATCCCTTCATAGTAGTCCGTATATATTGGCTTAATGTACACACATGTGTATGCGCGTGTTGATTTCCGTTTGTTTGGAGTACCATGCTTCCAGCAACTCTCTTGCACTTTCTTAGCTTGCTTTCTGTAGTATTTCCACGTCGACCTACACGAAGTTGTGTTTGTGTTTATCTACATGTATCACTATTTATGAAGACATCTCGTATCGTCTGACTGCAAGTTAGTGCTTATTCGACAATTGGATTGATCAACATAGTGACATCGACAGTCCTTGCAACTAATTTTGTAGATTATAATCGTCTTCTCTTCTCCGGGTAATAGCTTGTATAATATGTTGTGCAAGGATTTGGTTGTTTCGCGTGTTACTCTGGTACCGAATGGATGAAGTAATCAGTTGGCAGTTCCTAAGGCATCTTTGATGTATATTTCAAATTAATTTCATTTTCTAGGTTGAGTTAATTGTCTTGACTACAGTTCTGTTAAGATGCATTCCTTGATGAAGTTGATTGGATAGTCGTTGACTCTGAACACTTTATAAAGGTGGTTTCCTTCTGATTCCTGCAGTTACTGAGTGCTGCATGAATAGCACTTGTATGCAACTGTTCTTATGAGATGTTGGGTTGCTTCTGTTGTAATTCATAACTTGATCTCTGTGTCTATCACTTTCTTGTACACTTAAGTCCATAACGTTCTGATAAGCACACCTAGGAACATGGTTTCATTATTTGCTTCCTGTTTAGTGAAATGAATACTTTCAGAGGTTTGTTTAGTGAGATTGAACATGTTTTCTCGTTCACTTGTTTTGATAGTTACAAAAGTGTTGTTGATGTAAGAAATTCAAATTTTCAGTTTGATTATTGAAATGACTATTGATTCTAACCTCTACGTCTTTTCTTCAGCGATGGGTTCAGATATTGATGATTCCATGGCAGTTCATTTTGTTTGTTTATCCATAAATTTTCCCGTTAAGACACAGGTTGGATTAGTTCTACCAAGTTTGTAGCTATAATTCTCGTATACTTTAAAAAATTCTGATAATCGTTGAGAAGAATACTCATTGTATCTTTGACGAGATCTTGGGTTGATTTATGTGAAAGGACACCATTTAGCTTGTATCGTAGTATACAGCTTAACCTAACAGCTAGTGACTTTATGGAATGGTACTATGTCTTATTCTGGTCCCCCTCAGCCTTATTCTGACCCAATATCAATTTAAAATGAAATAAACAAGATGTCCAACTGATACGTAGCGACAAAAAGGTAGCCAATAGGGGAATTGTTTTCAAGTCATGATCAGATCATGTTCAGGTCGTGATTTATGCATGCGTTGACATCAGAATCTGATTGGAGAAATCCGACCTCATACAAGAAATGGGATTGGTTCATTTATGGTTTCACTTTCTGGGAGTTTTATAAATACATATATGTCATGTATTTGCCTAATAAAAGTTGTCTCTGTTCTTGCAGTCACAGGCCGTCTTTTTCTTCTGATTTCTTCGTGGCTCAGTGAATCAGAAGGTACTGAGGGAGGTCAATCGTAAAGGTATTCAGTTGAGGTGTCTATTGAGTCTCAGTATCATTATACCCAAGCACGCAACCACCATTCGGTCACAATTCCAGCTGTTTTAGCAAAATCAAACTTAGTTTCCGAGCCGTATAATCGAAAGTCCGTAAAACCTTAAGAATATTCTGTCTTTTAGACGTTCATTTAGAACCAAGATTCGAATCCTTTTACTATGAATTTTATTGCAATTTTGACTAACTGTTTTCTAGATCATCGGGTGTGATGTTTTTCGTCCCGTAAGGACCACACTCAGATAATATGAAGTTCATACAAATTGAAATATTTTAAAGGTAACATTCACCACGGTTTGACATCAGTTTGGGTCATGAGTGCTGAGGAAGCTGTGGCTCATCGTTTTAGGCAAACAACTTTCAACCTATGGGTCATGGGTTCGAACTCTGCCTTACCTATTGAGGTTTGGTCAGCCATATAGTATTATCAGCCGTCACACAACAGGTGTGGCTCACTGCCTAATTTAAAAATGTGCACAAGGCTGGTGAATGCATTGCGATTCGATTCGATTCAACTCATTCACCTATCTCCCAATAACTATCCACCAACTCTCTCTAGGACAGACTTAGTTATCAGACTCAACAACTGCCATACTTATAGTATTTTGAGTTATTGCATCTTGATCTGTATACTCTGACTAGTTGCTAGGTGAAAACGCAGTTGTAACACTATACTCCTCTGACACCAGCTACCACACATAAAGGGAACATAACGTCAATTTATGCTTTAACGTGGAACTAACAATATTTTTACCAAAAATGTATTGAAACATACAGTGCCTGAAGAGTATAGATGGAGTGATTGAGAAGTTGTAAACAAGAATGGCTAGTGATTAGACCAAGGTTACACATGGAGTTACTTGGCTATCACTTCCAATCTCTGAATGTGTGTAGATATTGGTCAACTAAAAGAGGATACAGTAGAAATCTGAAGAAAATATAAGTTCCAATCGATCTCAAACCAGCAGCTCTTATGTTAAGATCTCACTGTTGTTTTGCTAACTCTGCTGCCTACAACAAATAACTCTTGAGTAGATATGAATTCCATATCAGTTCTGGTGCTACTGGTCAGGTACAGATCACTGGTTCGAGTCCTTCAGAATTTACTTATCAATATTGTGAGTTAACAATCAGTCTGCCAATTAAAGCTATCTCAGATAAATTTATACATTAGCTTTTCCCTTTAGTGAATTCGTGAAATAAATAATTAGTATTCAGGGTTTTAGTGTTATTGTTTGTATTATACCGTGGCACAAACTCGAAGATCTATAGGTGAAAACTAACAAGTTGACAGAAGAGGCAGCGAAGACGGGACTTCAAGTGAATGAAGAGAAGATGAAGGTGATGAAGATACCAACAACCAACAATAACATCGACAACAAGCACCAATCACCATTGACTAGAGGAAACCTAAAGGAAGTAGTCTCTTTCACCTACCCAGGTAAGGCAGTATCGTTTCAACTACAGGCGGCACAGACGGGGATGTCAAAATCATGGTCGGAAAGACAGCAAGACAGGCTTTCACTAATCTGAAATCAGTATGGAGATCTACTGCACTCAGCACAAAGAACAAGATCTGGATTTTCAATACCAATGTCAAGTCAGTGCTTCCGTATGGTTACGAAACTTGGCATGTCGCGAAAAGCATTTCCAACAAACTACAGACATTCATCAACAGCTGCTGCCTACGCTCACTCGATACTGAAGATCAGATGGCCAGAATAATAAGAATAAGCAACAAGGAATTCTGGTATGGCAACGGACCAACGAAGAACCTATCGCTGAACAAATATGCAGAAGAGAGTGGAGATGGATTGGATTGGGCATACACTGAGAAGACCGACTGGGGACATCACGCGCCAGGCCAGGCCCTCGAGTGGAACTCAGATGGGAAATAGCGAGTTGGGCGTCCGAGTTGAGGGTGACATAGAGGAGATGATGTGAGAAAGAAATGAGAGCTTGTGGGTAGTGGTGTAGCCAGGTTCAAACGACTGGAGAGAAGAGAGTGAAATGGAGACATTCTACTGAAGCCCTATATTCTACTGGGAACCCGAGGGAAAAATAATAATAAGTAGATGATTAAACCGAATTGATCGGTTTCTATTGGCATATGGGCTCCTGTGCGGATGCCTCGATATTGGCTGTGCTCTTAATTATATGGTAATGATGGATAACTGACGAGTCCTAAATAGAACGAAATGCTCATCCTGGATTCCACTGCTAGCCACTATCCATCATTACTACATAGTACTAAGGATTCTTTCAGATTCATCTATTGTTGACACTTTTCATTAGTACTATTCTTCAACTATTCCATGTATGGTTTCTCATTATATTGTCTATTTGTATATTTATGCTTTAGGATTGGGATGAAATTTCTGATGATCTATTCAATTCTATAGATTATTTAACTTCTCAAGAACTGAAATCGATCAGTGAAATCAGTGGAGAAGACGATGAAGAGGATGATGACAACGTGTTCCATCAACATTCAACTCCAGTACAAATTGAAAAAATCAAAGCAGAGAAAATTCTTCCTACAAAAGATGATGTTCATTTTCTGACTCATTTACACTTTTAACATCATCCCCTCCACCACCCGCACCTCCACCATTTGATGCTTATATGATATCAGAATCAGGACAACATCTCAGTAGAGGAAATAGTTCACAGTTCAACTCTCAACCTGTTGAAATTGACAGTATTTCAGATATTCTATTCGATTCATGGAGTTCTGGAAGTGATTCTTCAAAATCAAGGTGAGTTGTTGATTTATTTTCATTAGTGATGATTGTATCGACTGTTTCATTGCATTTAGTAACAACATTTTCCATTGATGTTCAAACATTGAAGGTTATGACTTCATTAGTGTCTACATGGATGTTGAAATGCCTATCTACATATAAAAAGTCATGTGTGGAAAGCATTTAAGTTTTCTTATTTTGTTCAGTCGGTAAGCACAACTATCGTAATATAATGAAGTGAAAGGATTGTTAATATTCAATCATGAATACTTTTGGGATGCCGATCAATAGGCTGCGACTTATTATCAAGCCAATAAAGATGCTAGAAATGTACAGTGGTAAGTGAATTCCATTGACCACGTGACTAGTCGATTTTTGAGCAAGGCATATATATGTATATATATATATGCACTAGTTTTTCTCTCCAATTATCTCACTTTTTTTGGTCTAACCATAATGATAGTATGTTATTTGTTGAATGGATCTGTAAGTTCAAAGAACCACTAAACTCTTTACAACTTAATGAGATTGAGAACCCACTGCAGTACGATAACTTCACGAAAAAATTACTTGATATCCTATCATGAAGAAGAACAGTTATCCACATAACTTTATCAAGAGATGCCTGTCCCTTGTTGCATCGATAGTCATCCACAGAAATCAACAAGCGGATCATCCTATCCAAAGTAAAAAATATGTCAGAAATCATGACAAGATTACTGAGACAACTTGGAAGTGATGTGGCTCATAAACCAACAAATTTCCTTCAAACCCTATCGTGCAAACCAAAGGATGCAACAGCCAAAGAAGACAAACCGAATATTGTTTACAAAATCAACTGCAATGACTGTAGTCAACACTATATTGGACAAAGTGGCCGCCTTCTTCGCCTTCATCTACATGAGCACCGATTGGCTATTAAACGCCACTACATTTCGTCACTCATTTCAATGAACGTGAATGATTATGTACATGAATTCAATTTGGACAATGTAGAAATTTTGGACGGAGAGAGGAAACACAAAGAATGTCAGAGAATTTCTAAAAGCTTGGCATTTAGGTTGTCAGTCAGCGATCAATAGATATATAGACATGGACCCCAATCTATCAATCAATAAAAAAACGGTAAATGACAGAAAGGTCAGAGGTGAAGCAGAGGAACAGCCAACAAGAGAATCTATATAGTCAGCGATACAATAATCAAAATAAACAACCAATCACAAACCAGTTCGTCAGGGTAATCTACTAAATCACTTGTAGAGAGATATTGACAGCTCACTTGATAGTGAAGTTAGTGCTGATGATGTTGTCCAAGAAGACGATGAAGGCTTGACGATTAAACCGCCCAGCTCAGAGAAAACGGCATAACCAAGACAACTTATCGTCTATTTTGCTGGCTAAACTACTCAAGTTTCCTAACTATTTGTAGGTCAAATTATTCTCAGATGGTTGATATTCGGATTCTACAAGGTCGTTTATCTGACTGCTAACAAAATCTTCTGAGTGGTTGTATACATCACCACAAGTGTAGCGCTGTTCTACTCACCACTTGAAAATGTTCATCAGCTAATACAAGCTACACTTTCAAATGATTTTTTAGTATGGCTAAGTATACCTTCGTACTCAGTCTCATAACTGCAGTTATCTGTCTGGTTACATATGTGTAGACATTATTGTTGGTTGTAAAGTCTTAGATTTCGCCCAACAGATACACACATGGTCCTTTTTAACATCCACTGTAGTAAGAGAACACTGACTCCAGCTACTTAGAAGCTGTGGTCAAGACAGTTGACTTTCAATCACCAGGTCACCACTCCACCTAACGAGGTTTGGGCAACCAGATAGCATCATTAACTTTCAAGTAACAGGCGTAACTCGTTACGTCGCCTACTGGACTAACTGAAAATGGTTGTTGAGTTTCACAACTAGCTGCATAAGCACGTGTGTAAACCGACTGGTAGTTTGTAGGTATCGATTGAGATGGGACTTGCAAAGTTCACATTAGAAGTCGTAAGTTTTAGGCTCAAGACGAATACCCACTGATGACGTTAGATAATGGTCTCATTATATCAATAAGTGATGCAAGTAGGAAAAAGTCTATCACTGGATTCTGACCTATCTAGTGAATGATGAAGTGCTCACCGGCAGACTTGTCAATGCTGGTTTTTGTCGCCCGTAGGTGCGTACTTTTGAGGAGCCCCAAAACCAGATGAAACAGTTGTTCAATGTGCTCAATAGTCCTCCAACTGATATTAGACCGTAACAAAGTCTACATATGTCTCATAAAAGTCCATCAAATTTTAGGCATCTCTTTGTAAGTTTTGGATAAACTTCACGTATGAAATGCTATCAGCTTTTATCACATGTCTGTGTATAACTTAAACATGCTGATCAAAAGGAATTTAGTCTGACTAATATTGTGTCCAAGATCTTAGGATCTATAGTTTTACAACGCCTAACTAGCGCTTGAGAACGGTAAAGTCAAGGAAACCAACAGGCTCCAGACCTGAACAATGGTGCATGGATTATATTTTCACCCCGTGACTTGTTCTGGGACACAGGCATACCTACTGCTGGCCTACACTTGCCATATTTGGTGATCTCAAGGTGACATTTGACTCTGTTGACCGTGAAATCTTATGGTGTGGCAGTGTCTAACTGTGAAAGGAGTATGGAGCAAGTATGTCACTCTAATCAAGGCTCTCTACTAGGACTCACCCAGCTGCGTACGCGCTTATCGAGAGTTTTCATGCGAACTGATGAAAACTAGTAGTGTCAACCAGGAATGCCCAGTATCACCATCCCTATTTAACTTCGTCATAGATATACTAATGGACATCACATTTGTATATGGTTCTGTAAAATGTTGTAAATTGAACTGATACACTGTTGTGACAGGTCCCAGATTGATTTATCTCTCTGTCTCTGTGCACTCATCCCTTCAGTCTCCTTTCATGAGAGTATTTAAGCTGTAAATTACGCCAAATGGGTTTAATGATGACTGATCAATTACAAATATTGATTATTTCAGTTTAGAATTATCAGTTTCATTCCAGTCAAACACCTGACTAAGGGCTTAAATTCAAGTAAGAGATTCATAGGTATATGTTAAAACTTAGCGAATCTGTTGTAATACAAAATGAAATGAATGTTGATGAACATGGCTCAATTCCTTGCTTCTAGTTGCCAGACTGGATGGTTTGATTGTTGTGCTTTCATTGTCTTTCTAAACAACACTAACTTAAATAAAAAGTTCTTAGCTATTAGGATTTCTTTGTGAACGACTTTGTAGCCTGTACAACGGTCAGGGTTAGGGAAATTTCGGCAGAGAGGGATACAACACTGAAAGGAACTTACAAAATCATATATCACTTCATCAGGGCAAGCAATTAACTCGCTGATGGAGAGATTGTGATAGCTTTGTACTTCGTGTTGAAGTTGTTCCTTATGATACTGTCTAGAATGACAACGAAAGCTTCACGATTCAACCATCTAGCTCACAGAACGCAACATAGCCATAGGAAAAATGACTAACAACCTTATTTTCAGTGCTCATACTAATTGATTAAAAAAACAGACAAACTACGAAGACAGGCTCATCAGAAGATCAATCGCGGAATGATAGTTCCCACTCATTGAAAAGACATTGTTCTCGTGAATCGGTGGTCTAAAGAATGACTTTCTGTTGTATGAAGTAGTGCCATCCATCCATCTAAATCAACATAAGATCAGGCATCACTGCGTAACGGTCCGAGTTGCCACATCTCATATCAATCAGTACCTCAAGTAAAATGACAGAAAAGGAAATTCAGTCAGAGGAAATATAAAGTACTAAAAGGGAGAAAGGAAGAATGAGAAAATGGTGAGAATCGGTATAGCGTCGTTAAGATGAGGATAATATGTGTAGACATCTGCGCCATTGACATCGGTTCTGAGCCATATCACCCAGAGTCTCCAACCACTGGTTTCTCTTGCCCCGTGGACCCCAACCGGCTAGTCTACATCGTCCTACATGGCTCAAACCAACAGTCAGAGACTTCATACATTGGTGCTATGTTTTGGTCTGGGAGCCTCGAGCCTTTTTCCAGTCTGAACCTATTTCGGTCAACATTGTGTGATGAAGCAATCAGCGACTAGGCATACGTAACACGTGTCTCAACCATCTCAGTCGATCAAGGTTCACAAAAACCGTGTCAACTGACTCACCTCTTCTCCCTAAAACTCTACACCTGACTTCTGAGTTACTCATGTGGTGACAACACGGAATACATCCTATACTACGAAGGCAACGGTGGTCAATCACTTGAAGCCTTCTCATGCCTTCCACCTTCAATGGCCATATTTGACAGCCACAGAGTAGAACAGAGTGAACTGGTGTGCAGTACATACGACCCTTAATAGACAATTGGAAGTAGTGAGTGTGGAATTCAAGTCACAGTCAAAGTACTAACCCTTATTAGGATCCAGAAGCATGCAACTGATGAGTTCGGAACGAGACAAAATGGGTCTTGTGAATTCCACTATTCAACATTACTAGATTAGTTTGTGTACAAGTCATTCGTTAAACAAGAAGAAATGGTCAGTTAAAAATGTTCAATTGAATCGACAATGAGGATAGATAATTGTCACAGATAAACAGCATCAACGTAGAATCTCATACGTAACTGCGTCACACTTCACAGTAGTATACAAAGAATAGGTGGATAGAATAAAAGTTGTATGAGAGAATAAACAATTTGAAGATGAAGGTTAGTGCGAATATTTAAGCTTTAGAAGACGTCAAAGAGTGAATACATCTGCCCCATTGCAATTGATATTCAGCCATTTCATCAAGAGTTGCAAACCACTGGTTCCTTTTATGTCGTGGACCCCACCGAGGTAGTCTGCATCTCCCCCACATGGCTCCAACCAACAGTCAGAGACTTCATTGACTAGTGCCACGCCTTGGTCTGGCCACCTTGGGTCTTCTTTCAACCTAATCCAACCTCTCCTTTCATGGCACGGCACATCAAGGTAAGCGGTGACTCAGCACGTGCAACACATGTCTGAGCCACCTGAGCCGATAAAAGTTCACAACCTCATCAATCGACTTGTCTCGCTTGCTTAGTACCCTTCGCCTGACTTCGACAATGCTCACACAGTGATTTCACCAAACGCGAGCAATGCTACGAAGACATCTGCGATCGAAAACCCTGTAAATCGTTTTTTGTCATCTACTTTTGATGGCCGTGTCTCATTGCCGTACAGCAAGAGAGAACGGACTGCAAGGTAGTATAATCGTCCTTTGATACATTTGGATATCTCACCAGTAGGCGTCACAGGTGACGCAAGTTGGCAAATGCCAAACGGGCCTTTTGTATTCAAGCTGAGATTTCGTCAGTAACCAGTTGACTTGGGCTGATGCAACTCCCTCAGAAAGTGAAGTGGCATTATACTACACTATATTACGAATTAACTAAAGTTTGAACTGTCAAAATTTTAGTTCAGTAGTTGAATGATAATGATGTATTCATTGCATGACTGAGGTGTTGTCCACAAAGTCCTACGGAGTTGGCTTGCCTACTGCTAATGAAACACTGCTCCAGTGTATCGTCTATTTCCCTTTGACTCCCTAACCATTATACCAATTCATGATGCTAAACGGCCATGTTAGTATCCAAAAGTCAGTGAATACGCCATGGAAATACAGACCTTCGACTATTAGATTGATTTTGTGATACACATATTCTATAATCTAATATTTTGTCCACCTGATTCTTGTCAATCATTCAACTTGCTTCACGACTATTTTTCTTCTCAAAACACTACGTTTTTTCTTCTTCAGCTGTCATCGTATACCTCAAGTAGATGGAAATATGGATGCAAGTGGTACTACGGATGATTATGGTGAGAATCACAATGATAATCACAGTCAAACAAATCTGTCTTCAATGATTGGTTAGTTGTTCATTTCAACTTGTCAATCAGTTTTGAATATTTGTTCACTTCTACTTTACTGAAAACATTGTGAGATAAAATGGCAAATTATGCCATTGTTGTTCTGCATCGAATTAACCGTTCTGCTTTGGCGTATGAGCTCTTTTATGGATACCTGAAGATTCATTATATTGCATTGCGCTGAGCGGTGACTAACCGGGGAATTTAAGCAAATTGGAATGTTAAATGTTAGTTGAACCTAGATTTTGTGCATTCTGGCATTCACATCAGCAAGGTGTATCTGAAACCTCTATAGAACTCATGTCCAACCTGAGATTCGAACCCGCGTCACGCAGTGCTGCAGTCAGAGAAATTACCATTAAGCCACTGACCTTCTGTACGACTGGATAAGGTATATCGATTGGTCACTGGAGTTTTGAATCTCAGGCTAGACGAGTGCCTAAAAGCAAGAAGTCTATATTGAGCAGGGTTTCCGGTGGATCGCCTCTACCCAACTAACATCTGTGTGCACCGCAATGGTCGATTAAATTCGGTCAGCACTTAAGACTAGATAACATGATATAAACTAGTTAATGAACGAACGGTACAATACTTGACAACTGGCTCAGCTGACACAAGAAGCAAGTTTACTCTAGTCGAAGAATGAAGGTTCAGCCGATGGATACAGTCCATACACCCTTGAGGCGAATAGGCAAATAACCTATTGAAAACGGAAGATTGACAAGTAGCGTTCTTATAAAATTTAGGCATAGAACGTTAAAGTAAAATTTAACTTAATTAACGGTAAAACTATGAAGGCACAAGTTACTGATCAACCCATCTTATACGTAGATTGAACTTTATGTAAATGGGTGGCTAGGTGATAACTACCACAGCAACTGGTTTACTCTAGCTGTACTAGTCAAAATATTCGGATTGGTTACTCTATCCGGTAACTGATCAATGTACGTTATCCAATCATACACTAAACAGAGGCAGTTATGAGGTGAATAGCCTGTTAACAAACAATTTGATTTCGATGCCAAGTAATTCAGCTTCAAATTTTTATGGCTACATAAGATTTCTCAGTGGTGTGGATACATCTTGTAAACGATAACTTTAAGAATTACCAAATCAATAAAGTGAAGAGATATTCTTTGCTAATTAGCCTCGAGAATTCAACATCAAGATATCATCATTTTGCATTTATTTCTGTGTGTTATTTATTGACCAAAAATGGTACGAACAGGGAAGATTTATCGATTACTATTGTTGAATTTCTAACTTGGTGTTTGATGCTGTTATAAACTTCACTTTTGTAGACCATTACAATTCAACACATATTGAAACTTAGAGAGAAGATAAAGGAAGATAATGTTGCTAAGATGTCTATATTATCTTAGACTAAGTTTCAAAGATGATATTGCTTCGGATATCTTAACACATCGATTAAGTAGATCAATCGAAAGGAAATTTAATACAATGAAATTTTTTATCAGCTTCTCAACCAAACTATTACTGACACACCGACCCAAGGATAGGTTACCTATGATGGCCACTTCAATATGCATTTATGAGTTCAACTGCTCTTTTGGAGCTAGTCACATGTTCTGGGCTCAAAGGGCTCTATCCATGTGCGCTCGTGAACATGTATCATCTTGATTAGGAAAAGGATTGACAAAGAGCATCAACAGTGTAATCCTCTCACATCTAGTAGACACTAGACATCAGATTAAGGTAGATCACGCCTTTTCTGTGATTTACCGTGTCCCTTGCAGTCAGTCTCTTTAAAGGAGCACGACTACGCATCTTATCCATAGCTTAAATCATAGGGATGAACGCAAACAAACCTTATCTATGTGTTCAAAAGAAATATGTACATCCACTTTGTCTACCTTGACTTAAATAAAGTCGACATATCCTTTATGAACTTTCCTAGCACAAATTGCAGATTTTAACCTTCGATCCCTTTCTTCTATATTATCATTACATTGATAAACATTCATTTTCTTATGTTATTAGCTTTATGTCCTTCTTTATTCATACCATTACCAGTAGTCAATTTCAACCGTGATGTTATTCTCTATTTCATTATAGTATTCATATGATTTTTACCCCCACTTAGTGATTATTTAATTCTCAGTAAACCCACACGCGTATATCCTCATACCCCAAATAGATGTATATAAATGAATCATTATCTATACCTGGGTGATGATTGAAGGTGAAATGAAAAGCTGGACAGCGGCCGGATTTGAAACAGCGACCATCAGGTTTCCGACCGAATGCTCTACCAACTGAGCTATGAGATCCGAGTGCTGACCAGAATTTTTTTTTTCACTTTAATCATCAAGGTTTTTACCTGACTACTATGTGATTTCGTGATGTTTTACTACCACTTGGTCGTATTCACATTGGCTGCCTAGTCAGGACTTCTCATCCCAATCCAAATCTAACTGAATTAGAGAGGGAGAGTATTTTATTCACTAGGCGGCCAGTGTGAATACAATCAAGCGGCAGTAACACGTCACGAATTCACATAGTAGTCGGGCAAAACTCTTGGTGATTGAAGTAAAATAAAAATCTAGTCAACAGCAAACCTCATAGCTTAGTTGGTAAAGCATCGGGTCGGAAACCTGATGGTCGCTGGTTCGAATCCTAACACTCATAACGCTGACTGTTTCGAAATTGTACATCATGCCTTATTTTGACTATTGTATTTCACTTATTCTCATGAATTTATATAAGTGTAGAGCCTGAAGAGGAAGGAAGTTATCGAAAACAATTGTTCGCTTATATTTTTCTACATCTGAATAATCTATGGGGATCTTCAAACAACTGAAGGTAATTGGAATTTAGATGGTGTAATTAGAGAAGACAAAGTTTATCTGACCAATGAGTGTGATGTATTTCCACAGTGTATATTTTGAACAATTTGGTCACATACATTTACTTGTGAAGTCAATTTATATGAAACCGAACAATGGGAGGATAAGATAATATGGGGAATAAAATTAGGAAAGATAAGAACAAACAGGAAGAATGACATCATAGTTGGTTCTAAACTTGGTAAAAGAAAGAGATAAAATTTACCAAGATAAGTGTAGTGTGTAAGTCCAAATTGTTTTCGTGCACATCAAGGTGATTTCAATTTGTGTATGCCTATCGCTTCCAAAAATACCTCAGTATGCTCCCCATACTGTTTCTATATAAAACTTTCAAATATGTATAGACATTAATTCTGTAACGTGTTTCTATAATATTTTCGGGTATCGATGAAGATGGTCGTCACCCACCTGAGCTTATCGGATTTTCACGTTCCATTTGTCTTTGAAGTCATTTAGGTGTATGTATATAGGTATAATTTGCATGTATGTTGATCTATTTGTATCAGAGTAAAGCCTGAAGAGGATCTAATTGGAAACAATGCTGTTCGCTTATATGTCTTGTTCTAATTTATAATTCACCAGTTGAAATACTAATCCAGATGGTAAGCAAACAGATGAAATCAGCCTAGATACTCACATACAAGTGCATTGGTTCAACTTGGCACACGTCACACCAGCATGTAAAGAAGAAGAGTGAGATCAAAGTAGACAAAGTGTGCAGCGTGGGAAAAAAAGTCTTTAAACAAATAAAGACTAATGAACATATTCAAGCTTTTGAAGATGCCAAAAAGGTATGAATACATCTGCGCCTTCGTGACCCATTTCAAATCATGTCACTCAAGTTCTCGAACCTTTGATTCTTATCATTTCGAGTACCCCAACTAGATAGTCTACTCCTTCCTACACTGGTCAGACCAACAGTCAGAGATAGCAACTAATCTTATGTTGTCCACACCTGAGTGTTGACCGAGCTCTGTCTACTATTTTACTTTGTGGCCATCAAGCTAGAAGGCTCAGCATCGCGGTGCACTTTAATAGATGTTAGTTGGTTGGCGGCAATCGGCAAGAAGTGTCGGACCTATGTTTTATGCTTGTTGGCACTCATTAGCAAGGCGTATCTGCAACATCGGGGGAGGTGACATCCCACCTGAGATTCATAGATTGTTACCACGTTTTGATCTTGTCATCCTGATCCCATGCATTGCTCATTATTGGCTTGCTTCAAGATTGATTTCTCCAAATCCTATGAAGAAGATATTGAATGACGGCCGCGCTATACCATAAATTGATGAAGACAAAAAAGTATTGACCGTTTGGTTTTAACTTAGTAGCTGAGTGGTAATGTGCTCATCACTAAACCTGATGATCCTGAGCTCAATCCATCGTGACGTTTTAGACGAGCTCTAGTAAGGAGTACGATCTTACAAAAAAACTGTTGTCTAGGCAATCTTCGTTAACTTAATTGTTAAATTAACGAATTAGTGATTTCAACTCTCAGTATTACCAAATTTCTATAATTTAGATGGAGTCAATCCCGTAAGAAAACGTCGTAGACTTCGTTTACGCTTACCCCATCGACAACATACAATATCCCGAACTATAGATGGTACACAGAACAGAACAATCCCAGGCATCTCATCTCCTATCAGTCTATCTGTGCCTACATCAAATCATGCCTATCCTTCCACAAATCTTTGCCCAGATAACATATCAAGTCCTGTAATCGGAAGAAAACAAGATTTTACAGACAAAACCTTCGTTGAAGATTCTCATACAACAGTACATTCTACACCATTGGCTCGTTTAGATTCCAAATTAAAGTCTAGAATTTCAACCACAGTAAGTTATTTGATTTAAAATCTGCTTGTTTTTGTTAACATTTATTCTCTTGATATGTTGGTTTTTGTTAACTTTAGACAAAAATGACAGTTTTGAATTTACCAATCAGTTAAACTTTTAATATTAGTAGTCACCAACGAATAACCCGTGTGGCTCCGTAGTCCTTAGCGCTGTTCAGCTGACTAGTTGAAGTCTACCAATCTACTTTGCAATACGACCACTGAGTGGTGCTACATCGAGTGAAGCTATGGCTCAGTGGTCTAGAAAGATGACTGTCAACCAGTGGGCTATGAGTTCTAACCCCGGTTCGTCTATCGAGATGTGAACAACCAGGTAGTATCACTAATCCTCACAAAATATGTGTGGCTCATTGCATAGTACAGAAGGTTGCTGAGGGCGTTTCGTTCGAATCGATGCGCCATTGTGAGAAGTTGATCCATAGATGTCCATCAGTGCTGAGAGTACTAGGAACTACTAAATTACTACACTAGTCACCTCCAGTAAAGACCGGTTTGTGCACTTCACACAATTCTGCAAGGAGTCCTTCATTACTTGAATGGCTTTATAGTCAAGTTTATTACCTCAGCACTAAGTTATGCAGGTTTGAATTGCCGAGAAAACGTCGATTTACCCATAATTCGAGATAAAATTTGTTGATGCTGTCAACCAGTACGAAAATTAATTGTGACAGGGCTTCGTGTTGACTAAATCTCAACAACTACCACAAAACTGCATATTTTTGTATGCCACAGATAGCTTGAAATCTTTCACACCCCCCTGCAATATTGATAATCAGATCGTGTTAATCTAAACACTGAATAGCCATTACTTTTGTTTGTAGGGTTAATCTCATTAGTGAAATATCTGGTTTGTGTTATTTGTAAAAAAGGTTACAAACTGTTCATTTAGCCTCGGTATGCTAGTTCATCTATTCATCGTATTCACATGATTCACAAGAATTTGTCTGTATAAATAAAATTTGTCTACACATTCATGACATGAACTCAGCTGGAAATGAGTGAAATAATTAGTCGGCGGCACAGATGAGGATATCAAAGCCAGGGTCGGAAAAGCGAGACAGGCTTTCATTAATCTGAAGTCAGTGTAGAGATCTACTGCACTCAGCACAAAGAACAAGATCTGGATTTTCAACACCAATGTCAAGTCAGTGCTTCCGTATGGTTACGAAACTTGGCATGTCGCGAAAAGCATTTCCAACAAACTACAGACATTCATCAACAGCTGCTGCCTACGCTCACTCGATACTGAAGATCAGATGGCCAGAATAATAAGAATAAGCAACAAGGAATTCTGGTCTGACAACGAACCAACCAAGAACCTATCGCTGAACAAATATGCAGAAGAAAGTGGAGATGGACTGGATTGGGCATACACTGAGAAGACCGACTGGGGACATCACGCGCCAGGCCAGGTCCTCGAGTGGAACCCAGATGGGAAATAGCGAGTTGGGCGTCCGAGTTGAGGGTGACATAGAGGAGATGATGTGAGGAAGAAATGAGAGCTTGTGGGGAGTGGTGTAGCCAGGTTCAAAAGACTGGAGAGAAGAGAGTGAAATGGAGACATTCTACTGAAGCCCTATATTCTACTGGGAACCCAAGGGAAAAAGAATAATGATACAATAAATTAGCTGATGTTGAGCTCTGACTATGACAATATTGAGATGATCATAAGTTGTTTCTGAAGCATTGATTTTACTCATTAGTATACTCTTCATGAGTTTCCTTAGGCTACTGTATCCAAGATTACAACCTTCACTTGATTCAATGAATTTCTTTGCACTCTCTACCGATACTACATTTGAGTGAGTATTTGAAAACTAGCTGTGAGAAATATCACCGTGTATTACATCATAATGGGTAAATAACTAGAAAAATTCTCAATTCATGAAATAAAATTTTTGATGACATTATTCGTAAGAGTTTGAGCGACTAATGTCTTACATTATTACTTGAACGATATCGTCTTCTAGTAAGCCTAAAGTGTAAGCCACAACTGTCTGTGTATAGTAACGGTGGGCCGCTGCCAGCAGTGGAATCCAGGATACGCACTTCGTCCTGCCTCGCAGTGTGTTGTCCCCACCGGGACTCGGGCTTGGGGCGACCGTTTACAGCGCGAGACTGTTACCCACTACACCACTTAGCCGCGGCGGCCACTTCTTGTGTAGAAAATTATTTGAACAAGCTATTCATGGCTAACAGATGTATCCAGCCCACCAATCAAATTACAGATCCATCCTAATCTTATTGGTAGATAGTGTAGCTCATTCTCAGTATGTTTGTATGTTTATCACGTGATATCTTTGAAATCTGATTGGTTTTTAGTTAGGACACTCAATAAGCATTGATAAAAGAATGCAATTAGCCAATAATACCGTAGAAGCTTATATTTGATTGGTTGGAAATTTTGAATTTATTTGTGGAGACTGTTAAGGTTGTCCTGTGTCTAGCATGTTGCCAATTCAGTTGAATATGGCATGACTGACATTACTGGTCATTATTTCGTTCAAATAAAGCATAAAAATATTACAATAAGTGAAGAAATTAATTAAAATTACACTCAAAATAATTTGTCGATTACACTGCATGAATAATAATCATTAATGTTAGTAACAGCCCTATAAAGCATACATGCGAGATACCGGTAGTCGATTGTTAACCTTATTCGTACAACTACTAGGCAAGACATCTCTTTGAACAAGAATTTTGATATCGATATTCAGAAATTATTTCATTTCTGAAAATAAAGCCTTTGTTTATTATTTTTCGTGTTTAGTTTTGATGATAGTATGGAGCCTGATTATTAGTTTTAGTTGTGTTTTTGGATATCAGCCAATCAGTATCAGCACATAACTGACTTTGTATTTCAAGGATCGGAGAAATCTACTTTTCCCGTATAGGACTGAAACTAAGAGGCGGAGATTTAGTGGACCATTGGTATGTCTAATTAATCTTGACAATCCTTGGCAGTGTAACTAGCCGTTGAAGTAACTCAGCTTGTACATTGTACATTGAAATCGAAGCTAACCTTAGAATCGTACTGATTGTTTCATTGAATCTGATTTCTTACCTCATTGAACACATTTTTCTACTTTCAGTTAGATGATAGATATTCGAATCCTGTTGTGATTCTTCAACGTTTACCATCTTCAGTGTTATCGTCTTTCTCACCGACTGAACCATTTTGTTACCAGTCAGGACGCTTAACTCCACCAGAGGAATTTGAAGATCTTAGTGATACAATTGTTATAAATAGTCCACAAATAGATACTTCAGAGTTGAACCAGTCATCATCAGTTAATCTATTTGAACAACCCATCTTCTCTTCATTTCATCATGAAATTTCCGATTTCACATGTTGCTGTTCACCGAACACATCTGATAATATTCATCCAGGCAGACTGAGTCTTTATTCACAAACACAGTTATCTTCACCAATCGGTTGTAATACAGATAAACATCGAGTTGATCAATCATACAATGGATTACCATTAACACCACTGATAGCATCTCCACCATCTATACCATTTTGGCGTCCAATACATTCACCACCTAGGTTACAAGTTGTCAATGAATGGCTTCAAAAGTTGAAGGTGTCAAAGGATTGTAAAGCTTTAAATATTGTTGATACAGAGCTAAATTGTATCGAATCACAACTAGATCTAAGTCAGACCGATGAGGAATCACCACTTCATTCTAACGAACTATTTCCACAGGTATTTTACTACTGAATGATTTTTAAAATTTTTCTCTGAATTTCACTTCCCTTTTAGACTAGTTCATGATTGTTTCGTTGTATTCTTATTTTATGGACGTACGACACCATAGTATATGCTAGCAATCATTGGACTGGAAGTTTAGACTGGTACTGCTCCTACTTTGTGTCGTAGAATCATTGTGTGAGTAATGTTGAAGTTAGACGTGCAGTGTACTACTTGAGGATGGTAATGAAAAAGGCCATAGAAATTGTGAGACTTCATGATCTGAACATGTGTTACACCAACTGAGTCACCAGTCAACTTGAAGTAGAATTGGGTCGGCTAAGGTGATAGCCAGATTAGGATGTGATATTTGTTGATGAAGCGTCTGACCGTTAGTCTGAGCTGTTTAGAGATGTAAGTTGCTTGGAAAACTGGTGTCCAATAGGAATAAACAGTTGAAAAATCATAATGAGGCTGCTGAAAACTGCCCACGACGGTTCAGGTGATATATCCAGCCTCTATCACCTACAAATTGTTAAACATTTTCAAGACCTTAGTATATTTATTCTCTTTCCTGCTGACCACTTTAAATATCATTCATGTTACTATGCAATTTTTCTTAGCACGATGGTATGAAATAGAGCAACTTGAACTGGTATACTTTTGTGCAATGTCCTGCTTTCATTTATCTGTCTGTCTGTCACTAACGAGGTTAGATGATATTATTAACCTTTGTGCTCACCACTTGGCACATGTGACTCTCAGTGGTTACGTCATTCCACGATACAGAAGTTGGACAACTCCATTTGGCCAACTGTAAATTCATATACTGTATTAGTTAGTATGTGTTGTTAGAAGATTCTGGTGTAATAAATGGCTTTAGCGCTGTTGTAGTGGAATATTTCAAATTTAGTCAGTGAGGAGATGCAGAATGCGTAATCGGAAAACCTTTTGTTTTTCATATATTCATTCTGAAGTGTGAGAGCTTTCTGGAACTAATATGATGTGTAATCGCTGTAATATTGATAGGTAAAGGATCCCGAAAAAATGTTAGGCTTTCGCAACATCTTACGCTGTAATGTAAGAGAGTTTGAAGAGCATTCTTTACTGCACTAGATTGATATTTTGTTTGACAACAGTGAGTGAACTGTTTACAATCAAATAAGTTATCGAAGCTCAGAGAACACCAAACCATTATTGCTGTCATTTTGAGATTGCGAACAGTGTCTATTACCTTCGTGAATAAGGTGACCTAGCATGTTGATCATTCCACCTCAATAGTCATATAAACGGTGGGGATTTAGTGGCTGAGGAGGAGATTGCGTCACAAAGGTAAAATACTCGCTCAGTTTTAGCTAACTGATGCCAAACTTGTGAGATTAGATTACAATCTAAGTTGTCAAAAGGAGATGAGTGTTCAACACAGTAAAAATCCCTTCCACCCTACTATATAACTTTAAAATATTACCATTAAGAGTAGAGAGAGCACTAACGAAGAATGCAGGTGTTTTTAGGAGTGTCTAACTGTGAAGGGAGCACTGAATAAGTATGTAATGCTTATCAAAGCTCTTTACTCGAACTGAAGCAGCCATGTACGGGCTTATGGAGACTTGTCATATGAATGACAACATCTAGTGATGTCCGCCAGGGATACCCACTATCACCGTTCCTATTTAACTTCATCTTAGATGTACTCATGGACATGACTGTAGATACGTCTGACATTACAAGGATTGATTTACTCCCTGAAATTCATCTGCTTGATTTGGAGTATGTCGACGATATTGTCCTGTTAGGTGAAAACGCTAACTTAATGCAAGGGGCCTTTTGGACGTGTTGAGCAGAAATCTGAGTACGTTTGGCGTGCGTTTTGCTGACACCTGTCAAATGTCACATGATGAACTGGGACTGGTCTGCTGCAAGTACTCTCAAGTTAATGCAAAGGATAGAAGTCATGGAATGTGTTGACCACTTTACTGATTTGGGCAGTTACATCAGCTTAAACAGGTTGGTTGCTGATGAAACCTTAGCTTCAATACAGAATATTAGTTTGGTATTTCCCAACTGACGTCATCTGTGGCACCCACTGGTGAGATATCTGACTATCTATCTTTCAAAGGATGAGTATACAGCGCTAAAGTCCCTTTTGTCCTGTTGTACGCCTGTGAGACATGGCCGTTAAAAGTAGAAGACATGAAGCGGTTTCGGGGTTTGGATTACAGAAGTTGTCGTAGCATCGCTCGCGTGTGACGGAATCACTGTGTCAACGATGTTGAGGTGAGACGAATCGTACTAGGCAAGAAAGGTAATTCTATTGTTGTTGTGATGAACCTTCATCGTCTGAGGTCGTTTGAACATGTGTTGTGCATGCCAATCCACCACCTTCTTTTAGATGCTATCCTAGGGAAAGCTGGATTAGGTTGGAATAGGGTTCAAGGTGACCAGACCAAGACATGTCACCGGTCGTTGAAGTTTGTAACTGTTGGTCTGAGCCATGTGGGGAGAAGTAGACTACCTGAGTGGGGTCCCCGAGACTCAAGAAATCAATGGTTGAGGACTTTTGGTGGCATACCTGAGAATCTGTCACAGTGACACAGATGGAGTCACTCTTTGATGTCGTCTGATGCTTGAATAGTTGCACTATCCGTTATCTTCAGATTGTTTATTCTCTGACACAACTTTGTCTACTTTGAAATCATATCATATCAGCTCATGATAGAATTTACTTTGAACTTCATTCGTCCATACAACTCAACATTAATTGAATAGGAATTTTTTGCCAATATGTAGCCTGTTTACAGAAATAATGTTAAACGAATGACTGGAATACAAGTTGTCGGTGTTATTGTTAGTGGTTGTGGTTGCTGAGGTTCTGTCATCTGTAGTAAACCCAACCAATAGCCGCTACCTTATCGTGATGGTCTAGCTTGTATGTCATGATGAGTAAATGAGCTACATTGACTGAAAGGCTTGTTCTGTTGAGGTCCTATCATGCCAAATGGGTTTGTTGGATAATGGTAAGACGAAATACAGTTACCATTGTAGTGTAAAGCGTTAAACTTTGATGAGGGTCTGAGGGCAAGGTTGTAATGTTGTCTGGATAGGTCGTGACAGCAGTAAGGTGTTCCTCGTGCATGACCAGTAGTGCTACACTTCTCTACCGGAGTGGGATGCTATAAACGGTTTACCTAAAAAAACAGCACACTCCCCTCTGCCCCAAGGTCTTTCGGTGTTGGTGGTATAGGTTTTCTCTGTTTGGCGTTAAAACAACCAAATCTGAAAACAATCTACAATAGGCTGTATGTGACCGGTCTGAAGCAGATGTCCCATGGGTTTAGTGGACACAAATCATTTTCTCTGTCAGGTAGTCCAAGAAGAAAAATTTCTGTATTAAGCTGATTATCTACCAAATCTAAAATTGACACCATATAACTTCATTGGTATTTCCACTAACAAATTATGTAATAGCCTATCACAGGAAGAGGTCATTGCACAGTTTTACATGATGTTTTCTTTTCTTTTACTGTTAAACCATTGACTATTGAAGGTGAAATGAAAATTTGGACAGCGGCTGGATTCGAACCAGCGACCACCGGGCCGGAAACCCGATAGTCACTGGTTCGTATCCAGCCGCTGTCCAAATTTTCATTTCACCTTCAATCATCACCCAGTAGCAATCATAATTATTTATTTGGCCATTATTTATGTGTCATGAGATCACAGATTGAAAAGTGTGAGGTTTCATGGTGTAATATTAAACAAAAAACATAAGTCAATCGTGTGAATTTATAAACTGTCATCAGCTGAGTTGATGAGTTAACCAGGTTGAGGTAAAACGCGAGAGATAGGAAACGACATCAATATATTAGTGGCCTCTAACTGTTATTATGTTGGTTATCTGACTGATTTCCTTAAGAATTTAACAATCTCTAGACTTTTTTTTTGTTACATGTGATATTCTTCTGTCTTCCTTCCAATTGAAGAGAGTAGAATGTGACAAGTTCGAACCCGTAAGGGCTAACTGTATGGTAATAGGTATGATTCTCACACATCAGACAGCATAACTCCGAGTGATAACCTAGTGGTGTTACCATTCTATACGGTATGCAAAACTATGTCATCCACTCTCTACTTACAAAGTTACATAAGTAGTATTTTCATTTTCTTCTAACCTACTAGCATTCCGTTATATTTTATGTTTTTTTTTCTCTTAGGACACATCAGATAAGATGTTGAATACTTCTTTTCAACATTCTACAGCTGTCCATGTACCAAAATCTACTGAACAAAATCCAGTTGATGTTTGCAGTATGAATTCATCAACTGGTAATGAACACTTATCAACTACTGGACTATCAGGTGTCAGTTCTTCTGTTAGTGTTCTTTATCAAGCAGCCAATGAACGGTGTTATTCATCGATTCAGGTACAGTGTGTTGTGTTTATTATGAAATATATGTCAATAGTAGTTATTACATACTGTCGAAGTAATATAGTTCTTCGAATGGCAATCACCAATCAGTTACTCACTGGTTACGCTATTCGTATACAGAATCCATGACTACTGGAGATCATTCGCCGCTTGCTGAGATCTCTGACTTAGAAAATGAATGGTCCAGTTCTGGGTGCCCGCAGACATATGCCTTTTACATGAATTGGGTTACTGATGTAACTGTTTACTCTTTAGTGCCTGGAACTGACCAAGATGCATCGATCAGGCAAGCCATGTGGCTACTGACCTAAGGAATGTGGTACAGTATATTTTGGTGTTAGATGTTGAGAATTAGTTGTTAGAACGCCCTGACTGACCTCACTTTCGTGCTAGGTGCATTTGTATTCACAAGAATACAGGTTTTCTTTTGGTGGTTCGAATCCGAATCACTTAGTGACGAAGTCAGGAAACGTAAACACTAAGCTATTCGGGCTATTACTGACTCCCTGTAGAACTTGATTGTGCACACAAATGGGTGGTCAGTGGATAGAAGGATGTACTTATTTAAATTCCAAATTCTTAGCACTATCTGATGTTCAGTGCTTCCTGTAGACTGACTCCTAATATATACAATGCAACTTCCTAAAGGTTACAAATGCTTCTTGCTGATGAGTGACAACAGGTGCGAAATACAGATTAGTCAGAATGTATTACTGCTTAACTTCTAATGCCCACGAAGGTATAAACTGACAAACATTAATTAAGAGGTTTCGATACATAAAACAGAGCAATCGAAGTAGTGAACATGTAAAGCATTCATTGAATAGTGTGGTTAGACAGATAGACAGAATCAGCGTAGAACTTTGCACACAACTGCATCACTTTCAGTTGCCACACTTCACAACAGTATACCGAAAAAGATTCGTTTGAATACTCAAGCTTCAGGAGACGTCAAAAAGGGAATACATCTAAGTGACATTGACCGATTTTCAGCCATATCATCAACAGTTCTCAGCCACTGATTTCTATCGTCTCGGGGACCTCAGCTAGGTAGTATGTATCTCCCTACACAGCTCAGATCAATAATCAGGGACTGCTATATACACCTAGTTTTCCATAGCTTCTGCCTGATCTAAAATAACCTACCTGGTTATTTTCATACCGTCACTAGTTTTTCTTCCCTCTGCTGTCAAGGCTGAAATCTCGTCGGTGGTTAACTATTTTAACTTATGTGTGAATTTAGTATTGTCAGGGTCGTTTAGAAATGTGTATATTCAGCATCACTCTCAACTATATTGATTGTTGTTGAGATAGTAAACAGTTCTCTGTGAACAGTCCATCTCCTATTGTCTTTATATGTCGGTGGTATTGTTGTTGTGGTGGTTAACGTTCTGATTTGCGTTAGTCGATTCGTTAGCGCGTTAGGTTCGCATCGGTCGTAGGCTGTTAGGCCGCACTACAGGTCATAACTAATACTTCATCAACTGGTAGCACATCCTAGCCTGACCATCTTGAATCCAGTTCCAACCTAATCCAACTTCCGGTTGCTCTACATGCACGACATATGTCCAGGCTACATCAGCTGATGAAGGTTGGCAATCTCATTAATCCACTTGCTTATCTTACCTAGTATCCCTCTACTGACCTCAAGATTGCTCACACGGTGATTCTATTAAACGTGAGCAATGCCATGAAGACACCTGTAATCAAAACTCTACAACCGCTTCATGTCTTCTACTTTTAACGGCCATGTACCACAGCTGTACAACAGGACAGAAGGGACTCCAACACTGTATACTCATCCTTTGAAAGATAGATAGTCGGATATCTCAGCGGTCGGGATCATGGTTGACGTCGCTTGGAAAGTGTCAAATAAATTTTGTATTCCAGCCGAGATTTTACCAGCAACTGCCCAAGTAAGTGAAATGGCATCAGGTGACGACCGACCCATTTCACCTAGGCTCTACAGCCATTGATTTCTATTATCTCGAGGGTCCCAAACAATCAGTCAACAACTTCCTACGTGACTTATGCCAACAGTCAGGGAGTTCATTTACTCGTACGCAGTCTCAGGTTGGCTACCGTGAGCCTTTTTATAATATAATCCAACTTCTCCTGGTATTGAACGTCTTGGTAGGCTGTGACTTGGCATGCGCAACACGTAGAACTGAGTGTTTTTCAAACTGATTTACATGACAAGCGTTAGGAAAGTAAACCTCTCTGTATTCTGCCCAACCGGTGATGAAATTAGTTTCATTCATATACACCTGATTGTTAGTAACTGTAGTAGTAGTAGTAGTAGTAACATTATCAAGTAGGTTTGGAGGATGATTTTATGTGCTGTAATGTGAGTGATTTGCACGGTAGAGAAGTGTCGGATCCAAGCGGTAGGAAATCAACTTCAAGCCTAACTCTTAAACAAATAATGAATAGTGCCATTTTAACCATTATATACTTGATGTGATACATAATCTAGTAACTCAACTTGAGTTGGTGAATCGCAATACTTAGACTAAATAAAGGAGACATTTATGAATACTGTTTCCGTAAAAAAATTGTTTGGGTTTTTAGGTTGGGACTCATCATGGACTGATATCCGTTGGAGGAACATTGGAAATCTGGTAGCACTGGACAGCCGTTTCGTCCTAGTGTGGGATTCTTCAGTGGTGCGTACCTACGACCCTGCCAGAGATCGAACCCAGGACCTTCAGGTTCCGTGGCCAGCACATTACTATTGAGCCACTGGGTCGAAGTCTAACCGTTCATATTTCCTACTCCTATCAGTTGACTATATAACACGATCTCCATCTCTGGAAGGATTGTGGGTGAACGCTGCTGACGAGTCCCATACTAGGACGAAACAGCTGTCTAGCGCTCCCAGGTTTCCAATGTTTTTCCAACTGATATCAGTCCATGATGAATATCAACCTACAATCAATTAATAACTCTCCGCAAACCTCTAGTTTGGATTGTTATGAATTCATTATAGTGCTTAAATATCTATTCTCTTTTTTTTAACAGTTTAATATTTTTCGGTGTAAAACTTTTGTTAAGTGGAATTGAACAATTATTAATAGCATATTATTGAATTTTCCTCCATCGATATGATGATGACAGCTCAGAAACACGTGTTTCAAATTATTGCATTGTGTGTTAGTATTTATGTATACTGGATGATGATTGAATGTTAAATGGAAATCTGGATCATTGTAGGATTCGAAAAATCGATGTTTGGATCACTGACCCGATACCTTACAGTAATTGAACTATCAGACTGAGAAAAGCGTATTTGATATGATGTCTTAGTATCATATACTTTGATACTTGCTGTCAAGTGTGGAGAACGTTTTTACTAATGAAATTTTAACCCCTATATATTGAAGAAGTTTTAAGGAACACTAGCATAGTGACCGTTAATTAGTAAGTATTATGGGGATGTCTAACTTACCAGGGGAAATGTCTACTTAGTATATCATGGAAATGAATACTCCCAAATGATAAGCCTGTCGATAACTGGTTGCAGGTGGAAAGGAGGTCATGTAGAGGAGAGGGTTTAGAATAGAAAAGCGTATTTCGCCGACTGATCAAGTATAAAGGATGTGCAATAGACAGACGGTAACAATTTATAATGAGAATATAATACTGTTTGGAAATCGAGACCAGAAAGTGGATGACTAAATTTTAAAAAGCCTTACACTGTCCCCCCCGCCCCCTTGATGATCAAACACTGTCCCATCCTTTGCCTCTAGGTTAGGTAGAGGTTAGGTTTCCTGTGTGAAACTAGTAGAAGCGAGTTCCGTTCGAGAGGGTGGCTTCTGTTAAGTAGACGTTGGTCAGACGGTGAGCTAGCGGCATCCCATCCCATCATCATCACCATTACTGTGACAAATTTACATCTAATCTGTAGTTAGGTCATTGCGATAGTGTGTCGAGGGTTGTCATCAACATTTTTACCACTCTACTTTGTTATAGATATACAGTTATGGGTGACTATCTCTTCGGGAATTTCAGTGGTTGAGATCTCTTATCCAAAGGTTCTTTGATCAACTGAAAGAGCCTAGTTGACACATCTTTTATTCAGTGGATATGTTGTCAAACTGTAATAAATTCTAGAATGTTCAGGTTGTCTTTGTGTGATTAGAACTGCATCAAACCAGCTGGTTGTTGGAGAAATCTCAGCTTTAATACAGAAGGCCCCTTCAGCATTCGCCAACTGTATCACCGACTGGCGAGATATTCGGCTATCTATCAAAAGTTGAGTATTCTGCGATGCGGTCTGTTTTAATCTTTTATACGGTTATGAGATAAAGCGTTTAAAGTAGAAGATAGGAAGCGAATAATGAGTTTTTATCACAGATTGCGTGGTAGCATTGGTCGTTTGTGGTGGGACCACCACGTGAGCAATGGGGAGGTCAAGCGAAGGGCACTTGGCAAGTCGATTGATATTGTGGGGAACTTTCATCAGCTGAGGTGGCTTGGACGTGTGCTGCAAATGCTGAGCCACCGCCTACCTTGACGTGGTATGCAAGGGGAAGTTCGATTAAATTAGACAAGGGTTTTAAATAGTAAGACCAAGTCAAGGCACCAGTCAACAAGGTCCGTGTGAGAAGATGTAGACTACCTGGGAATCAGTGGTTGAACACCGTTGTTCATACGTCTGAAAGTCGACCATAGTTGCGCAAATATCTTCACATTTTGGCATCTGAAGCTTGAATATTCGAACCAATCTTTATCTTCAGATTGTTTGTTCTCTCATCCATCCATCCAAATCAACATAGCACCTGGCACTACTGCGTAACGGTCCGAGTTGCCACACTTCATATCAGTACCTCATGTAAAAAGGCAGTGAAATGGAAGATGAAGAAAAGAAAATCCCATCAAAAGAAATATAAAGCACTAAAAGAGAGAAGGGAAGAATGAGAAAATGCTGAGATTTGGTATAGCTTCATTAAGATGAGGATAATGTGTGTATGCATCTGTACCACTGACATCGATTCTGAGCCATATCCCCTAGAGTCTCCAGCCACTGGGTTCCTCTTGTCTCGCGGACCCCAACCACCAAGTCTGCATCGCCCCCACATGGCTCAAGCTAACAGTCAGAGACTTCATACATTGGTGCAATGTTTTAGTCTGGGAGCCTCAGGCATTTTCCCAGCCTGGACCTACTTCAGCCAACATTGCGTGACGAAGCAATCGGGGACTGGGCATAAGTAGTACGTGTCCCAACCATCTCGGTCGATGAAGGTTCATGACCTCGCCAACTGACTTACCTCTTCTCCCTTAAACTCTACACCTAACTTCTGCATTACTCACGTGGTGACACCATGAAATACTGCCTATACTACGAAGACAATAGTGGTCAAACACCTGAAGCTAGCCTTCTCACATCTTCCACCTTCGATGGCCTTGTTTCACAGCCATAGAGTAGAACACAGAGGACTACTGTGCAGGTGCAGTACACGCGACCCTTAATAGACAATCGGATATCACGGTGGCGCCATACGTGGCGTAAGTTGTCAAAAGCCAATTGAGCCTTTTGTATTCGTGCAGAGATTTCACCGGCCACTGAGCCAGCCACCGGGGCTAATCCCACTTCCCAGGTAAGTGAAGTGGTCGACACACTCAACCACTTCACTCTCTGTTGTTAGTCCAGGCATTGTTGGAGACCGATTCTGGAGCAATAATTTGCATTTGGGTGGTGAGAAACACATCTCAGATATTCCCAAATTGCCGCTGAAAGTGTTCAGAAGACTCTGCATGTTGTCAGCGTGTTCACCTAACAGGACTATATCATCTACATATTCTAGGTCTAATGAAAATCCTCCTGTTATTAGGTCAACCCCTGTATAATCAGGTGACGAGAGGGGGACCTTCATGAGAATACCTATGATAAAATTGAATAAAAATGGAGACAGTGGGCATCCTTGACGGACACCAGTCAATGAGCACAGCTTCGCGGATATCTCACCATTGGCTCTAACACGCTCACAAGTGTTCTAGTAGAGAGCCTTCAATAAGGTGATGTACTCACTCGGCACGCCCTTCAGTGAGAGACAATGCCATAAGACTTCTGGATCAACGGAGTCGAATGCCGCCGCCTTCAGGTCTAGAACTACAGCTATTATCAGGCATCTGTAAGCGTGCCTATGTTCCAGAGTCTGCCGTACTGTAAATATTTGGTCGATACACCCACGGCCGGGTCTAAAGCCTTCCTGCCCTGAACTTCTCGAGGTTGCTGTTTCCGAGCTTAACTCAGGCGTCGAAGAATTATAGTACCTAGAATTTTCGCCACTACGCTCATCAGGTTGATTCGTCTGTGGTTATCACAAAAGGACTTCTCGCCTTTGTTGAAGACTGGAATAATCAATGATTTAGACCATTCAGAGTGGATCGTATTGATTCCCATGTATTAGTTAGCACTTCCGTTAACATGACTAAGAGTACCTTAGCACCATCCTTGTATATCTCAATAGTTAGTTCGTCTGGTCCTGCTGCCCTTCTTCGTTTGAAGTTACCTACAGCTTTCTCGACTTCCGCTAGTGTTGGAGGACTTATATAAATGTTCCATTCAGGATTCGACTGGATAAGCAGTCAAGGCGATGCTGGCTGGAGGCCAGATAAACTGTTCCTGGAAGTGTTCTGCCCATCGTTCCATTCGTCTTCTCTGTGAGTGAATCGCAGACCCATCCTTCTCCGCTATGGTCTCATTAACCGCAGTTGACCTTTTCTGCCTACTTTCCTTAATAAGTTTAAATAACTGTCTAGTGTTATTAATCGCCGCTGCCTTTTCCAACTCTTTAGCCTTCGTTGCCCACCACTGTTCGCGGTCGTTGCGTAAACTTTTCTTCAGTCTACTTTTAAATTGTGCCCGCTCTTCGTCGTATTCAGAGCCTGCAGGGATGCGTTCACGTGCATCCATTAGTTCGGAAGAAGCTGCTGATATCCACTGGCTCTTTTAAGCCACTATTTCGCGGTCGGTTACGGTCTTCATTTCCTGCTTTTACAGCAGACTGGAGATGGCACCAAGCTTCTTCTGGATGACTGTTAGTCTTCTGTTCTAATATCTGCCTAGCCAACTTCTCACTGAACACGGATTTGGTGTTTTCGTTGTTCAGCAGCACTCGTAGTGGTTTTGTTGCCAAATTTTCCTTAAGTCCATTGAGACGCAGGCATATACACGCTAGGAACAACGCTTGGTCGCTGTCCAAACATGTACTCCAGAAGAAGTAGCAGTCTTCCACCGATCTTCAGCGATGACTAATAACATTGTGGTCTATCTATGTGGATCGCTGAGTTGAGCTCGATGGATGCCATGTCAGACAGTATCTTTCTTTATGTCTGAAATTTGTACTAGCTAGAAATAGGTGGTTATCTGAACACAGTTGAGGTGGGCGATCACTGTTATCTGTTCGTTTTATTCTCTCACACGACCCTATCTAGTTTGATGGTATGAGTCTTTTTCTATCCACTTGTATACTACTGCGAATCGTCGCAACTTGAACCGATGCACCTATGTGCTAGATTCTACATTGATTTTGTCTATCTATCAGTCAGTCAGTCATTGTTATAACTCTTCACTTCTCGTGATTTGAAGTTATATTTTCCAATATATTTGTTTGTGTTGTTTGCTGGTGTTTTTTATGGATACCCTTTCTCAGGCTATTCATCTCATCTGTTATCATACACCATTTACTGTATTATCATTTTAATATTTCCAATAACAAAACAATAACAAAAGGTTGATCATACTACTGTAGCTAGTTTAGAACTGCACTGTCGTAGTCGTCTAACTGGATCGTCCGGTGTTATTCCAACATCAACTGACTTTGGTGTATTGGCTAAGTCGATGAAATCGTCAACTACTCATTCGAGGTGTGGATTGATACCAGATCCTATCTTAGATCCTATTCAAGTTGCATGCTTGAGTTTTTCACATCCTCGACAAGTATCTTCAACAACTCAGACTATTGAACAACAATCACGTTGTACAGATTTATTCATTTTAATTCTTCAATCGGATTTACCTGGTGCTAGTACAATTCCATTGAAACAGTTACAATGTAAATACTTTCATGGACTAACTAATTTTGGTTATGAAAAGAGAAGAAAGCATAAATCAAGACATTTAACTCCTCGAATGATTTGGTGTACAACAGAATGGAGTCTTATCTCTTGGATTGTTTATCTAATTCATACGTAAGTTAACTTTTGTCCTCACCAAGGTTATATGTAAATGTTCTTACTAATTCTTAACTTCTCCAGTAATTAACTGATTGATATATTACACAATTCTATGTTATTGGAAGGCATGGGAACGTATGTTCAAAGTTTCATACCTAGAAATATGTAAAACTTATCTTCTATTCTACCGCTGATTCTTTTATCAACTATCTAGTCGTTCTTAGTTGTTTTAGGTATGTAAGCAGTTGCCAAGAAAATGAAATTTAAAAAAATATAAACTCATGCTGATCTCCCTTTGTCAGTGGCCTTTTTCTTTAGGGGAGGGGGGGGTTCTGGTTTTCTGTCATTCAGTCCTTTTGGAAGGGTGGAGAATGACCTGATCTTATCCTGTTTCATTGCCTACAACTAGTTTTGAAGTTGTATCGTGTCCTGACTTATGTCTAAAGACTTTGTGAAGAACTGTATATTCGACCATTTTGGATGACTTTGTTCTTCGAAAGAATGATGTCTTCAAACTGACCATTACTATGCCATCTTATGATAATATCATAAAATAAGTAGCTGGTTTTAGCATAACTTGTTTATGGGTTAGAATTACTGAACTGATGATTCCTAGGTGTGAACTGGGCAGAAAACCTGGGATGGAACTGCTGCTTAGCTCATATCTTTGATAATATTAACTCACTATGATTCACCAATAACTAGTTATCCTATTTACTATCCGAAACCCATTAATAACTTGTTTCGATGAGTATTTCCCGTAGTTTTTTAATGAGAAGTTAAGTGTGAGGTGGTTAACTCATAGGCGGCATTGAATGACAGTCGGGCTATATCGTGCATCAACAGAAGCAATGTTATGTGGACTATTGCATAGAAATGATATCAATCCGTGATGAAAACTAAAGTGATCGAGTGTAAGCATATGAATCCACTAGGTTAAGAATAAAATAACTTTTTTCTGATTGGTTCCCTGAAGTACGAAATTGTCCAATAGCATTTATCCTGACCTCACAGCAGCATGGATCAATATCTGAATCTCAATAATGTCTACCCCAGTGGCCAACGACATAAAATGTTGATTTGCATTTTATCCAATTCATATCAAGAACTACTTTGACCTTCAAATAACGACTAATCAGTTAAGGTTTACATGAAAGTTTTCAACCAACCAATAACTCCTTACAAATAAATGTAAGGATGTACACTTTATGCGCTCGAAAAGTTGTCAATAGAGAGAGATTCGTCTATCAAAATTGTTCTTGATAAAAAAGGTTGTGTCAAGCAGAGTATCAGATACGAAAGTTTAGGTTCTCGCACAAAAATTCATTACTTGAAGAAACAACATAAGAAGAGAGAAACAGCAGGAATGGAGAAGACTATTCGAATGAACACGATGGGGATTAAAGATGAATGAACCTTTGTCATTGTAATCGATTTTAACTCATGTTTTTTAATGACTTCATACCAGACAGTCTACATTTGCTTACATAATTTCCACACAACCAATCAGCCACTTCACGATACCTCTTGATCTAGCCACCTAAAGGATTTTTCTCTCAATCTATTCTACTCCACCTAACGTTTGATGTCTGGGTAGACTGAGGTTTCGAATTTATAACACATATCCTAGTCAATTCAATCAGTTCTCGAACTATATAACATACTTGCGCTATCGGATATGATGATAATCTCTAACCCACCTTCAGCTTACATCTCAGAAACATGGAGATGAATAGAGTGACCTGTTAAACACTATATCTATACTTTGATAAGAAGTTGAATATCTCACCAAAACAGGGGATCGGGGGATGATCCAGTGGGTTTATGAGTTGCTAGGCATGTATTGATTAGTTCAACTTGTGTTAAAACTCTGTGTGACTATTGCTCACTGATCTGGACGATTGGTTTATAAGCGATTGATCACGGTTTCGAAAACAGCTCTCAACTACCAAGGTTTGAACAGCTAGGTAGCAGTATTACCTCTCAACCTATGGGTGTTGTATTGAAATCGAGAGAGTTTTAGAGAAACAGTTATATTTCTTCATTTCAACTGAATATATATATTCATGTTGCGCTAAATTTGCTTTCTGACCTTGATATCTTTCGGGATTAGCAGTAATTTCATTCCAATAAATCAATGATTAATCATATTCATAGAAAACTTGTTACATATTATCAGAATTCATATTCGCCTCGCATTCAATCATTTTTACATTCTAATTTATCTTTATATAGTTTTGATCCTGAAATTTTGATTGGTTATGATGTGGAACGCTTTTCATGGGGTTATCTTGTCGAACGTGCAAATCACCTTGGACGTCGTACATTTACACGTGAACTGTCACGTTTAGCCGCAGGTTAGTAAAATATATGCAAATTTATTTGTGAATATAAATGCTTCAATATTCCCTTGGATTTTATTTTATTGTTATTATCTGGTTAATGATCGTTAGCATTGAGATCCAGAACGCCGCATCTCCTCCTATTTGAAATTTAACAGCTGAAGATGTAGTGTTATTTCAGTGAGTAACTTCACTTCCGGTTGGGCTCGAACTCAGAACCTGTCGCTTCAAACACTAGAGTGTCATACATTGATCTACTAAGTCACGATGACCTTAGGTAATGTTTATCGGTTGTTACACACTGACAATTGGAATTTCCCCTTGTTAACTTTACTGACGAGTCTTAAACATGACAAAACGTGCTTAGTGGATTCCACTGCTAGTCACCACCAACAAAACAACATATGAAGAACTTAATCAGCTGTATACCACTCCCATGTGTTATGTGGTCATCATAGAATCTTGACCAACCTGTCTCAGTACACCGGTAAGTATGATTCGGACACAAATATATGATGCATTAACCTGTTATATATTCCGAACGGATATAATACGCATGCTTAACTGACTGCTAACTTCGTACGCAAAAGCGACCGACTGCAACCTGGGACGAATAGAGAAGAAGACCGAAGCTGGATGGGAGAGTTTATTCTTGCCAGTAGTTCGCCGGTTCCCACCCATCTTAATGGACCGAGATTTGAGCAGAAAGATAGCAGTATCATTAGCCCTTAACACAGTAGATATGGTTTGTTGCCTACTGCATGGATGTACCCAACGATGCTGAATGAATTTCGATTAGATACGCTGTGACACGATGACATCAAGACAGCCGTCGTAGAATAGCACTACATGTGATGGGAATGATAACCTCGTTCAGAAGTGCCTGTGGATCAGTGGTTTGCAACTATTATCTGTCATGTTAATATGAAATAAGGTATCTTACTAGTATACATAGTGATGACAATGAAAGAAAAATATCTGAAATTCAAAAACATGGAGATTGCTTACTGATATGTACTGTTAATTCAGCAGTCAGTCAATATCAACATCAGACTTAACATTACTGTATGACAATTCAAATTGCCACATTTCAAGATATAAGATAGAAAGATGAAAAATTGAGATAGACACGATCGACAAAATCAACTCAGAATCTTGCACATAAGTGGATCGTTTCAGGTCGCCATACTTCACACTAACTGACAAGAAACAAGTGGATAGAAACTGACTGATATCAAAAGTAGACAAAAGTGTATGAGTGGAAAGAGAATTCGGAAATGAAGATTACTAAAAATACTTCAGCATTAGAAGACGTTAAAGAATGAATACACCTACTCCATAATGATCGATTTTCATCCATGTCAGTGAGTATCCTCAACCACGAATTTTTTTATCATCTTGAAGATTACGGATAGGTAGTCTACATCTCTCTACATGGCCGAAAGCAATAGTCAGAGACTTCATGCATTGGTTCCAAGTCCTAGTTTACCACGTTGAACCTTCTTTCAATCTAATCCAGCAGCTGATAACAATGCACACTGAGGTAGAAGTAGTGGCTTGGCATGTTCACTTCATTCGATGAAGATCCACACCGTCATCGACTAACTTCCCTACCGTTCCTAGTATCCTTCGTCTGATCCTAAGATTACTAACATGGTGATTCTACCAACGCAAGCAATACTACGAAGAAATCTGTGATTAAAGTCGTGTTATCGCTTCATATTGTCTACTTCCAACGGTCTCACAGCCGTATAACAGGACAGCACAGACTGAAGTCCAGTATACTCATCCTTTGATAGATAGTTGGATATCTCGACAGACGGCGCAAGTGGTGATTCATGTTGGCGAATTCCAAATGAGCTTTCTATATCCTGAGTTGACATTTCATCACCAACCAGGCACTTTGAGCTGATATAACTTCCCAAGTAAGTGAAGTGGTCGAAGCATCCTATCATTTCATTCCTTGCCGTTGAACTGGGAGTAGTTGCAGACCAGTTCTGAAGCCATTACCTTACATCTAACAAGTGTGAAGTGTATGTCAAGCATACTCAGATCTCTGCTCATCATGTTCAAAAGACCCTGCATTTTATCAGCGTGTGTATACCTCAAATCCACGTCATCCATTCCATGGAAGATTGGGAAATGGGGAAGAAATTTGTAAAACGAGAAGAAAAAGATATAAAGCAACGACGAAATCTGATCTGACGATTGTGAATCATATCACTTGGAGTTTCCATACACCTTTTTCAGTTGTCATGCAGATCCCAATCAAGAAATTTGCATTTATCTACACGACTGAAGCGAGTGGTCAATATGCGTAGATGGCAAATAAGGAAACACTGATCACAATGATAATGGTAATAGCGAATAAATAACAATCAGTTAAATTAACCGGGTAGATAACCTGAAAGCTATAAGAAATTGAAGATCTAACATGCTTCTTCAGTGCAAAGTTCAGGCTTGAATCAGTCAACCAACTCATCTTCATGACAAGATTGAGAATTTTAATGTTGCATCTTGATTTACAAGCTATGATATCAAAGGCTATATTATTCGCGCCGCACAAAAGAGTGGCTATTGTGTCTCAATGGCCTAATGGGTAACGCCCCGAAGTTTGGTGCGATTGGTCCTGGGTCCAGGTCTCAGTGGGAACAACATTCACTGGGTTACAGGTGGACCCGGCTGACAGATCTCAAACAGGACGAAACGCGTATCCTGAATTACTCTGCTAGCCACGATCCATCATTACTCGTCTTCCTTGTTCCTATGTATGTTGTCTTTGTGTCTGTTAAGTAGACATTATCTTACTTGAATAATCAGTTTACGAATTATTTACAAATTGACAGTTCTTATAGGCGATTATTTTTAAGACTGCTCGATTGTGGTGTCAATGGGGCCGCCATTGGAAACAATCTAGCCAAGATCATAAGGTGTGATGTCTGACACAAAGGTGTCATGAATTCGAAGAAATCTACAGATAGATGACATGAGTGAGTTGAAACTACTCACGCCGATCTGTAGATTCTATTAGCTAGATGTGAGTGATCTCAGCACTGGATGACCTCATCAGCGGTGTCCCTGAACAAATTCAGCTCATAAAGGTAAATTGTCCAAGTCACCTGGGTCTGGCCAACTGATTTAGAGGGATTAGTACACTATATATTGGATAAGGAGCTTACAAATTATTTATTTGTCAGCTGAAACGTCTTGAATAAGGTAAACAGTTATCTCGTGTTGAGACCACTGCGATCCGGCGAGCGAAATTTACAGATAAGCGTTAATGATTCGCAATTTCTCACGTTGTTTAGTAGCACATTTTACTCTACACATGGACGGTGAGAGTCAGTTGGTAGGAAACCCTGCCACACCTAGGTTCCGTGTTTGTTGGCATTCATCAGAAAGGCATACCTTCCACAATGATTTGGGCATATTCACCTAGTGCTGAAGTCAGAAAGTTTACTACCAAGCTGTTGATACCATGACTGCTACCCTTAAGGATTGGATTGGTCACATGAATAAGTTACCTGTAGTGACCTACGTAGCTGTTTACACCTTGTTGCTTTGGACTGACCGGACTCTATCGATCAAGTCTTGCAGTGTGTGGTCACTAGGCTTATTGACGCGACACTTCTATGCTGAAGTGAATTGATATGCACTCATGAACTTGTACACAATCGTGCAGTAGATAATGAGCCACACCTTATTGTGACGGCTAATTATACCTGCTGATTACCCAAACCTCGGTAGGTGGAGCGAGGCTCGAACCCGCGACCCGTTGTTGAAGATCGTCTCCCCAGACCAATAAACCAAACCTCCACTCTGTTATACACTTCGTTTCAGCGTGTTTTGTTTCTTTGTATACTTTCACCTTTACCAATTGCACGTCTTACGAAAAGGTATATATTTTATTCTTGAACACTGGTTTAATGGTTCAGTTTCATCCCAGTAATCAATGAAAAACGGTTATCCTTTCGCGAAAGGTTTGACATTTAGAAATTAACATCAATTAGAAGACTGATAAAGAATAGAGATTTCTGTGGCAGCCGCGTATCGGTGAGATTGTTATGGCTCATTAGCTTATACATTTAGGGATTCAACTATTAAAGTCCGGGTTCGAACCCCTGCACACTTACCAAGCTTTAGAAAACTAGTTACCCTTTACACGCTACTGACTATATAAGACTACAAGTGATTTCTTGGCTATATTGTTGAGGCAGTATCGAATAGCTGTTTCGTCAGTATATACCATCTTCTTTCCCTGTTTTTCTAAGTTTTACGCGTTTATAAAAGTCACTGTTTCACGTTTTTATTATAACTAGCAACTGTAATCGGATCACTGTTTAATTTCAGATATTATAAACTGTCCACACTGTCATGAATGCGTAGATGAATGCATCAAGATGGTTCATACAACGACAGGTATAACAAGTGGACAAAAGAGTCAATGGCATTTTGATACACAAGAATTTATGAATAACTTAGATCAACCGTGTAATTGTCCATGTAATCCTTTGTATACATCAACTTTGGCAAGTAAACACTTCAATTATCCTACTAATAATAATACTAAAGATAGTAATAATCCACGTGTTGTATGGCCTTGTGGTCCAGGTGCTGGTCGAACTGGTGGTCTTTTCGCTTGCCCTGGTCGAGTTGTCCTATGCTTTTGGAGAATATTAATGCATGAAGTAAGAAATAGTGAAGAGAGATAGTTATTATTTTTTTGTCATTTCACTTCTGTTTGTTTCATTTTGTGAATTATTGACTCTGCTGTGGTTAAATGGTTTGGGGAGCATAGCTACTAAGATATGTACGGAACGATGTGATTGATTCCTTGTATATAGGTTCACGGCGGATTGTTTAAAAAGTAATAGGAGCTAGTTGGTTGTTTCATTCTATCATGGAACTTTACTATGGTGTGCTTTGGGTTACTATACAGAGGGTCAAACCAAATATCTGTAACTCTTGGGATGAGTGTTCAACCATTCACCTTGTGGGTTAGAAAACAGTAGTGGAAATATCAATTAATGTCATCGATTGACTAACCAGCTAACATCAGTTATCTCTTTTTCATCGCTTAGAGATCATTTCCTCTCTACATTCCATCTTCAAGAAATGTAAACCAAATTCAGTCTCTAATAAGCAGTGAACTATAATTTCAGTGAGAGATATGTTGATAATTGATTGAATCGGTTTCATTCACTACTGTTAATCTTTACCTTGAGAAAGAATTGAATAGCTGGGAGAAATGAAAACTCTGAAATTACGATAAAGTAATTGCTCTATTGCACACATTTACACACTGCACGACAATTAAGTATGCGTGTATTAGCGATACCTCTGATTAGTGTTTGAGAGTGCTGAAAGTACAACCTTGAAGAAGAATAGGAATTCCCTTGAACTTCGTCGTCTCTAGTCGCGAATGAAAAATCACTGTTCAATACTTCTCACTTATTAAACATCTTTCAGCCAATAAGTTTTTCAAACAGTAAATTGGTATAGAAATTGTTTGGCAAATAAATTAGTAACATTTATGTGTAATAGTTTTTTTAATTATAAATTGTTAATAAATAGGCGTTACTTCACAAGCTGATACTTTTGATATCAAGGTGATGGTTGAAGATCAAATAAAAAGCTACATGACATCAGGGTTCGAATCACCAGCCTTCGGATTATTGACTGAACTAGAAAGCCCAGCTGATGACCATGTCTCAAATTCACTTCAGCCATCAAACGTTTTACCTAACTGTCATGTGAATGTGTGATTACACTATCCACCCATCAAGGCCTTTTTCGTGGACAGTTGGTTTGAAACTTTCCGCTATGCAGGTTTCTATTTGCATTCAATCACTGTTCCGTATTAACAGTTCGATTATTTGTAACTGGGTGGAATCTAACAGTCTATATTTCTAACTTCTGTCAGTTCATGACATAGCGTGACCGCCACCTAATGTCCTCATGACCACCAGGTTTTGCCCTACTGGTCACAACTCATTGGAACTTCGAGAATCATTTCTCGAAGCTATTCACCAATGAGCATTAGTTCAATTGAATTTGAAGGTTTGGGGGGGGGGATTTAGAGATATTTTAAGTTGGTTTTCATTATCAAACAAACTTAGAATGTCTCTAAATCGCCATAATCCCCCCCCCCCCAAAGTCAAGTTACACAGTACATAACTCATTCGACGTGATATATTATGAGGTGAAAGCAAACCGTTTGAAGGGATTTTTAATGCATCTTCTTGAAGAGCAGATGCTCTGGCTACTTGCAAATAGCATCTTGTATTCTGTGTAAATGAGCGTTTCGTTCACTTCCTTTTGCTACCATCATCGATGTTAGTTTCATAAATCTTTGATTTTTGCATAATAATTTTCCCTCCGATCCGCTTCCATTCACTCTGTTACAGCCCATATTTACTGAGTGACATTCTTCTCGCTTCCTTCTTTACAGTAATCTTGTCCTCTCTATCTCATCTTAGTGTTATGAAAGACGATAAGCATTTCTGAGCTCGATTCATTATTTTACGTATGATTGACTTGACATATTTTGCATTACACCCAGCAAGATTCAGGTGATCTGAATTAATTTTGCTGTATCGCCTGAATTCGTCCGGGTGCACTGCTGATGGATTGGCTCTCAGACGAGCGAAACGACCGTCCTATTTTTAGATTATTCTAATCTAGCTGACTGACGAAACCCACGGATCAATCTGGGTGATTTCTAGCCACTCAAGTCCAATTTTTATCTCCGATACACAGTTTAGTGTCTGTTTGTTTCTTAACTGATGTTGACCTTTTGCTCTTGTTGAAACTTCGTGATTGTTAATTCCTTTTCTATCTATTCGCGATTACCCCATGTAATGTTGAGTTTGTATCCTTTTTTGTGTATTTAGTTTTATACTACTTAATATCACTAAGTAGCATGTGTTGTTTTCCTTTAATTTTACTGCATCCTCAACTTAACTGTTAATCCTATTCAATCATATCTTGTTTATCAGTTGCCGTCTCTGGATATTAGTTCCTTTCACGGTTCATGTTAGTGTTGGGGTCCCTTTCGGTGTCACCTGGTGTTTTATGTTGTCTTCAAAACTTGTTTATCTCATGCCTTTACTTCATCGTGGGAACATACGCGTGTGCTTCGCATTCCCTTCCTGGTTTGTCTTGGACACAGCCTGGGTGTCGTACTATCGACGCATTCTCTATAAGATGCTTTGACAGCGATAAACTCACAGATGACTTACGATTCGAGATTCGTAATTTATTAGTCACCATTGTTTTTTTTTTTCTACAAAGAACCGTATTTCAGACAAATCTTGTGTTTTTTTTTTGGATTTTACGCGTAACTCAAACCTTTGGTTTATTGTTGGTGAATCGCTGCGGTTCCGAATTTCTTCGAACCTAATTCTCAATCATATTTTTAAGCTACTACTGTACAATTATGCAGCTATGTAGAGAAGTTACAATAAGAGTTCTGTTTTCTGATGAATGTCTTTTTATTTTATCAAGGTGTTTACAATTGAAATCGGTAAGTTAGTTGGAGAACCGGTGACCTTTTTGAGATATTCAAAGTCAATGAAAAGCATTTGGAAATAGATAGTGGTAGGCCAGAAAATTATCAAAAGATGTCAAAATTTCAATTTTGGAAAGGTTGGTATTTAGGCTTCTGATAAGTTGTTTCAACTTTGGTCAAGAGAGTGTGGCAAAGAATTCACATACGTCTCGTTAGGTGTACATAAAGCATTGACGTGTAATCAGTGATGGTCAACTATGAAAACACTACAAATATAGTCTTAGAGCTATCGAGTATCGAATGTAGGGATTTTCAAAAACGCTATTAATGGGGAAAAAAAATCCCACATCATCAAGACGGTACACAATGTGAATTTTAAGTTGCTTTAGCGGAAGCGATCGCTGGATATAAAGTGTGTCTAATATACTCAGAATATACATTGCTTGTTTCATCATTCAATTTCTGTTATTACTGGTTCTGGGGTCTAAACCCTATGCTCCCCCTTCACAACCACCAAGGTTCGCGTTTATCGTTTTAAACACACTCAGCGTTTACACTTAGGGCAGGTTGGGGAATCTCAAAGTTAAGTTTGTGCATCCTTAAAGGGTTTTCTTTTTATTAGAATAGACTTGTTGAGTAATTAGAGTACATAACATAGGCTTCTTTTTAGTTTACGCCTCCTCAGCAGTGCACATCCATGACAGTATGTGAGATCCTCGATGGCATTGTTTAATGGTCATACTAAACCACGAATTCATAGAAGTTGGAAACACGGGGTATTGAGCGCCGATCAACAGCTCGGAGGATCACCCATTCAGGAGATGCTTAAATATTGTATATTCGATGAAACTGAAGGTTGATATGCACACTGCTGCGGAGTCCCAGACTAAGACGAAAATGTTGTTCAGTCCTCCTAAGTTTTCAATCATTATCCGACTGATTTCAGTCCGTGATGAATAATAATTAGTTATCTGTGCTTTAGGTTCCTAGTGGAACAAGAGGCTTTAGTAGCACGTCTCCATTTCACTCTCTTCTCTATGGTTTTTTTATTCTAGCTCCACGACTGCGCAGAAATTTTCATTTCTTCCTCACACCATCTCCTCCATATCACCCTCAGACGCCCGACTCGTCATTTCCCCTTTGGGTTCCACTCGATGGCCTGGCCTGACGTGTGATGTCTTCAAACCATCTACCTTCTCAGTATGTGTCCAGTCCAATCTATGTCCACTTTCTTCTACATATTTGTTGGACCATAGGTTATTGGTTGGTTTGTTGCCAGGTCCAAGTTCCTTGCTGCTGATTCTTATTATTTTGGCCATCTGATCTTCAGTATCGAGTGAGCGTAGGCTGATGATGTACGTCGTGCTATGTCTCTCAACCACCACATAGAAGCACTGTCTTATTTCACATTAGTGTAGAAAATGCGGATCTTGTTCTTTATGCTGAGTGCAGAAGATCTCCACACTGATTTCAGATTATTGAAGGCTTGTCTTGCTTTTCCGATCCTAGCTTGACATTCCATGTGCCTAGGTAGATGAAAGAGACAACTTCCCTTACATTTATCCGGTTCCTGCTGATTGATGTTTGTTGTTTTTGGTTAGGTATCTTCAACATCCCTGTCTTCTCTACGTTCACCTGATAGAAGTGCCATTTTCGCTGCCTCTTCTGTCAACTTGTTGTTTTTTGCCTGTAGCTCTTCTAGTTTGTGCGACATTAGACATAAATCATCATCGGCGAAATCTAAATGTTGTTCTGGGGTCTTTTCATCGGTCCAGCCAGCGTTTGCCCATCTTCTCGTTCCTCACAGTTCCTTGCATGATCCAGTCCAGTCGACCACAATCAGGAAGATCATCGGTGATGTTAGGTGACAACCTTGTCTTCCTCCTGTCTTCACTTCCACTCCAAAGGCCTTACTAAGCTTTCCATTGTGATTCAATGGCATGTAACATCATATAGGATGTAGTGGTTGAATGAGGTTGATAAAGGTTTGTTGCACTAAAAGTGTAGTGTTGAAGCAGCTGGCAAATTACTTCTCGGTCAATGTTATCGAAGGCCTTTTGAAAGTCCATGAAGTTGAGTTGAAGATCCAGTTCACTGCCATTCTATGCTCTGCTCTATGATGATGCGTAGCGTTGCAATTTGATCCCCACATGACTTGTTCTTCCTGAAGCCAGCCAGCCTGTTCCGGTCGTAATTTTGAATGCAGCGCATTTTTTTAGTCTCTTCAGGATGATGCGGCCTAATATTTTGCTTGCTTTAGGTGGACAGGAGCGTGATTCCTCACCAGTTCTTGCAAACATTTAGGTCCCCCTTCTTTGTAGTTTGACAAGGTAGCCCTTCTTCCAACTAACAGGTACCTTTTCTTCCCTCCAAACCTTGTGCAATGGTGGTGTTGTCTCTGTGTCTGTTTTCAGTGCTTCTGGTGGGATTGCATCTGGTTCTGCTGCTTTTCCGGATTTCAGCAGCTTTATGGCGTTCAGGAGTTCACTTGTGCTTTTGTCGGAGCGCTTGTGTTCACTGGTAATTCTGTGGCTGGACTCCTAGAGGTATTTCTGGACGAGTTGCAGGTGGCGCTAGTGGTGGTCGATTCAAGAGTTTTTGAGTAGTCAGCCCATTGTTCCCTTTGTTTCTCCACTTAGACAACTAAGTTTCCTTCACTATCTTTCATTGATTTCATCTGTGTTGATCTCTTCCCAGATAGACAGTAAGCTGGTTATTTGATACAATATTATCAGGTCTTTCCTACCAGCAGCCTGTTCTGCTTTGGCTGCAAGTGTGTCGTAGAAGTGTCTTTTATCCTTCTGCGCACTCTTCTTCACTTCTTCGTCAGGTGTTTTATACGTTGTACTCAGTTCTTCTTTTCGTTTTGCATTCTTGCACTGGTTCATCTTCTGCTTCATCATCTTCCTCTCCCTCCTCTCTCAGCTCCCATGTATCCGTCGAAATCCATTCCTTGTCTTGCATCTTCTTCTTCTTCCTTCCTAACACTCTTATGCAGGTTTCCTTCAAAGTCTCTTTCAAAGAGTTCCAGTGTTCATCCACGCAGGTTTTCTAAGGGATGTTGCCTAATGTCCCATTTTTTTCTGATAGCTGACGTGAAGTTGTCCTTTGAAGTTTCGTCCTTCAGTTTCCGAGTGTTGTACTTGAACTGCGGTCTATCACCAGCTTCCTTGAAGGCTTTTAACTTGATTTGGAAGGTTCCTTGCACTAGATAGATAGTGAGTAGTATTAACCTACATCTGCTCCGCTTCTTGACCTTGTGTCCAGTAGGCTGCATCTCCACTTTCTTCATATTGAGATGAAGTCAATCTGATTCCTGGTGTGTCTATTTGGTGAAATCAAATCCATTTCGCGTTGTGAATATCCTTGTGCTTGTACACACTGCCTCACCTCCAATCACCAGATCGTTGAATGCACAGAATTCTGCAAACAGTTCTTCATTCTCATTCATTTCACCGAGCGCTTCTCTACCCATGGTTATTTCTCTTCCTGTGTTGTCCGCTCCCAGTTTCACATTCATGTCAACCCACCTGTTGGAATTTTGATGTTGCCAACTGAAGTCTTGTCCAGTGTTGATTGCAGTTGTCTGTAAAATTCCTCCCTCTTCTCTTCATCTGCATTATTTGTAGGTGCATAGCGTAGCATTGAATGATCATGACTTTCCTTCCTTTTCAGTTGAATCTTGCTGTCATGATCCTGATGCTGGAGGAGATTGGTTCCCACTACATGAGAGTCTTCGATAGTCTTAGAGACATCATGATAACCACTCCATAACTCTGTGTGCTCGTGGTTGTCGTCTAGGTGACAATATCGGATTAGATTATTGACTGTTCAGTTGACAGTTTTGAGAGTCAACTTCCATTCTGTCTACTTTCTCAGATTCCTAACTCTTCTTTGCTATGCCTTCTGATTTCTTTTGCAATCTGGGCACCCTCGCTAGGTTCATACATGGTTCAGACATTTCACGTGCCCATGTTTACTTTCGCTTTTATCGAGAGAAGAGAAGACACACCGGCTAATTGGCTTCTCGAAGGCTTTCACCAACCGGTGTCATTTCGTCTCCTTGATTCCAGAGAGGAATAAGTTAATTTTCTAATGATATTTTTTCTGTGCTTTAAGTTTCTTTAGCTATTGGATTTGTTTTCCGAGGTAGGGTTGCTAGCCCTATGCCCAACCTTCCCTCTTTATCCGGGCCTTAGACCGGCTAGTAAACTAGGCGAGGTTCGTGATGAGTAATACTACCTTGAAATCAGTTAGTATCCTTCACAAACTACCAATTAAATTACTCTCCAATCCACAATAATCTGCTTGAGAATGAATTTCTCAACATTCTGATGAGAATCTGCGATCTGAGGGACTAACCAAATTAGGAATGAAAACACTTTATTCTTGTGAGCATTGGATGATGGGTACGCCATACAACCGAATGACAGAAATAGGAAAATTTGAACGATTCGTTCCCAAGCCAGTGGTGGAGTGACAACGTGCTCACCACTTGGCCTGATGGCCCTTGGTTCGATTCCATATAGAGGCTTGTATCAGCACTACTGAGTAGTTCAAAGCCACACTGAAAAAACTTTCCAGTGCCTACAGGTTCTCGGATCGATAAGTTATTATACTAAGTGTTGGCCGGCTGGAAACCCCCACTTGTTGACACCATCAGAAAGACTTGTCTGCAACTTCATACATCGGCCTAGATTCATTTGACGATTTGTGTGGGCGATTGTCACAATTGTGTTCAAGCATCTACCGTTGAAGTACAGTTGACTTCGCTGTTTGATCACTTAGATTTGACGAGATATTGGACACCTGTTCAACAGATTTCGGTGGAGACAAGTTAATAACTACACCGGTTACCTTCTGATAACTATGTAATCTATCTCCCGCAGTATGGGAAAATTCCTACTGAACACCATGACATCTGTGGAATCGATATTGACGCTATCAAATATACTTCCCTGCTAATGAGCTAGAGGTTTGATTCATTGGTTTAAGCAGTTGACTTCCAACCAAATGGGCCGTGGGTTCGAACCCCGCTCCACCTATCTAGTTGAGTACAACTGGACAGTATCTATAACTAGCCTTCACGCAGTTGCTGTGGATTATTGCCTTTTGTATGGATATGCATAGCGTTACTGAGTACATTTGTCTGATGAAATAGTGTAGACATTTGTGTTAATTGCTTATCAATTTTCATTGCAGCCAACTTGAAATATTAAAGATTAAATTTTAATTATTTCTTCTTGTCTTTATCCTCTCTTCTTTTCTGTTCTTCCTTTCTATTCTACTTTAGATTAGTCTATATGAGTATAGCTTGGAGACTGTAGTCCATGAATTATTGAAGGAATATATGCCTCGTTATACTTTTGGACAACTAAATGAATGGTATATGAATGTGGATGGAATAAATCGGTATACTAATTTATTATTGTATCCACCTTTATAATAATTTACTGATTCAATTTTTGACATTTGTGGGGAGTTAATTGCTTTCAAGTTCGTGCTCATCATAGACTGACTTCAGCTAAAGAACGACTGAAAACTCAAGAGCACTGAACAGCTGTTTCATCCCATCTAGTATGCGACTTCTCAGCTGTGCGTAACCGTCGAGGGTTTGAACTCATTACCTTCAGTTTTCGCGCTGACCATTGGTAGTGTATATAAGCAATTTCTCAGCCTATAGAACACAGTAGTGTATAAGTCTTATTACGCGAACACCTACGTCATGAACTATATTCTAATTATGTTACATCTTCAAGCTTTATTTATTTAGTATATTGTGACGTCTCTATGCGTTAAATATTCCTTTATGAATGATAAAGAAATGAGTATCACTGTATTGAGATAATATATGCAAACAGTCGGAGGTAAATGGCGTTAATGGTGATAATAATAAAGACTCAGAAGAGATAGGCAGTCCAATATGTTATAGGGAATAAAAAGTTGGCATGAATCTTTATCACACTTGTTGATTCTGAATCGTCACCGGGTATTCTTCATATTCTGATCTAGATTCAGCATTGTTTTAATTATTAGAAGGCATTTGTACTATCTCCTAGCCAGTAGCCACTACCTTGACGTGGTGGTTAGGCTTCCATATCACAATGATCCAACAAGCTACGCTGGCTAGAACGCTTGTTATTTTGAGATCCTAGCATGTTAGAGAGGTTTGTTGAATAGTGGTAAGACTAAAAGCAGCTACCATCGTAATGGGTCTGAAGGTGAAATCGCCCTGCTGCTAGCTGGATGGGGTGTGACAGCAGTAAGGTGTTTCCGTTTGACGACCAGCAGTGCCACGCTGATGCTGCCCTTCTCTATGGGGAGCAAAGTAAGAGAAGGTGACCCCCAAAATAACACATTCCTCCCTATCCCACGGTCTCCCGGTGTCAGTGGTGTACGAGAATAACAACCCGCAAAAGGCTGACTGTGACAGTCCTCGAGCAGATGTTCCATGAGTTTGTGAACAAATAGATCTTTTTTTCTTTCATGTACTTTTAGAATAAATGACCTTCCGCAATGTGGACAACCGGGAAGTGTCAACCACTCGCAAGCTTCCAGTAGTACATAGGATCCAATCAAGCATAACCTATCCTCCTCAATTCTGTCTCCTTTGTCTTTATCTTTTGATACTAATATTAAGCCTTTAACACTTCACCCAACTATTGCCAGCGACCAAAGTCACCGAAACCTCAGTTCTAGTCTCCTAAGACCCTGCCATCGATTTCATGTAGGGGCTTCCAACGCCCAGTCCCTATCCCAAATTGGACTGCCAGCGTCGCTCGCCAAAACTCTAGAATCTCGAACCGTGGATACATGCTGTGTCTCTGACGCACATGTACAGGAACCGAGTTAGGTATTAAATTGACCTCATCTGATTCCAGCTGACTCTGACCACAATGGAGATCAAAAGCAACTTATACGTATATTGATCATGAGCAGTGGTGAGTCGCGAGAGCAAGAGTAGTAGAGAAGGCTTCAGCCTTAAGTAACACCCAGTAACTGTCTTGGTTTATTAAGGACACCGGCAAGAAGAAGAAGACGGCTAGTGGAACCATGACTGAAATGGATGAGATGCTGGTAACCTCTCAGGACATACAGCAAGAACATTAAGTGAAACACTTTGAAGCACAGTTTTACCGCCCCTCAGCAACACTGCAGCTGCTTAACATCCAGCCTGAATCTAAATGGAACATATATGTTGCTCGACCAACTTTCGTTGAACTTAAGAAGGCTGTATCGAACCTGAAACGATGCAAAACAGCAGGACCTGAAAGTTTGCAGTTTGAAAATTTCAAGGATAGAGGTGGGAATTTACTGATTAAGGAGAGTGACATAGGTACTAGGTAATGTATGGAAATCAGAGGTAGTGCCGTCAGACTGACCTACTTCACTAATCGTCCCAGCCTAGAAGGGGAATAGTCCTTTTTGTGACAACCATAGGGGAATTAGTTTGATTTATATTGTGTCCAAGATTCTAGGGTCCTTAGTTATTCGACTCCTAACTGGATCTCGAAAACAGCAAACTCGGTGAAACCAGGCCCATTTCAGACTTAGGTGGACGAGAGTGCATTGATCAGGTCTTTACCCCCAACAGGTTCTAGAACACAGGCCAATGGCCGACAGTTGCCATATTTCTTGACCTGAAGGCAGCTTTTGACTCAATCGACCATGAGGTGTTGTGGTAGTGTCTGATTGTGAAGAGAATACGGACCAAGGATATAATACGAACTCACACAATGGAAAGTTGTCATGTGAATGACAACACCTAGTGGAGTCTTTCAGAGATACCCACTGTCACTATTCTTATCTAACATCGTTAATGACGTACTGATGAACATAAGCTTAGGTACGTCTGATTTCATAGGGACTGATCTATTCCCTAGAGGTCATATAGTTGACTCGGAATATGCAAATGATATTGTTGGGCTAAGTGGAGACTCTAACAAAATACAGGGTCTTCTGGACGCGTTGAGCGGAAATCTGAGTATACTTCATATGTATTTCGCTCACACTTGTCAAATATAGGGTAGTAAGCAAGACAGGCAAGTCGATTGATATGGTTGTGAACCTTAATTGGCTGAGATGGCTTGGACGTCTGCTGCACACGCCAACCCACCGCCTACCTCAAAATGCCATGCTAAAGGAAGTTGGATTAGGTTGGGAGAGGGTTCAAAGTGACCAGACGAAGACATGGCACCAGTCAATGAAGTCTCTGACTCTTTGTCTTAGCTGTGCGGGGAGATGTAGACTACCTTGTTGGGGTCCAGGAGACGAAAAGAATCCATGGTTGAGGACTGTTGGTGACATGACTGAACATCGGTCACATTCGCTTACGTCTTCTAAAGCTTGAATATTCGCACTAACTTTTATCTTCAAATTGTTTATTCTCATACAGAACTTCGTCTACTTTCATATCACTCTTATTCTATTCACGTGTTATTTGTGCACTACTGTGAAATGTGACAACTTGAACCGATGCTCCTGTATGCAAAGTTCCACATTGATTTTGTCTGTCCGTGTTTTTTCGTACATTTGTGTAACATTTCATGCGATTCGCTAGTTTTCTAATTGTCTTCTCTAGGTTTCAATAATTAGTATCAGGAACTAATACCATCTGGCGATGGGTTCGAACCCGGCCCTATCTACTGCGAGTTGCCAGGTGATATTATTACTGGTTACATTGCCTACTACAGTAAAGTATGCGTGACTGTTGACTGCATCTCGTTCTGTCATCCATTTCTTTAGTCCGAGGTACTATCAACTCAAATAAATACCAGTCTTCTGATTTCACTCTTCAGATCATTTACTTTGAATCCTCTCCAACTCTCGGACTCCGCCTGGAGAAATCTCATCTAGTGTTTTTGATTGTATAATATCAATTAATTAATATGTAAAGTTTACTAGTTTGTTGATCAAATGATGAATCTGATCGTCGAGGTTGACCAATTTATAAAATGATTTACCAACTGCACAGTCCATGTTGATATTTCTCACAGCTGATTAGTTTCTCAGCTGCTCAACCAGCGAGACCTTGAAACCCAAAGACTGAATGAAGGATATAAGCTAATTGATGTCTGAATGATGATAAGTAACGTCATGGTCAGCTGAATAATTTCAGTCAATCAAGGGTCCAAAATGATCAGTAAGTTGGAAAAAACATTTCGTCAGAAGATTTCACCTCAATAAGTCGAAGACGCACAAAGATTATATATTTTAAATTATACTTGCCTTCTCAGCACTGCTTGTGAGTGTTGCAGAAGTTATTGGAACAATGTCGAAGTTAGAGTTGGCGAGAACTAAGCAGGGAAAGCAAATCACAGTCAGAGAAGTTATGTAAATTCAAGGACCAAAGTGGCTTGAAAGTGTGTTGTACGTGTTAAGCCCTCATCTACTTCGACGTTGGCTGAGCTGGGATTTGTTCGGAAGAAGGTTAGGCGTGGTTAGATCCATACGTGTCACCAGTTGAAGTAATCTCTGACTTCTGATCTGATTCGTGTAAGGAGGTGGGGGGAAGGGGGGTGTTCAGTCTCTGTCTTGAATAATTTAGACTGTATAAATCAACGGTCGGAGTTTCTTGATAATATGATTCAAAATCGGTCAGAGGTGTGCAGATATAGACACTCTTTGACATCTTCGAGGTTTTCAACACTTTCGCCAACCTTCAACTACCTAATAGGCTTTGATTGACACACTTTTAAAACTTTTAGTATCATCGTTTTCTAACCACATCTTCATTGTATGCTGTTGTAAAGTGTGGTAGCATGAACTGATACATTTGTGTATCAGGTTCGACGTTGATTTGTTTCTCTACCTGCTTGAAAAGTAAACCATGGAACAATAAGTAATGATTTTGAAAAAGATTTTATGAGATAACCCTGGTTTTTCACATTGAGGGAAGATTCCAATCCTGCTAGTCTCCAAATTATCAGTTCGGCAATCTACTGATTAGGTTATGAAACTTGATTGCTAAGTACTCCTCATTGTTAACGTAAACGCCAAGTGTTCCGCTGAGCTGCTGAGCAGATTTTGTATCGACTTTGATTGCCATCCTTGAATCGGAAGATAAGTCTACTGACACAATCAATCAATGACTTCATCCCTCTAATTCAATTGAGATTTTAGTCTTGTATTTCGCATGAATATGATAGATGGGCGGAGGAACTCAGTGGTCGAAATAGCACTGAAGCCTGGTTAGCAGCTTAGACGGCAGAGTACCGTGCTGATTGATTTTGAAGCTTTCTATGATCTAGATCTTTTTATTCATTTAATTTGCTACTTCTGAATCTAAATTAAGCTCAAAAATATCGATAAGAGATAATATTCTGTAAACCAACTGTTTAACACGTCATTTTCCGAAATATACTTCTGGGAGTTCCCATTTCTTGTCTCTATCTTACAGCTGTGAATAGAACTTCTTCACTTCAACTAACTTGCAGTTTGTAGGGATCTGCTTACTTTGAAAGACAGATCTCAATCACTCAGTAACATCACAATTAAAGAACATTTAAGTCACTTACAGATCCATGCAGGCTAATGATTGACACTATCTGATTGCTCACACTTCGCTAGGTGGGACAGGGTTCGAACACGTGATCCACTTGTTGAAAGCCGATTGCCTAAATCAGCAGTAATGAAATTTTTTCTATTAATTACCATCTCAACATTTTCTAAGGTATTAGTAATACTACTGAATTTTCCGTATATATACGTATAATCTTTTTTCGATGTTTTGTTTTAATTTACAAATAACCATAGCTGGCGGACAGTTGATTATTGGATACGTCGTTCAGTTGTCAATCTTCGACTATTGAATACTTTAGATTTAATTGGTCGAACAAGTGAATTTGCTAGAGTATTCGGTATTGAATTCTATCATGTTTTATCTCGAGGCTCTCAGGTTTGTCAAATTGCCTATCAGTATAATAATTATTGGTTTTAATCAGTAATATATGTCGGCTTGTTTCAACATGAACTTCTCTAAGGTTTAGTAAAATCCATAACCTAAGTAGGTCAGTCCAGTTCAATGTTGGGCCAACTTAGACCTTGAGCTACTAAACAAATTTTCTACTGAATATATATATATATATATATATATATATCATGTCATCTCGTACCTTTTTAAAATATTTTCAAACTGATGGTTCTGAAGCTAAGAAAAAAGGTTATACCGGATGGGACTGAATATATAAATGCTCAAAAATATACCACAGTACTATTTCTAAGATACATACATGGAATCGCAGATTTTTGTACTGGTCGACTAAACTATCACCATCATAATTCTACTCGATTTTGTATTCATGCCAAAGTCGAAACCAGATACTAATATAGCATGAACTGCCTGTTTCACATTAGTCCCGTTAGTACTGTTATTATTAACATTTTTTCAGATACACTAACTATTTCTTTGAAAAATATTTTACAGGGAATCGATTTGTTGAAATATTACATGCTGAGAATTCCCTACGTGTTGTTTGGAATAAAGTGATTATTATTATTACTTGTCAATGGCATTAGATAACAGTTGTACTAAATTATATGAATTGACAGAAGTTGGGAGAAGTAGGGGGATTGGATTCTGATTCTAGGTTCGATTCCATCCAAGGTCTTGTTTGTGCTCTGTTGAAGAGTCATAACCCACGGTCGAAACAGCTGTTTTCGATACTTGAGTTGATATCGATCCATGCTAGAAATTTCTTTGAAATTTCATGTGTCATTTTCCTATATATATATATATATATATATATATATATATATATATATATATATAATCATTATTATTATTTGTCCCTTGGGTTCCTTATGGAACATAGGGCTTCAGTAGCATGTCTCCATTCCATTATATTCTTTACAATCTTTTGAACCTGGTTCCACGAGAGCTTAGAAGCTCTCATTTCTTCCTCACACGATCTCCTCCATGTCACCCTCTCCTCAGACGCCCAACTCACCATTTCCCATCTGGGTTCCACTCGAGTGCCTGGCCTGACGCGTGATGTCCTCGAATGGTCTTCTCAGTGCATGTCCAATCCACCTCCACTTCCTTCTGCATATTTGTTGAGCGATAGATTCTTGGTTGATTCGTTCCCAGAGCTCCTTGTTGCTTATTCTTATTCTTATTCTTTCTGGCCATCTGATCTTCAGTAACGAATGAGCGTAGGCACCAACTGTTCATGAATGTCTGTAGTTTGTTGGAAATCCCTTTCGTAACACTCCAAGTCTCTCAACCATCACATAGAAGCACTGTTTTACTTGACTGCATTAGTGCTGAGTGCAGTAGATCTCCACATTGGTTTCAGGCTAATGAATGCCCTTCTTGCTTGTCCGGTTCTGACTTTGATATCCTCGTCTGTGCCACTGCCGCCTGCAGTTGAAACGGTCCGTATCACCATGTTTACGTTTGCTTTCATCAAGAGAAGATACATCGGCCAATTGGCTTCCCGAAGGCTTTCACCTACTAGGGTCATTTCGTCTCTTCGATTCCAGCGAGGAATACGTTTGTTTTTATTTCTTATTTTCCTTCTGTGCTTTAAAGTTTCCGTAGCGGTTGGATTGGTTTTCTGGGGTGGGGTTGCTAGCCCTATGCCCAACCCTCCCTCTTTATCCGGGCTTAGGACCGGCTAGTAACTGGTGAACTAGTTAACCATGCGAGGTTATATATATATATATATATATATATATATATATATATATATATATATATATATATATATATATATATATATATACATTCGACATACAATGATGCAGTGGTTACAACCATAGTGTATACGTTAATCGGTCACTTATATGGTTATATTGTCCGGCGCGAAGCACCAAAAGCATCCGGATGAATTGTCGCTTTGCAATGTGACCACCAAGTTAATTGACTCAATACCACAGGATAATTTATCTCATCTTGTTGAACAGTTGGAAGTTATCTGCTAAAAGTTATCCATTTGATTCTTATATTCGTTTTCGTTCATTGAAGGAGTAACTGCATTGTATGCAAGAATTCACATATAGATGCTTACCTGTAACTATTTAAAAAACACTTCTCTATATGAGATGCCTCAACATGAGTAATCTATTACTCGTCAACATAGAACTTCACCCACAAATGCATCACTTCAATTGCTCACACTACATAGTAATACACAAAAAACAGATGGATAGAATAAAAGTGATATCAAAGTAGACGAACCTGTATGATAGAATAAATAGTTTGAAGATGATGTATAGTGTAAATATTCAAGCTTTAGAAGACGTCAACGAGTGGAAATAACTACACCGGACTGTAGCATAGCTTAGTCTTTCCTTGATGCATAGTTGGATATCTCGTTGGTGCTATGGATGATACAAGCTGGCAAATGCCTAATCAGCCTTCTGTATTCTGATCTCAAATTTGATCAGAAACTAGCTGGTTTGGGTTAATACACTTCCTTAAGTAAGTGAAGTGGTCGGCGTATTCTATCAAATCACTCCCTGACTAGTCTTACATTTGACAGGTGCGAACGCAACGCATGCTGAACATACTCAAATTTCTGCTTACCCTTTTCAGAAGACTGCTTGTCATCAGCATCTTCCTCCAACATGACAATATTGTCTGGATACACATCCAGGTATGCTCATGATGAATATTAATTAGTGGGTGCACCTCAATTTTAAACACACATACGTCCTGCTTAAGCACAAATATTCCATCCTAAATAAGTTATCAGTCTCTAGTAAGACATAAAACGGAAGGCGGCTAGCTACTATACTCCCTTCTCTGATCACCTACTGTTCTTTCAAGTTGTGGTTTTTTGCTTTATTGAGTGGATGTTCAGCCAGTGGTTTGAGGGTTGCAAGACATCTGGGTGTACCGAGTTTTAAATAGACAGGGAGTAGTAGTAGTAGTAGTGTCATTAGCCTTCATATACACTAGGTGTGGTTCATTGCCTTACTACTGTAGGAAAGTGGAGAATGTTGGTGAGTGGATTTCAACTTCTTTCGACTTCCTGTTTTATGCACTGAACATTAACAGTTTATATTGAATACGACTTGCAGACAGACAGACAGAGAGAGAGAATGAAGGTAGAAGGTGACAGATAAGTGTATCGCCTGAACTCGCGATAATCGAGTGTAGTAGACAAAGAATGGGTGTATAGGATAATAGTATGATATGAGTAAGGGAAGAAAGTAGTGTGAGAGAATAAGTAATTTTTGAGGTTTGTGTAAATATTGAAGTTTTTGAAGATGTCAGTGAGTGAATACATCTTCGTGGTGGTGACTGATTTCATGGTATGTCACTAAGACTGTTTCGTTTCAGGGACCCTAGGTATGCTGTTCACAACCTCGTTAATTGATTTATATTGCCTTGATTAGTACTTTTTACCTGAAGTCAACATTGAAGCATTATGAAAGCATCCATACAGGAATCGAAATGCTAATTATTACTGTACGATGTGCTTAAAACAATGACAGGAAACTACAAGTTTATAACACTATATCGTCTGTAGGTTTTTCGTTCCAATATGTACTTAACTCTACTTGTAGTAGTTTGTCATAGTAATTAGAAATCATTTAAGAATTTTTATACATTTACATTTACAATAACAGATAACTGATCTGATTGTCTTTTTATTTCCTTCAGTATCGTGTAGAATCTCTGCTTTGTCGTATTGCTAAACAGTCAAATTTTCTTTTGCCTAGTCCAAGTGTGACACAACGAGCTTATCAACGTGCACCTGAAGGTATCCCTTTAAATTTAGAACCAGAAAGTGTATTATTCATTGATGGACCGGTAGTTGTACTAGATTTTCAATCATTATATCCATCAATTATCATTGCTTACAATTATTGTTATTCTACAGTTCTTGGACGTTTATCATGTCTTCTACAAGGGTGAGTTCAATTATTTCATTCAACTTGACCAAGCACTTACATTTTCATACACTTAGACAATCAGCTACGTTCATTATATGACAGTTAATCATCTTAAGTGACTAGTTAAACCGTAGTATGTGAAGTAAGATTGAAGCTTATGATTTCTTCCTTGACCAGATAGATGTACCACAGCCTCATTATTATTTCATAAGTATGATATTTTCTTCAGTGTTGTTACTTATGTGTATAGAGTTGTAGCATGTTGGTCTGCATCAATGGTTGTAGACTCTTGGATTATATAGCTGAAAATCTGTCATAATGGCGTAGATCTATACACTGTTTGACGTCTACTAACCTTTGAATAGTTTCACCAAACTTCGTTATTTTAGAGAATTCCTTTTCGCCTCTCTACACTTTTCTCTCATTTGATATCAGTCGTTTTTTATCCATGTGTTATTTATATACCACTGTGAAATGTGACAATCTGAACCGATGCACTTGTTTGCGATGTTCTACGTTGCTTTATCTGTCTGTCTGTCTGTCTGTCTAATAATAATAATAGCTTTATTCTGGAATCGGTTTCGGGAATACTCTATAGAATTTTCAGCACGTCATATAGCATATAGCATCAATTGGACAGAGACACTGTACATGTATATATACCAAAGTGAAATAAGTAGAAATTACACTAAGAAAAGATAAGTATATTCTCTCTATCTACAGCTTTCTTTAAAATGTATAGTCAATTTAGGTAGACAATCACATTGGTAATTAGATTCATAATACGTAAAACGTAACACGCTCATCTTCAGTTAGTTTACTTTCGAAAACAGAAGTTGATTTGTTAGTTCATTTCTAAAGCCTTCTTCATCATACACCAGATGAGCTAAATACGACAGTGTTGTAGAGTTTTTATACTAGTTACTATGTTGTATGTACTTGTTCCTTGTTTTTCCAGATGACCGACTTCCAAAGTGCTTTGAGTGGAGAGTGTCGGTCATTTGATAAAATAACTCCTCGTAGGTGTTGACATGACTCAGTACGTTTGTCCACAACAGTTTTAACTAGAGGGTTTAAGGGGTACACCACTAGCTCTGCTAATAATCTTCAAAGTCCTACACAATACAGCATAGTCTTTTTCCCAGCAACCCATGAAAAAATAAACGAGAACAGACAAGGTACAGGAGTTTATAAAACACAAAAGGAGAGGCTGAGTGATACCAGATCCTCTCAGCTTCCTAATACGGAAAGTTAGACAGAAAATTTTTTTAGAAATTAGTGAGACATGGACAGATCAGGAAAGGTTCAAAGAAAAACACACACCGAGATAAATCACACCAGTAACATCCTCTAATGCACAACTATCAATACAACACGAATCATGAGAACTAAGCAGTTTACATAAGTTATGTTCATGTCTAAAACTAAAGTTTATGGTGTGATATTTTGAAGAATTAAGCATGAGACCATTCACGGGACACCGTTGTCTAACAATAGACAGGAAAACATTCAGTTGGGAACAATCTGCTGAAGAGGAGATAGATGTGGAAATTGCTAAATCATCAACATATTTAATGAAATTGATACCAACTAAAAACGGTAGGTCATGCAGAAAGAGTGAGAAAAGACGTGGGGAAAGGATGACTCCTTGGGGAACTCTAGTCACAGTAGATAATGGGGTGGAGCGCTCCCCCCTTGTGAACAGTATGTTGTTTCATATCAGAGAAATAGGAATGTAGCCAGCCAATTATCCAGGATTCAGTATTTGTCCCGGTTAGCTTTCTGAGTATTACAGTGCAGAAAGATAACATTTAAGATTGCATGAAATGAAAACGATCAAGTTGAACAACTGACTAATCGGCAACTATGCTTGTTTTTTTTAATTTAGACGTTTTTCGGAGATTTATTTATTGATTTCAGGTTGGTATTCGTCATGCACTGACATTATTTGGAAACCTGAGTGGGGACACTGGGCAATTGTTTCATCCTGTCGAAGGGACCCTCAGCAGTGCGCTCACCTATGACCGCTTCAAGGATCGAAACCGGGACCTTCAGGTTCCATGATCAGCACCTTTGTGCTACTGGGTCGAAATCGAATGGTCCACACTTACTATGTACTTGGTGTCAGTGTATATTGAGTTAATAATAATACTAGTAATAATAGTAATAATTATACGTTCCGTCTACTCCATTTGAACATTTCCATAGTTTATCCAGTATACTTGAATCTTTGTATCGTTTATTTGTTTGTTTGTATTTCTCTTCTCTTTCTAAGCGAAAATGCTGTATTCAATCTGGGGTGTTTATCTCATTCCCTTCCGTCTGGTTTACTGAAAGTAAGTCGAAAAAAGAGACTATTACATTTTTACTGTGAATGAGTGAATCGTTGAAAAATGAATTTCACCAATGATGTGGTAGCGACACTTGTGTATGCTTTTTAAACGGAGATGAGTGGATAGAAACTCAATTCATGGGGGCTTAGTGTCGTCTAGTCTTATTTCTTTATGTAATTCTCCTGGACAGATAGAATAAGATCGTACACAACGCGGCCGCCAATGGATAACCAGCGTATTGCCCTCAGCAGTGATCAAAGTCTGTTGATCAAGTTTCGCAATGTTAGCACCCACTCAACAAAGTGACATGACACTGTGATACACTGAAATTTTAGTGTTGGGTGGTGGGGGTCGTTCTGCAAGAGGCTCAACTTAACCTAGATTTCGTGCTTGTTAGCACTCATCAGTATGGCTATTGTACAATCCTGAGGAACTAGTTCTTCCGCCTTGATTCGAACCTGCGCCGTTCACTTAATTCCATGTACTTCAAAACTACTTCCTATGATTCTTCACTATCATCTGCTCGTAAACCATAACAGATACTCATAAACAAACGATGACATCTTTTTCCGCCTTGAATAGTAGTTATATGTCACAACAGTATAGGTAAACAGAGTGATCAGTTGCTCAGTGTGTTGATTTTTCGATTGGTTATCGGTTATCTTGTCTGCACACTAGCGTTCAACAAATGTTAAACCAGCTTTCTGTATATACTTTGATGTGTTGGTCATCGGTCGACGTCTCATTAGAGTTAATGTAACTATCTAAACAACTAAATGATAGGTTGACCCAATCAGTTCATTCCATAACTTAGTGTTTGTGGCTATCACACTTATGAGTGATATCATTTTACGTCCCACAGATGTCGAATACGCCTGCCTACCAAAGAAACGTTTTGTTCATACTTTTACAGATTGTGTTCAAAATACTCTACTTTTTTGTCTTGGCATTTTAATGGTATAAGATACATAACATTGGCATGTATATTGTCCGGGAATTGTCTAAAAAGGTTACCAATATCCGAGAATTCAGAAGTAAATAAACTCACTCATGAAATTGACGTAACAGAAGATGCTCATATCCGGTTACACTTAAGGTTAATATTAGTAAATGTGCCTCAATAGCAAAACTTTATACTTGCTGTTCAAACACAAATAGTCCATTCTAAATAAGTTATCAGTCTCTAGTAAGACATAAAACGGAAGGTGGCTAGCTACTATACTCCCTTCTCTGATCACCTACTGTTCTTTCAAGTTGTGGTTTTTTGCTTTATTGAGTGGATGTTCAGCCAGTGGTTTGAGGGTTGCAAGACATCTGGGTGTACCGAGTTTTAAATAGACAGGGAGTAGTAGTAGTAGTAGTGTCATTAGCCTTCATATACACTAGGTGTGGTTCATTGCCTTACTACTGTAGGAAAGTGGAGAATGTTGGTGAGTGGATTTCAACTTCTTTCGACTTCCTGTTTTATGCACTGAACATTAACAGTTTATATTGAATACGACTTGCAGACAGACAGACAGAGAGAGAGAATGAAGGTAGAAGGTGACAGATAAGTGTATCGCCTGAACTCGCGATAATCGAGTGTAGTAGACAAAGAATGGGTGTATAGGATAATAGTATGATATGAGTAAGGGAAGAAAGTAGTGTGAGAGAATAAGTAATTTTTGAGGTTTGTGTAAATATTGAAGTTTTTGAAGATGTCAGTGAGTGAATACATCTTCGTGGTGGTGACTGATTTCATGGTATGTCACCAAGACTCCTCAGCCACGGATCCATTTTGTGTTTGGGACCTCAGCTATGCCGTCCAAATTTCCGCTTCCGGCTCCGACTGACAATCATTGGCTTCAGGGACGTCGTCACGTCTTGGTCTATCCACCATTAATCCTCTTCCAACACAATCCAACTTACCCCGTACATGGCATGGCACGTCGAAGTAGGCTGTGGCTGGGTATGCGTGGTACGTGTATTAGCCACAATTTGTGTTTCAAGGTTCGCAGAATCACTGAATGACATGTCTTATACCTCACACGATGATTCCCATATATTTGAGCAATGTTACGAAGATGTTCAGAAACCTGTAACTGCTTCAAGTCTTCTACTTTTAACGGCCATTTTTTACATGTATATAACAGGATAGAACGGAGTGCAATACAGTATACTGGTCTTTTGGTAGAAAGTCAGATATCTTGGCAGTCGGCGCCGCAGACAGTTCAAGTTGGTAATGGCTCAACGTTTTTTTTGAATATTCAACATTGTGTGTTGCAGTCTTCTATCAGCCAAAAGTTATCTTGGCACGACGAATGAACTGACTCCTAACTAGACAAAATCGACATTAGTTCTCAGGATTTTTGAGTTAAGTAGATCACCCTTTTAGCACCGATACTGATTATTTCTTGCTTTCATAACTCGTCAACGTCTCGTGAGCCGTCCAGGACGTTAAGAGCCGATATATATATATATATATATATATATATATATATATATATATCGTCAGTATCGGTGCTAAAAGGGTGATCTACTTGTTGCCTGTTTGATATTTTATGGCTTGCTAGAGCTTGAGAACTTAGTTTAAATTAGGTGTTGAGATTTGGCATTGAGTGTGAGCACTTTTATACACTAAACTTGTGACTTTGTTCAAAGTTCTCACTTCTGATTTTTATTTTCCTTTAAGTTGTACTGATGCATAGAAAACCGTACAGAAGGTAGTTTTACTTCATTTCTACTGGATTTATCCTCAGTAGATTGTCGTTAAAGTCTCTGTTGGCTTCGATGTAAGAAAGATAATCAGTAGCTCAAGAATGGTAGAGTTGCATTGTTCAACCAATTACAAAGTGCTCTAAAGGTCGAATTCGAAACGGTAACCAGAGAGTATCAGAAGATTTTAGCATCGGTCTGCAGGTAGTCTACCGGTCAATAGTAGCATTAAAAGTAATTTTGTTTTTACATGAACCTCGCCTGGTTAACTAGTTCACTAGTTACCTAAGCTCAGGTAAAGAGGGAGGGTTGGGCATAGGGCTAGCAACCCTACACCGTAAAACAAATCTAACCGCTAAAAAAACTTCAAAGCACAAACGAAACATAAAAAATAAAAACAAAATTATCCCTCGCTGGAATCGGAGAGGCGAAATGAAGCCAATTGGTGAAAGCCTTCGAGAAACCAATTAGCCGGTGTGTCTTCTCTTCTCTCGATAAAAGCGAAAGTAAACATGGGCACGTGAAATGTCTGAACCATGTATGAACCTAGCACGGGAGGATAAAAGACACTTCTACGAAACACTGGCAAGTGAAGCAGAACAGGCTGCAGGTAAGAGAGACCTAACAATATTGTATCAAATAACCAGGTTGCTATCTGGGAGGAGATCAACGCAGACGAAACCAATAAAAGATGATGAAGCGAATTTAATTACCAAAGAAGAGAACCAAAGGAAACGATGAGCCGACCACTTCAAGGAGCTCTTGAATCGACCACCACCTGCACTTCGTCCAGAAATACCACCTACAGCCGCTGAACTATAAGCGAACATAAATCCTCCAACAAAAGTGGAAGTCCTGAGCGCCATAAAGCTACTGAAATGTGGGAAAGCAGCAGGATCAGATGGAATCCCGCCGGAAGCACTGAAAACAGACGCAGAGAGAACAGCGGATATGCTCACACCACACCACTATTGCAGAAGGTGCGGAAGGATGAGAAAGTAAATACCTGCAGATCGGAAGAAGTGTTACCTTGTAAAACTGCCGAAGAAGGGAGACCTCAGTGTTTGCAAGAACTGGCTAGGAATCACTCTCCTCTCCACCCAGAGCAAGCAAAATATTAAGCTGCATCATCCTGGAGAGGCTAAAGGATGCATTGGATTCAAAACTACGACAGGAACACGCTGGCTGGATTCAGGAAGTACAAATCATGTGCGGACGGAATTGCAACACCACGCTTCGCATCATCATAGAACAGAGTATAGAATGGCAGTCAACCCTCTACCTCGACTTCATCGACTTTGCAAAAGCCTTTGACAGCGTCGACCGAGAGGTAATTTGAAAACTGCTTCAATACTACTAAATACCACAAACCTTTATCAGCCTCATTCAACAAGTATATGAAGACGCCACATACCAGCCGAGTAATTGACAATGGGAAGCTCAGTGATGCCTTCAAAGGGAAGTGAAGACAGGAGTAGGAGTGAAACAAAGTTGCCTACTATCCCCCATGATATTCCTGACTGTGTGGTCGACTGGATCATGCAGTAGACAACAGTGGGGAGCTGTGAGAAGAGGGGGATACGCTGGCTGGACTGCGGAAAAGAACCTAGAAGATTTGATTTGGATTTCTCTGATGACTTGTTTCTGATATCACACAGACTTGATAATCTATAGGCGAAAACTAACAAGTTGACAGAAGAGGCGAGGCAAGGCAGCGAAGATGGGACTTCGAGTGAATATAGAGAAGACAGAGATGATGAAGATACTCAACTAACAACCCCAACAACAAATTCCAATCACCGTCAGCAGGAGGAAGTTAAAGGAAGTAGCCTCTTTTACCCGTCTAGGCAGCACTGTTTCAACTACAGGCGACAGTGGCACAGACGAGGATATCAAAGTCAGAATCGTAAAAGCAAGAAGGGCATTCATTAGCCTGAAACCAGTGTGGAGATCTACTGCAGTCAGCCTGTGGAACAACATCCGAATTTTCAACACTAATGCAGTCAAGTAAAACAGTGCTTCTATGTGATGGTTGAGAGACTTGGAGGGTACGAAAGGGATTTCCAACAAACTACAGACATTCATGAACAGTTGGTGCCTACACTCATTCGTTACTAAGCTCAGATAGCCAGAAAGAATAAGTAACAAGGAACTCTGGCTGGCAACGAACCAACCAATAACCTATCATCCAACAAATATGCAGAAGGAAGTGGAGATGGATTGGACATGCACTGAGAAGACCATTTGAGGACATCACGCGTCAGGCCAGGTTGTGGAGTGGAACCCAGATGGGAAATGGTGAGTTGGGCGTCCGAGGAGAGTGTGGCATGGAGGAGATGGTGCGAGGACGAAATGAGGTCTTGTGGGCAGTTGTGGAGCCAAGTTGAAAAGATTTCAGAGAATAGAGTGCACTGGAGACATGCTACTGAAGCCCTATGTTCCTTAAGAAACCCAAGGGACTAATAGTAATAATAATAATAGTTTTTACACGAAACTTAATTACCCAATATTTTGCAGCATATAACGATTAGTTTAATGAACGCTTATTTAATAGACTTTTACGCTTTCTCCTTTACTCGTTTGTATGGTGAGCGAAACTGTTATCGTCTACATTTCGCTTTGTGATTTCTTCAATAGTCAGTTTTAACAAGATGAGACAAAATCAACATAGGACCCACGTATTACTTGCTTAATGGTTCAAATTGTTACACCACGTATTATATTTATTTTCCCTTTGGGTTCCTAGTGGAACATACGGCTTCACTAGCACGCCTTCATTGCACTCTCTTCTCTCCAGTCCTTTTAACCTGGTGCCACGACTACCCACAAGCTTTCATTTCTTCCTCACATGATCTCCTCTATGTCACCCTCACCTCGGACCCCCAAATCATCGTTTCCCCTTCGAATTCCACTAGAGGGCATGGCCTGGTGCATAATGTCCCCAATCGGCCTTCTCAGTGTATGCCCAATCCATCTCCACTTTCTTCCACTGCATATTTGTTGGGCGATAGGTTCTTGCTTCGTTGGTTTATTGACAGTCAGAGTTCCTTGTTGCTTATTCTTATTATTCTGGTCATCTGATCTTCAGTATTGAGTGAGCGTAGGCGTCAGCTGTTGATGAATGTCTGTGGTTTGTTGGAAATGGTTTTTGTGACATGCCAAGTCTCTGAGCCATATAGAAGAACTGACTTGACTGGTATTGGTGTTGAAAATGCGGATGTTGTTCACGTTTTATGGTGAGTGAAGTGCAGTAGATTTTCACACTGATCTTAGATTGGTGAAAGCCTGTCTTGCTGTCTTTATGATCCCGGTTTTGACATCCTCATCTGTGCCGCCTGTAGTTGAAACGATGCTACTCTGCCTAGGTAGGTGAAAGAGACAACTTCCCTTAGTTCCCTCCTGCTGATGCTGATTGGAGCTTGTTGTTGATGCTGTTGTTAGTTGTTGATATCTTCATCTACTCTGTCTTCTTTACGTTCACTTGAAGTCCCGTTTTCGCTGCCCCGCCTCTTCTGTCAACTTGTTAGTTTTTGCCTATAAGTCTTTGAGTTTGTGCGATAAGACATTATACATGGATCATCATTGGGGAAATCCAAATCTTCTACTCGGGTCTTTTCATCGGTCCCGTCAGCGTATCCCTCTCTTCTCGCTCCTCACAGTTGTCTATTGCATGATCAAGTCCACCGCAATCAAGAAGATCATGGGTGATATTAGTCAGCCTTGTCTTACCCCTTCCTGTCTTAACTTGAAAGGCGTCACTAAGCTTTCCATTATGGATCACTTGGCATGTAGCGCTTTCATATAGCTGTTGAACGGGGTTGATAAAGATTAGTGGCACTAAAACCGTAGTGTTGAAGCAACTGCCTATGAAATAACTTATCGGTCGACGCTATCAAAAGCCTTTTGAAGGCCGATGAAGTTGAGGTAGAGAGTTGACTGGCATTCAATAGCCTGTTCTATGACGATGCGTAGCGTAGCGTTGCAATCTGATCTGCACATGATTTATTCTTGCTGAAGCCAGTCAGCATATTTCGGTTGTAATTTTGAATGCGGAGCATCCTTTAGTCTCTGCAGACTGATGCAGCATAATATTTTGTTTGGTGTGAACAGTAGCATGATTCCTCTCCACTTCTTGCAAAGGTTCATGTCTCCGTCAAAAATGATCGAAAGTAGTCAAATGAGATGTGACTAAAATTTAGTCTGACAATTAAGATGAAATGTGGACAATGTTGTGCCACTGAGATCGATTCCGAACCATATCACTTTGAGTCTCCAATCACTAGTTCCCGTTACCAGAGTGTGATACAAAGCGGGCTAAATGGAAATCAACCTTTTAAGTAGAAATTTTAGATTTCAACTTTTATTTTCGTGTTACTGTGTGGTCAGGGAAAATCTTATTGGACGACTTTGTCCTTCAGTTAACCAATCAAAATGAAGTACTTGATTTTTGACCTAATTGTTTTATATGTTCATTTAAACTGTCTATAAATAGTGTATTTTTGTGGAATAAAGAGTTTTCCTTACAGTCACATATCAGTCCTTGCTTTTGAATATTTTTGTGTATCAGAGAAGTATATGATTCTGAGGGTGAACAACCGGTGTTCGCATCCAAGCGAAATGTCTCATTACATTATTATTGTTATTATTCACCTGGTTACTTCACATTGTAACCTCAGTCGGGAAGTTTATATTCCCCCTACATAGCTGCAACCAAAAACCAGAAACTTCACGAAGTCTACTCACCTGTAGTTTTTAAGGAGTATAACATCAGGAAGTTGAAAGACTTCTGTCTCAATAACTGTTGAATCAAACTATCGATTTCTAATTCCTATACCATTTTTCATCTGAGTTTGTATTTTCTGTTCTTAGAAAATTGGACAAGAAGTCAATATATCTCCAAATGGTGTGGTATTTGTGAAAAAATCGATTCGTGAAGGTATCCTACCACGGTAAGTTTCAGTGTAATCATAATATGTGAATAGAATTTCATCACTGTGGTAGAATATGATTCCTTAATTGCGTCTTATTTTGAGTATCATACAATGAAACAGTATGATTCACTGAATGATGTTTCGAACATAGTCTATTGCGCGTAATCACATCGCAAGGTAATCATACAACTGTCTGGACCCACTGTCATTCATTGTTTGAAAAAATTTGTAATAGATTTTTCCATACATTTAAAATGTGTATTGCATCATTCTTATGAAATGTGTTACGTATCGATTTAATAAACAAAGTGTCAGATATCGGTCTAACTCTTTGTCGATTATCCGAAGTTATTTTGTCTGAAAATTGTCATCTTGTCTCATCCTGCTTAGTGATTGTTTAGGATGGTATACATGGCGATGGTTGAGTTCTTTCTTTCGTCTATTTCTGGTGCGTTTTCAATATTCTGTCAACCAATGTGCATTTGACCTCACAGTCATTGCGTGGAATGTAGTAGGTCTTCACTTGAAAGGCGTCACTAAGCTTTCCATTATGGATCACTTGGCATGTGGCGTTTTCATATAGCTGTTGAACGGGGTTGATAAAGATTAGCGGCACTAAAACCGTAGTGTTGAAGCAACTGCCTGTGAAATAACTTATCGGTCGACGCTGTCAAAGCCTTTTGAAGGCCGATGAAGTTGAGGTAGAGAGTTGACTGGCATTCAATAGCCTGTTCTATGACGATGCGTAGCGTAGCGTTGCAATCTGATCTGCACATGATTTATTCTTGCTGAAGCCAGTCAGCATATTTCGGTTGTAATTTTGAATGCAGAGGATCCTTTAGTCTCTGCAGGCTGATGTGGCATAATATTTTGTTTGGTGTGAACAGTAGCATGATTCCTCTCCAGTTCTTGCAAACACTTAGGTCTCTCTTCTTTGGAATTGTGACAAGGTAGACCTTGTTCCAATCTTCAGGTACCTTTCCTTCCTTCCAAACCTTCAGCAGTAGTGGTGTGAGCATGTTCGCTGTAGTCTTTGCGTCTGTTTTCAGTGCTTCTGAAGGACTTCCATCTGGTCCTATTGCTTTCTCGGATTTCAGTAGTTTTATGGCATTCAGGACTTCTACTTTTGTCGGAGGGCCTGTGTCCACTTGTAGTTCTGCCGTCGCTGGTGGTATTTCTGGACGAGTTGCAGGTAGTGGTTATTCACTTGAAATTTTACTTTAGTTTAAAGCGATATTCCCATTGAATTTTATTTTTCCCTTTTATTCGCATTCTTCTGTTCAAAATGTGATTAGTATGCTGAGACAACTTATTGCAACTCGTTTAATGGTGAAAGATTCAATCAAATTGTATAAATCGGATAAGGTAAGTGACGATTTTACTAGGGATGTATATATTTCTCCTTTTTTTTAACTAAATCTAACTAAACCAGTTGTCTAGTTCCTAAGCACTGATCATTTTGGTCACTATAGTCACTTAGCTAGAAGATTCACTATCTAAATGCATTTTGATTGATGACAATTAACGAAAAAGTCTTGATCAACCCAGATTTTGGCTTTGTTTGTAGCTAGGCGTATCTGGAATCTCTAGTGTACTGATTTCTCGTCAGTAATCCAACCTCGCACCTCACATCTCTGAATACATCATTGAGTAATGTGCTTTCATATAGTAGAAAACTAGTCATGACTATCATATGACGGCTCATGGTCCTATCTAACTGCTCAAATCTTGATAGGTTGAGTGGAGTAGTAACCCACTGGTTTATAGTCGAATTTATAGTAATAATCTCATGTAATGAACCCAATGAGTAAGTGATATTGGAATTGAGTGTCTTTTAGGTAAGTTAGTCACTGAAATTGCGAACTCATATAACCTAAATTGTCTAATTCAGTCACAATCTCCTGACATCATGTCAGTATCTTCTTATGTTGTTCGCAGTAGATTGAAAAAACGTTTCAGCGCCGTCTAGTGAATGGATGATACCAATACCTTGTTTTTTTTAAATCTTTAAATTATTATATACCCCTATTTTTACCTGATATTTGCCTATAACCTTAAAATAACTTCATTATTGCTGTTTTCGCGTCCTCTTGGCACCTCTACTAGCTTATGTTTTCACTCCCGCTTCTGAAGGCTGAACTCTGATTGGTTGTTAACTCTTGTAACTTACCCGTGAATTTGATATTTGTCAAGATCGTTTAGAATGTATATATATTCAACAGCTCTCTCAACTGTTTTGTCGGTTGTTAAGACGCTGAAAGCTTTCTCCCAACAATCCGTCTTCTCTTCTTGTCTTCGCATGACGGTGGTATTGTTGTTGTAGTGGTTGATATTCTGATAACCGACTAGAAAAGATTCGTTTGCGCATTAAGTTCATATCGCTCGTAGGCTGCCAGGTCACGTTACTGGTCATGGTATAAATTATATCTGGAAGTGTAGATCATCTGACTGGAACTTTGAAGACATTTAACACTAATGTGATCGGAGATATGACTGAAAATCTGTTACAACATTTAACTCAACTGGACTCAGATCCCGGTAGTAAAAATGAGTATTTCCCATTGGATTTAGGACTGTAAAAAGGCTAGGGGCGGCCAGCCTAAGACATGGCATCATTGCATGATATTACTGAGCTATGTAGAAGGATGTAGTCTTCCGGTCTTGGATCTACGTGACACTTGAAAACCAGTGGTTAGAGACCTTAAGTGACTTGGCTCAGAATCAATCTCCTCATTTTAATCATCATACTGAATTTAAACATTTACTCATTCCTCCTTTCTCTCTTTTACTAATTCCTACTGATTTCGATCAATTCTTGTTCATGTCTTCTTCTTTCACTTTTCAGTGCTTTCTCACTTGATGTGCGGTTATGAGGTGCGACAATTTGGTCTGTTACGCAGTGATGCTTAGCTCTATGTTGATGATAATCCTCCTATTTTATTTATTCAAAGGGAAACCTGTCAACAAGACTTTTTCATTGTTTAAAGTTTGTTTTATACAAACATATTTTCAGATTGAAATAGTTAGCCACGAAAATGTTTGAAATATCCTGGATCATTACTGTGTAACGGTCCAACTTGTTATACGTCGACGAAAGTTATCGGAAGATAAAAATATTGGGTAAAGCATAGTGATACAATGTGTTACGACGAGTATAATGTGTGGATGGATTTGTGCGACGTAGATCGATTCACAGTCTTCAACTGTTGGTTTCCAGTTGTTACATAGAACTCAAGCAGCAGTTCTACATTACCCTAAATAACAGCGATCCTCAATTATTGACTTGATCGACTGATCCCATGTTTTAGTTTGTTCGTCTATAACATTTTACTAATGTAACTCAGCTCCAAGTTCCAAGTTAGTCTTCAGATCTCTAGATGTTCGAACACAAGCTTGATGGGTCAGTACCCTTACCAAGCAACACATTCATATGAAAACCAACACTCCTGCCTGAACATTCCGTTAGCATCCCCATCAAAGTGATCAGTGATATCTCAGAACTCTCCCAACTGTCAGGCTTCAACACATCCAAATTCGCTATGTAATCGGTCCGTTGACCATACTCATCTCCTCATGAGCATGCTTGTGTGAGATGCATCTTACTGAAGCCTCCACAACCTTGCAGACCTAAGTGCAGTTCTGTTTCTCGAAGAGACAATCCCCATGCCACCATATCGACTCACCTCACGACTCCCTCTGAACTACTGATATAAATCATAATCTGTTTTAAACGACAACCGGTATTCCGGACCGAGTATCGCTCACCTTCGCAAAGTAAATTACATTCTTCTACAGGGATTACTTCAACAACATTTACTCCCAGAATTAGGTAGCAGAATTCACCTTACCTTTCAATCGCACTGCTCTCAGCTCACTTGGTGGATTCTTGATGGTTAGTAAAACCGTCCGTGCTTTCGAGATCCGGGCCACCGATCATGCTCATATGGACCTCGTCGACCTCGTCCATCGTCTTGCTTGACTGAGCTTGACTCATAATCTCCGGCACAACCTAACTGCTTCTTCACATTGATGTATTGATATGCAACAATGGGGTAGAGAGTCCTAGTTACTCCCGCCCAATGTCATCCTTTTTTTGTGTATATTTCTTGCTTGGATTATGCTGTAAAGTATGGCACTGTAAACTGATGCTCTTCTGTTCTGGGTTCAATATTGATCTTTCCTTCTGTTTATCCTCCATTTTTCGTCCTACTCTTGATTGACCATCGATTCTCCGTCGAGTAAGTAGTTCGTGGTTATACTGTCCTGATCACATCTTTTTTGTATGCGTAATGGTTTATCTTGTAGTAGGCGGTTTACTTCTCAATCGACCCTAGTCAATAGTTCATTACTCAAGTATATTGATGCCATTTAATGATTTGAAGGTAGTTAACACTATGATGTAACGTATGTTATTCAGTTCAACAGTAATAATGAAGGGATGTGTATTCGACTAGTTTCCACCTTATTAAAAGCATATGACTCACAATCAAATGCGCTATAGTTTATTGATAAAGTGTCGAAGTTACACAGTTTTGAAATCCTTCCGAGAAAAAGACATGAGTCCACGATTTTCTAACAGACTAACACACCAAACAAAAAGGGTGTATCCAATAATCACACGCTAATATCAACTAACCGAAGATGGATAAGTGTCACATCTCTCATTTCGAGCAATTTCACAGTCAATTGTAACACTATCCTCCGTAAAAAGGACTTAACTCCAAAATAGTCATTTCTCATATGTAAAATTCTTTTTTCTATGTAAACTTTGTATGATATTTGCACAATTTTTATTATATCCTACTTTGATGCATAATAGTTAAATCTATTTCATATTTATTCTCTCTTATCTTCAGTGTTTAAACCGATTGTTGGATACACGTCAACTTGGATTAAAACTAATGGCAAATGTAACATTTGGTTATACAGCTGCAAGTTTCTCTGGTCGTATGCCGTGTGTAGATGTAAGTTTGTTGATTAATAATTCCTTTTAGGTTAGGATACATTATGGACTCATATCAGTTGGAGGAACATTGGTAACCTGGGGGCACTGGACAGATGTTTCGTTCTAGTATGGGACTGCTCAGCAGTGCGTACTCATGACTGCTGGCAGGGATCGAACCAAGGGCCTTCAGATTCTGTGGCCAGCACGTTACCACTTAGCCACTTGGTTGGAATTCAGTTGTTCACATTTCCTACTTTTGTCAGTTGAAGATGTAGGGTGACCTACAACCAACATCGTCGTTGAGTAACTGTCCTCGTATTCAACTTGGTTGACTCCATCGGTCATGATTTCTTATTGGAACTTCGGGAATCACCTCTCGAAACTAGTCACCAATGAGCACTCGATTAATTCTGTGTGAATGTTTGTGGAGATTTATTAACTGACCAGTCGGGCCAGTCAAGTTTAACATGAGGACGATGATATTGGATGTAGGTCGCCCTGTATCGTGAACTGGCCATGGAACCTGAGGGTCCTGGGTTCGTCCCCTGGCAGGGTCATGAGTTCGCACTGCTGAGGAGTCCCATATCAGGATGAAACAGCTGTTTAGTGCTCCTAGGTTCCCACTGATTCTCCAACTGATATTAGTCCATGCTGAATACCAACCTGAATTGATAGGTCTATTTTGTATGTCAGTGAATTTTCAGGCATCATTGGGGTCTCGCAGGTCAGTCAAAAGGCGTTGATGAGGTTTTAAAACTTCAAGGCATGAGGTGGTTTCAACAGGTGTTGGTTATTCTAAACCACCGTCTACCTCGACATATAATGCTAGATGAAGTTGGATTCGATAACCAAACTGAGACGTGGTATGACGTCTATGAGACTGTTGGTCTCAGATATGTTGGGAGGTGTAGGCTACTTGACTTGGGTCCTTGAAATGATATGAATTAGTAGTTGATAACTCTTGGTGAAATAGCTAAAAATCGGTTACAGTGATGCACATATATTCATTCTTTGATATATTCTAAAACTCGAAGGTTTTGAAATTCTTCTACCTACCACATACCTTCGTCTACTTTTACATCAGTTTTTTTTCTCTGTTCACCTGTTTTCTATTTACTACTCTAAAGTATAAATGCCTAGATTGATAAATTTTCTTTTGTCGGTATGTATACAAGCTCATTTGCTAACAGAGATAGACCAGTTCAGTTGGAGTATAGCATTGAGGAATTCGAAGTAATTACAATGCATTAATTGAAGAAGGTCAATTCAAGGTCATTCTCTTCTCTAGGACATCTCATTTTTGGTCTTGTTCTCTTGATGATATGATTTTTTTCTTTTCATAACATTTAATATATGAAATTTTACTTATTGGTTATAAAAAGGATATGTGTTGTTCATACTACTACTACTACTATAGTATTGGTTTGTCTACTTTCAGCTTGGTGACAGTATTGTACACAAGGCTAGAGAAACATTAGAAAATGCTATTCGCCTTGTTAACAGCGGTGAAATTATCTTACCAGATAGTTGTTCAGGCCTTTCAACCCCACATGTTGTCTACGGGGATACAGATAGTTTATTTATCCACTTGAAAGGTTATGGTAAATTAGAAGCGTTCGATGCTGCATATAGAATAGCTGAGGTGATAACATCAAATAATCCTGTACCAATTAAGTTAAAATTTGAAAAGGTTTGTTTAACTAATATTTGTTGTAAATATGTAATAGAAATTTTATAAATTTTTTTTATGACTGTTTCATTTTGTATAAATTTAAACCTGATTACTACATTGTTATGTAATATTTCTTTGTGTAAATAAAAACACATTTATTTTTGAGATGAATGGGGATTTTTTTAATTTACAAGTAGTATTCATCATGGATTGACATCAGTTGGGGAACCGTTGAAAATCTGGGAGTACTGGACAGTTGTTTCACCCTAGTATAGGACTTCTCAACAGTACGCACACATGACCTGGCTAGAGGTGAGACTCAGGGCCTATACACTACTGTATAGTGCTAGACTGAAACAGCTGTCCCCATTCATCTCAAAAATACATTACAGTGCCCATTAGTGAGGGCTGAATGGTTAACGCGTTCGCTGCGAAACCCGAAGGTCCTGGGTTCGACCCCTATCCGGGTTGTGGGTGTACTACTGAGGAGTCCCATACTAGGATGAAACAGCTGTCCAGTGTTCCCAGATTTCCAATGGTTCCCCAAGTGATGTCAGTCCATGATGAATACTACTTCTTCATACATAATTGACAGTTTAAAATTTCTGTACACTACTGTGATACTGATAATAAAGACAGTCTTGGCAGTAGAATCCATGACATGCTCTTCATCCTATTTGAGACTCATTAGCTGAACATATCTCTTTGTAATCAGTGATGTTGTTCTTACTGGGACTTAAACATAGAACTCCTCAATTCAAGTGTCAGAGTATTGTACACTAGGTCACTAAGTCACGACAACCACTCCTTGTACAATAAGTATAATCATCATTCCCAGTTGACAGATAGACTAAAATATGGAATTAGTCTATCAGATCTTTAATTGTGAATCGCTGTAATTTAAGGAAGTGTAGATTGGTCACTTAGCTCCATATGTTATCTGAAACCGATGGTTGAAGGCTTCAGTAGATACAGCTGTGAAACGATCTCAGTTAAGCAAATGCATCGACACATTATCTTTCTCCTGACTTTATATCACATCGCTTCTTTTCGCTTTGCGCACTGTCTCTCTATTCTCCCAACTCTCTACAATTTTTAATTACCATCTTATCTAAATCCCGCTAGAAGCACTGAGAGCAGACACAGAGACAACAGAGGACATGCTCACACCACTATTGCAGAAGGTCTGGAAGGATGGGAAAGTACCTGCACATGGGAAGAAGGGTTACCTTGTCAAACTCTAAAAAAGGCGACCCCAGTGTTTACAAGAACTGACGTGGAATCATGCTGCTGTCCACCCCAAGCAAAACATTAGGCCTCATCGTCCTGGAGAGACTATAGGATTCACTGGATTCAAAACTACGACAGGAACACGCTGGCTGGCTGGCTGGATTCAGGAAGTACAAATCATGTGCGGACCAAATTGCAACGCTTCAATATGTATCATCATAGAACAGAGTATAGAGTGGCAGTCAACTCCCTATCTCGACTTCATCGACTTTGCAAAGGCCTTTGACAGCGTCGACCGAGAGGTAATTTGGAAACTGCTTCAATACTACGGAATACCACAAACCTTTATCAGCCTCATTCAACAAGTATATGAAGACGCCACATACCAGGCGAGTAATTCACAATGGGAAGCTCAGTGATGCCTTCAAAGGGAAGTGAAGACAGGAGTAGGAGTGAAACAAGGTTGCCTACTATCACCCATGATATTCCTGACTGTGTTGTGGTCGACTGGATCATGCAGCAGACAACAGTGGGGAGCTGTGAGAAGAGGGGGATACGCTAGCTGGACTGCGGAAAAGAACCTAGAAGATTTGATTTGGATTTCTCTGATGACTTGTTTCTGATATCACACAGACTTGATAATCTATAGGCGAAAACTAACAAGTTGACAGAAGAGGCGAGGCAAGGCAGCGGAGATGGGACGTCGAGTGAATATAGAGAAGACAGAGGTGATGAAGATACTCAACTAACGATAACAACAACAAATTCCAATCACCGTCAGCGGGAGGAAGTTAAAGGAAGTAGCCTCTTTTACCCGTCTAGGCAGCACTGTTTCAACTACAGGCGACAGTGGCACAGACGAGGATGTCAAAGTCAGAATCGTAAAAGCAAGAAGGGCATTCATTAGCCTGAAACCAGTGTGGAGATCTACTGCAGTCAGCCTGTGAAACAACATCCGAATTTTCAACACTAATGCAGTCAAGTAAAACAGTGCTTCTATGTGATGGTTGAGAGACTTGGCGGGATACGAAAGGGATTTCCAACAAACTACAGACATTCATGAACAGTTGGTGCCTACACTCATTCGTTACTGAAGATCAGATGGCCACAAAGAATAAGAATAAGCAACAAGGAACTCTGGCTGCCAACAAACCAACCAAGAATCTATCGCTCAACAAATGTGGAGAAGGAAGTGGAGATGGATTGGACATGCACTGAGAAGACCATTTGAGGACATCACGCGTCAGGCCAGGTTGTGGAGTGGAACCCAGATGGGAAATGGTGAGTTGGGCGTCCGAGGAGAGGGTGGCATGGGGGAGATCGTGGTAGGAGGAAATGAGAACTTGTTGGCAGTTGTGCAGCCAGGTTGAAAAGATTTCAGAGAATAGAGTGCACTGGAGACATGCTACTGAAGCCCATTAGAAACCCAAGGGATAAATAATAATCCTATCTAAATGTGTTGATGCGTGGTACGACAACTTGTGCCGTTTTGCAATAATGCCTTACATACATTGATGTTGACTGACTTGTTGAACCTCAAGGAAACCGTTCTTTGCGTTGAGTTGCTGAAATCTCCAGCATTTAGTGTTGATATTCAAAGCGTTACTTTTGAATTATGGGGACTTAGATTAGTTTTAAGGAAACCAGATTCTTGTGTTAATTGTACACAATAGAATCCTGTTATGTGGAATAAATCAAATTATTTTTATTTGTTTTGTCTTGTCATTGATCAATGGTATCATTTAGTATAATCCAAGTGAAATCCTTTCACACCTGTCACTCGATTGAATATAAGCCATTAGTATTTTTTCAGTAACTGGTTTAACTACTAATAAAATAATAGTAGATCAAATAGTTTTTCAACATTTCCACTTTGCTTTTTAAGTGTGTATCATGAAACAGATTTATCAAACTTAGGATCCAGTAATCTCTGTGTTTGTATCGGCATATTTCACTACCTTTTAATATTCAAGATATTCATATACAGTCTGTTGATGTTTATGATTGTTAACTAGAGAATAACCAATGTCGCGTTGTTTTATCCCAAGTGCCAACCGAACTCTATCGGTCTTATTTCGAATTGTGGTGGTCACATTAGCAGTACACTTTCATTGAACTTAGGTGACCTGAGATAACCAACTCGAATGGCTCAGTAATAACTTCCTTAACTGAAGTGTTTGATGATACAGGCTTGAATTTCTGGAGGGATATGAATACCGTTGTGCTAAAAAGTATAAAACACCTTGATCAAGCCAAGTTTCCTACCGATTGCCTCCAATCATCTAACAGTCTGAGAATTCTTAGAATCCAGTAAATGTGACTCTCATCTTTCCTACTTCTTGTCATGAAGATACATTTACTAAATATGAGAATTTCATGTCCATTTTCAGATTGTAACCTGGTTTGGGTTAGTATGACAGTTGAAAGTTTCATTCTCGCAAAAACTTATACTTTGATGATCTTTTCCATGTCAACTGACACTAAATGCTGATACTTTTACCAGGACTATAAAACTGTATCATGGGACGTCCATTAAGGATGTAGGTACATATGGGTAGATATACAGAAAGGTTTGTAGATGAAACGTGATATATTGTTGCATCAAGGCAATTTCCTCATCGCGAACAGAAGCAGCACAAAGGAAGGAAAACAATAGAGAGCGTTGATATCAGCAGTATTCCTGTGGAGAAACTTGGTTGGCTATACATAGCGTTATGTCCATAAGCGTATATTTCGGAGTATGACCCAGCTTGACTATCTAGAGGAGAGAAAATGTCAACAGTTTTATACTTGAACAATTTGTTATCTCTAGACGCCTATCTAATCTCCTCAGACACTTCCTCCAAAGTAATTTACAAAGTACCTTCCCACTGTTAATTCATAATCTAAAACCTGATCTATCTGTTTATCCAAAAACATTTTGATTCTATTGATTAGTAATAAAGTTTTATCAATTTCTGATACTCATAAAGATGATTGTATACCTTTAGTAAATAACATCACTGAGGCGAAAATTCCCCTTCATTGTGTTAACATCTTTGTTCTATAATATCAAAATTGATAGATATCTCGAATATAAAGGTGAACGAGACAAGTTAAAGAATGAAGTGAAATGAAATGATAATAAGGACAATGAGATAAGATGTACATCAGTCAGTAACTAAATTTATGTATTGGCGTCGTATCTTGTTCTAATATCCATAAGGATTTCTCTTATTCACTCCACCTTAAAAGTAGACAGTTGTAAGATGTAGGTGACATGTGTTTCAGCTGCTTATTGGTTGCTTGTTTACAATCTCGTCAACTATCAATTTAGTTACTCATAACGCTGGCCAGTAATTTCAAAGTGCATATACCTTCTCAATGTATTCAACGTTCTCTGTATTAAGCAGCATATACTTCAAAGTTGTAGGCATACTTGTCTTGACAGACATTCGTATTCACCGCCTGCATCTTCAGTAGTGTAGAATAGAAATATCAAATTGACCTTTTATAAACATGTCAACCATTTTATGTTGCTTGAAATGTTTCGGCTGTGTATTCTGTTTGTCAGTTGTATCAGTAACTTTGTTAGAAATATGCCTCAGTTAGCTATGATAACTAGAATTGAACTGATGCATGTGCTTTGGTCATCTTGTTCAAGGAATAATTCACTGTTGGAATAGTTTACATCTTTGACTGAGATGCTGAATGATAGGAGTTCTTATCTTTGAATCATTGAACATAACATACATTCTACATCGTTGTCAGCGTATGTGTAGGTTACTGATTATATTGGATAGCCGGTGTGCATCCATCAACTAATTCTGTCATTTGGCCACTAAGCTGAGTGAAGTGATGTTTCAGTGTTCAGTATTTCGATCGATTGGACACCTTTTTTGACCCAGCTTTCATGGTTGTTGACATTTATCTGCTACAAGTATGAACTACTTGGTGTTCCCTTGATGGTTCGAACCTGCCTTCACTTTGTATTGAGATCAGAGAATTGAACACTTAGTTATTTAGGCTACAACATTCTATTCGATAACATTTATTCCTAATAAATTATTCTGTATAAATTGTTTTTTTTTTTTCCTCAATCATTTTAGATATATTATCCATGTATACTAGAAGCTAAGAAACGTTATGCTGGTTATGCCTATGAAAGTCTTGATCAAATGATACCAGTATTCGATGCCAAAGGTATAGAGACTGTAAGACGAGATAGTTGTCCTTTTGTTGGACGAGTAAGTTTGGAGATAAGTGATTGTTATTTTTCTGTCACAGAGCTTTTATTCTATGAATTCAGTTTTCATCTGTGATCTGAAGCCTCAGTTCGATAATTCAGTCAACAAACCAATACACTGAATAGTCGAGGATTAAGTAATAGTTATTTACTTGAAGACTTGGTAAAATTTAACTTGGTTGAATTCATTTGATTGGCAGCTAGGTCGATTAATTCTATTGGTCAAATGGTATACTGTCAATCCAAAGGTGGTTAATTCAAATTTTACTTCGATCTAAGTTTATTATCAATTACACTCATCCTAACTCTTGTTAAAAAATAAATCTGTCGACTAGCAAAACCGTCTCATATGGCATAAAGAATAAAGGTGCGGGGCTATGGAGTTCATTAATCCGGTCAGTCAACTTTCGCCAATTGGGATGTTAGTTCGAACCTCATCCTATTTCACCATCAACATAGGACCAGGCATTGCTGCGCAACGATCAGACTTGCCACACCCCATATCACTACATCAAAGGAAAAGGCAGTGAACTGCAAGATCGAGATGAGAAAATTCACTCAAAAGAAATATAAGGCACTAAAAGAGAGAAAGGAAGGATGAGAAAATGGTGAGATTCAGTATAGCGTCGTTAAGATGAGGATAATGTGTGTGGGGATACATCTGTGCCACTGACATCGGTTCTCAGCCATATCACACAGAGTCTCCAACCACTGGTTCCTCTTATCCCGCGACCTTCATGTTCTACTCTGGTCACCTCGAGCCTTTTCCAGCTTGCACCTACTTCGGTCAACATTGTGTGACGAGACGATCGCCGACTAGGCATACGTAACACGTGTCCCAACCATCTCAGTCGTTGAAGGTTCACAACCGTATCAACTGACTTACATCTTCTCCCTTAAACTCTACACCTGATTTCTGAGTTACTCACGTGGTGACACCATGAAATACTGCCTATACTATGAAGACAAAAGTGGTCAAACACCTGAAGCCAGCCTTCTCATGTCTTCCACCTTCGATGGCCTTGTTTCACAGCCATAGAGTAGAACACAGAGGACTGCTGTGCAAGTGCAGTACACATGACCCTTAACAGACAATCGGATATCACAGTGGCATCATAGGTGGCGTACGTTGGCAAAAGCCAGCCAGCCAAGCCTTTTGTATTCGTGCAGAGATTTCATTGGCCACTGAGCCAGCCATCAAGGCTGATCTCACTTCCCAGGTAAGTGAAGTGGTCGACACACTCAACCACTTCACTCTCTGTTGTTAGTCCAAGTATTGTTGGAGATGAATTCTGGAGCAATAATTCGCATTTGGGTGGTGAGAAAGATATCTCAAATATTCTCAAATTGCCGCTGAAAGTGTTCAGAAGACTCTGCATGTTGTCAGCGTGTTCACCTAACAGGACTTTGTCATCTGCATATTCTAAGTGTAACGAAAATTCTCCTGTGATTAGGTCAACCTGTTTGTAATCAGGTGACGAGATGGAGACCTCCATAAGAATATCTATGATAAAATTGAATAAGAATGGAGACAGTAGACATCCTTGACGGACACCAGTCAATGAGCACAGCTTCGCGGATATCTCACCATTGGCTCTAACACGCTCACAAGTGTTCGAGTAGAGAGCCTTCAATAGGGTGATGTACTAACTGGATACGCCTTCAGTAAGAGACAATGCCATAAGACTTCTGGATCAACGGAGTCGAATGCCGCCGCTTCAGGTCTAGAACTACAGCTATTGTCGGGCGTCGGTAAGCGTGCCTATGTTCCAGAGTCTGCCGTACTGTAAATATTTGGTCGATACACCCACGGCAAGGTCTAAAGCCTTCCTGCCCTAGACTTCTCGAGGTTGCTGTTTCCGAGCTTAACTCAGGCGTCGAAGAATTATAGAACCTAGAATTTTCGCCACTACGCTCATCAGGTTGATTCGCCTGTGGTTATCACAAGAGGACTTCTCACCTTTGTTGAAGACTGGGATAATCAGTCAGAGAGGATTGTATTTGATTCTTATATGCTGCTTGACAATTCCGTTAACTTGACTAAGCATACCTTACCACCATCCTTGTATACCTCAGGAGTTGGTTCGTCACTCCATCGTTTTAAGTGACACAGTACCCATGGCTCATTGCTGAGGCTATGAAATTCATACGGTTGCCTATTTAATATAAAAAAGTAGTCAAGTGGAATGTTTTTTTCAAAATGGTGGATACTACAGTAGAAAATAATTTTTGAATTGTTTTTGCTATCAAATAAATGAGTTTTCCTATTATGTACTATGTATTTCTTCAAGCTAAAATAATTTTCGTTGACAAATAAACTTTCTTTTACATTCATTTACTAAGGATGGGTTATAAAAGTGATTTATTCATTGTTCAAAACTGTTTAAAGTTTTATCAGATAATCCTTTTTTTCTTATTTTGTTTTATCTCAATGAAACGCTTCTCTATGTTCATTATTTGGATAATATAATATCCCTTTTTGGTATTAATTAGGAGGGTATATCAAGTATCTTTAAAAAAATTATGCACTGAAATTAGAGACATCAGTCAATACTGATCACTAAGTAATCAATATATACACCAGTTACCTTGTAGAAACCAATTTATATGTATACAGTTCAGTCTTATATGTAAGTGCTCAGTCATGACCTAAATACTCTTGATGTTTTAGCTTGTAATTTTCCATTGTTGATTGAACCGATGATATGTGTGTACATCTGAATCATTGAGCTCGTTTCTGAGGCATGTTAGCTAGAGTCTTCAATCACTAGTTTTTGTCTTCATGCGGACGATCACTTACTATGAGGCATAACAACCTATACCATCAAAATTATATCATACTCATCACATAAGGATTGGTTATCGTGACTCATTGGCTTGGTGAGTAACGATGTGGTGTTTAAAACGGTCGATCGTGGGTATGAGTTTTAGTGGGGTCAACATCTCTCACTAAAGAGGCATGTATATTCAGTTGAGGAGTCCTAAATTGGACAAAACGTGCATCATGGATTCCAATACTAGCCACAATCTGTTATTAATGGGTTAGATAGCTAAGTGATGAAGTCTATGAATAACGTGTATTCGAATCACCTATAGAACACATTATACCTCAGTGTTGTGTTACTTAGCTTAAGGGCCACATTGTAGAACTTAATTGACAGACGTCGATCAATGCTGGTCAGTAAAGAGTAGACGGTTATATTTTTTACTCACCGTTGACGGATTCTCATGAAATCTTCCTTTTCGTGGATAATGTTTCTTATGTTTATACTTTAGAGAAGCTAATTTAAGTAGGGTATATAATAAAGTGCTAACTGGTGTTTGACCAATTAACCATGACATTCTGAGTGATCATCAATCAGTAAAAGTCAATAACTTGACCAGTCAACCTTCACCGTTAACCTAGTATTGTATGATTCCATTGTGCATGAACGATCCACTCTAGAAGTCGGGTTGTGTGATAAAGTACCTATAACCATGACTAAACAAGAAATAAGACTCCGTTCCTGTTGGTAAAGAGAATATTTATTCACTGAACAAGAGAGATAATTTATTTAGAAGTAGTATTCATCATGGTCTGACATCAGTTGGGAGAGCACTGGACAGCTGTTTCGTTCTACCACTGTACAGTAGTGTATAGGCCCTGAGTCTGACCTCTAGCCGAGTCATGTGTGCGTACTGTTGAGGAGTCCCATACTAGGATGAAACAACTGTCCAGTGCTCCCAGATTTCCAATGGTTCCCCAACTGATATCAGACCATGATGAATACTACTTGTAAATTGAAAAAAATCCCCATTCATCTCATAAATACATTACTCTATAGTGCTCATTAGTGACTTGCTTCCAGATGGATATCAGGAAGATCTAATGAGAAGCCGTGACCTTTGGAATCAACTAGTCGGAAGTGAAGTGGATGCTAACTGAAGATCTTGGGTGATAGTCGCGCTATGTCGTGAATTGACAGAAGTTGGAAATTGTGAACCACTAGAAACCAACCGAGTGGCTGAATGGTTAATGCTTTTGCTGTGAAACCTGAAGGTCCTGAGTTCGACCCCTATCCGGGTTGTGGGTGTGTACTACTGAGGAGTCCCATACTGGGACGAAATAGCTGTCCAGTACTCCGAGATTTCCAATGGTTCCCCAACTGCTGTCAGTCCATGATGAATACTACTTCTAAATTAAAAATCCTCAATCATCTCAAAAATAGATATTTTTTTATTAAAGTTCTCATTACAATTTCTAACAGTAACTAACTATAAAAAAAATACTTTTGCTATTGTTTTTGTTGAAATAAATTTACAGATACTTGAAGAATGTTTTAAATATTTATTTAATCATTTCACTATTCCTCAATGTGTGAACAACAATGACGTAACAACCAGTTCCTGCCACAAAGCTACAGGTATAATTTATCTTATGTGTATATAAAGTATCAGTTTGTTATCTAATATATGTGTGTTTGTGTTCTGTGCGTCCGTGCCTGCGTTTTTCATCTTTGAAGATCTGAATCATCAGGTTAAAAATCACACGCTCGAACCTCACTCCAATGACGAAAATAAATCTGTACGTGTTTTGCAAATATTCGACTAGTATCCTCCCTTGGTTTAAGCATGAGCGACATGTTCGAACCTCCAACCCTATGGTATGCGGGAGTGCCACGGCTGAGAAAACGAAGTCTATTTAGAAAACTTATGACCACAATAGGAAATCGATCAAATCTTCCAGATCATCTTCGAAACGGAATGATATTAACCTGAAAAGAAGGAAAATGAAGAATGCACTAAACAGGTTTTTGAGGAGCCCTCAAAACCTCTTGCTTGCGTCAAAGGTGATACTGTCAACCCATCATCAGGGTCTTCTGAAGATCTGAAACGAAATCTGTCAAGACTGAAGAACCGAATAGAACAAATTCAAAACGCCTTCAGGGTAACCGCCAGCTATTGGTAGGCGGAAAGGACGAGAACAGAAGAAGTCTAAGTTAGAGCAATTTAAGGAGAAGCCTTAATTCATTCAATAACAGAGAGAACAAAAACATGCTTGAGACAGGGAAGGAGCCAATCATCTACTCAATCTGAATTGGATCTTTTGGATATAGGAGTTCGTAATCGTGATTATTGTAAAGATTCTTCATATTCTCAGACTGGAGATATGGGAATGGGTTCACATGGTAACACGACTCCTCCAAGCTTTTATTCAGAACGAAATGAAAGTGACCGGCATGATGTTGATGATGCATACGATTATGATGGTGACTGAACGACTAATAACTTATTTCTCGGGAATCGTAACCCGAAGATGTCTGAGCTCTAGTTGTGTGAAGCATTTGATCGCTGTGGCAAGCTTCTCATATGCTTAATAATTAACAAGTTTTCACTTATTCGATGCACCGCACACCTTATTCATATTATTATATGATTATTATTTTTCTCTTGGGTTCCTAGTGGGACATAGGGCTTCAGTAGCACGCCTCCATTACACTCTCTTCTCTCCAGTCTTTTTAACCTGGCGCCACGACTACCCACAAACTTTCATTTCTTCCTCATATAATCTCCTCTATGTCACCCTTACCTCGGACCCCCAACTCATCGTTTCTCCTTCGGATTCCACTCGAGGGCATGGCCTGGTGCGTGATGTCGCCAGTCGGCCTTCTCAGTGTATGTCCATTCCATCTCCACTTTCTTCCACTGCATACTTGTTGGGCGATAGGTTCTTGCTTCGTTGGTTTGTTGACAGTCAGAGTTCCTTGTTGCTTATTGTTATTATTCTGGTCATCTGATCTCCAGTATTGAGTGAGCGTAGGCGTCAGCTGTTGATGAATGTCTGTGGTTTGTTGGAAATGGTTTTTGTGACATGCCAAGTCTCTGAGCCATATAGAAGAACTGACTTGACTGGTATTGGTGTTGAAAATGCGGATGTTGTTCACGTTTTATGCTGAGTGAAGTGCAGTAGATCTCCATACTGATTTCAGATTGGTGAAAGCGTGTCTTGCTGATGATCCTGGTTTTGACATCTTCGTATGTGCTGCCACCTGTAGTTGAAACGATGCTGCCTAGCTAGGTAGAGAGATATTATCAAAATTCAACTAGAGATGAGTATTCGAATGGTTCAAGTTCCCATACCTCACATAAATTACAAGGCAACAAAACAAAAATCTGTGAGATGAAGAAAAGATTTTGAAGAGAGAAGTGTGCAAAATTTTTTCTCGAAGTCTATTGCTTCTCAGATGTATAATCAACAATACACCGTGAAATGCTACATAATATTGACCTTTTCATGCATGGAAAGGAAGTTTCCTGACTGATGAATGTATCCGCACAGTGTTTGATGATGTGAGAAATCTGTCGGCAAGAAACCCTGCTTAACTATGGTTTCCAGTTTGTCAATACTCATCAGCATATGTGATGTATACAATTTTGTGTTAAAAGTCGAGCATTTGACTTTGTCAGGGTTGACGCATCATTATGTACAAAGAAGTCAGTCGTGAGCTCATTAGGACGATGATTTGCAAATGATTTACAAATTACACAGTTCACGTTGACCTTTCTCAGAGGTACACTGGTTCATTCAAGTCAGTTGACCAAATTCGAATGATCTGAATTAATTTCGCTGTGTGAGTTGATTTTCTTCGGGTACATTGGTGATCAGCTCAACCCAGAACAAGCGAAACGCCTCTCCGGTGTTATGACCACTCTAATCTGACTGGTTGGCTGGCTGGAAAGTCGTACAGATCAGTCTCAATATTTTCTAACTACTCAATTTGTTCAGCAGTTTGTTTCACTATGATCTGAACATCTTAGTGATAAATTTTCTGAATAAGGCAGCACTTACTGAAGCCAAATTCGAATTACTCAAGGTAATACTAGTTTCCTCTGCGTCAGAAATATCCCTTGGTACTGAATGTAAACAACCACAAAATCTAAGTCCTATCGATTCATTTGGAGTGTCTAGCATCAAAATGCCTTGAACTTCAGTGTCGTATAAGGTGGCAAAATAGTCGACATATTTCGTTCAATGCTGAGTTACATTGGTCACCCACTGGCAACTAATTGATTTGATCAATAATTCCCTAACCTTAGAAATATAAGTAATCATGCATAAACCTTTAGTTGTTGAGTACGATGACCTAGACATAGTGATTGGACAACAAACCAGTGGCATGTGTCTACTGTCCCGTTTATACCACACTCGAGTGTTATGCGCATTAACTGAACAATGTTGTAGCCTAACTGAGAAAACACGATATACAGGCTTTCTATCATCCCAGAGTGTTAGTGACAAGATATGGTCTGCACAAAATTCCGCCAACAGATGTCTCAAAGCCACCAAGGTTGATCATAATGATCATTATGAAAATCCCAACGATTAGATATACATTCATCGCTGGTGGTGGCGTTCATCATTGCTTAGTTTGTGTTAACCTCGAATGCCAACACGACTGTTAAGATAATGACAATGGAACACAAATCATTGCTCGAGATAATGTCAAATAACATGGCTGTTGGATTAAAGTGTTCACATTAATGTTAATGATGGATCGTGTCTAGCGGTGGAATCCAGGATGCACATTTCATCCTATTTGGGACTCGTCAGCTGGATGTACCTGCTTCCTAGTGAGGTGGGAACAATATCACTCACTGGGAGGCAGGAACATCCGGCTGACGAGTCTCAAATAGGACGAAATGCGTATACTGGATTCCACTGCTAGCTACAATCCATCATTAACATAATTAGAACTCGGGCAATATCGAGGTATTCGCACAGGAGCCCATATGCCAATAGAGATCGAACAATTTCATCGAATGAACAACGGTATGATATAAAAACAATTATACACATGTTCACACTAATGTTTTGTATGCTCAAACGTTTTTTGCGAGTTTCAGTAAAGATAATGAATCTATTCATTAACTCACTTGCACTTTTCTTCATTTGACACCACTTTCCTCTCACTTATCCAACTAACAAAACTAAGGATATGAAAATTTGGATCAGACATTAAAACTGGCTGAATATAATATGAGAAACAAGATCCAACGATTCGCTTATCGTCTAGTACATGGTAGAATACCGTTTCATGAGTGTATTATTGCAAGACCATACTGGGGTCAATCTGCGTATAAACCAGGAACTTTTGCACCAGCATTACAAGTTGCCAGGTTAGTTATCTTTTTACTTTAAATGTTACCTAAAAGGCAATCAACCGTCTCGAAATTAAATCCCAGCAAATTTGTTATGTTTCGCTGTTATGAATGATATCCAAATTATTACCTATTCGAATAATTTCAGGTGAAAAACTAAACTACTGGTGGCTGAATTCAGTAGTGTACGTGATAAATTAAAATTGTACAGCCATATACAGCTAAAAGCCAGTGGTTGGAGACGCTATGTGATGTGACGGAAAATCGATTTCAGTGGCACAAATGTATCTATACATTATCATCGTCTTTATCACCTTTATTTCAACAATCTCCTATCTAGTTCAACTGATCTCTTCTTTACTTTCCATCTTAATGTATATTCACTTGATGTTATTATATGAGGTATAGCCACTTTGACGTCTACGCAACGATGCCAGGTCCTGTGTTGATATTGTCCGTCTTTCTGTACGTCAATGGTTTTCATATCTAACACACGTCATGATTGAGGGGGGTTAACGGGAAGTAGCTGGTAAATACTTTTGCATCGTATCAACACAGAAGTTATTACAATTGTTAGTGTTTTTTTTCATTAGCTCACCCCTAATCCTAATTCTTAATTATTATTTCGCTTTTGCTTTTAGACGCCTACTTTCATTAGACCCACGAAGTGAACCTTTACGTGGTGAACGTGTGGTCTACTACGTGACATCTGGTCGATCAGATCAGACATTATTGTCGTGTGTTCGAAGTATACACGAGATTTATCCGTCTATATGGATCGCTGGAAAATCTGCTACATCACGTCGTGTACTGGCACCACGTTTAAATTTTGCTTACTATTTAGATAAACAATTTATACCGCCTATTGAAAGGATGACACAAGTGATTGGATGGCGAGTTCGAACCTGGTCAGTTCATTATTTGAATTCTTTCACTTTGCTGATAATTGAATGTCTTATGTGTATGTGTTTGAAAAGAATACTTCTCGTAAAAGTTGGAGATAAACAGTATCCTGTAATCTTCCTGTTAACCAGAAAGATTATTTTGGTTAAGTTTGGAGAGCATACATACCTTTTACTGACTATTTCTCCTACTTTAAACCAATAGTCTGCTCATCGACCCTGACAACGCTTGAGCCATAGCTTTACACGCTATAATTTCAGACTACATGGTTGACTTTGACATGCTGAAACTGTTGAGAAAGCTTTATACTATCGATGGATAGTGGCTAGCAATAGAATCTAGGGTCAACGTTTAATCTAATTTGCACTCACCCGTGAAGGGTGCCCACTATTCCATTCTTATTCAATTTTATCATAGATTTTCTTATGGAGGTCTCCATCTCATCACCTGATTACAAAGAGGTTGACCTAATCACAGGAGAATATGCAGATGACATAGTCCTGTTAGGTGAACACACTGACAACATGTAGAGTCTTTTGAACACTTTCAGCGGCAATTTGAGAATATTTGAGATATGTTTCTCACCACCCAAATGCAAATTATTGCTCCAGAATTCGTCTCCAACATACCTGGACTAACAACAGAGAGTGAAGTGGTTGAGTGTGTCGATCACTTCACTTACCTGGGAAGTGAGATCAGCCTTGATGGTTGGCTCAGTGGCCGATGAAATCTCTGCATGAATACAAAAGGCTTGGCTGGCTGGCTCTTTTGCCAACGTACGCCACCTATGATGCCACTGTGATATCCGATTGTCTATTAAGGGTCATGTGTGCTGCACTTGCACAGCAGTCCTCTGTGTTCTACTCTATGGCTGTGAAACAAGGCCATCGAAGGTGGAAGACATGAGAAGGCTGGCTTCAGGTGTTTGACCACTATTGTCTTCGTAGTATAGGCAGTATTTCATGGTGTCATCACGTGGGTAACTCAGAAATCAGGTGTAGAGTTTAAGGGAGAAGATGTAAGACAGTTGATACGGTTGTGAACCTTCAACGACTCAGATGGTTGGGATATGTGTTACGTATGCCTAGTCGGCGATTGCTTCGTCACACAATGTTGACCGAAGTAGGTGCAAGCTGGAAAAGGCTCGAGGTGACCAGAGTAGAACATGAGGTCCGCGGGATAAGAGGAAGCAGTGGTTGGAGACTCTAGGTGAAATGGCTGAGAACCGATGTCAGTGGCACAGATGTATTCCCACACACATTATCCTCATCTTAACGAGGCTATACTGAATCTCACCATTTTCTCATCCTTCCTTTCTCTCTTTTGGTATTTTATATTTCTTTTGAGTGAATTTTCTCATCTCGATCTTGCAGTTTACTGCCTTTTCCTTTGATGTAGTGATATGGGGTGTGGCAAGTCTGATCGTTGCGCAGCAATGCCTGGTCTTATGTTGATATTGATGATGATGATGATGATTATGGGTCTTCAGTTATGCATCAGAAGGCATCTATCATCCATAAGTATGTTCCATTGATATAAATAATAATCGTAACTCCGTCAACAGATGAACTGTGCTGTCAACTACGTTCGGTTGATTACACCTGCTATCATTTTTTAAACTTTTATTGTGATAATTTCCTGCAATTTTATCATATAGTCGATTTTTATAGTTACAGATGTTCATTGTCTTGCCCTTGTCTGGTTCTTTTCAAGCACACCTCAATCCTTCTACAATTTACTTACTGTTTATTTAGAATAAGTGCACAGAGTCTCGTGGACACCCAGAGTGGCAATTTGAGAATGTTTTGTAACTGTTAAATTTTTCACTAGTCAAATGAAAACTATTTCTCCATGACTGATTTGCAATGACGCGGCATTGATCAATTCACTTATTAAAGTAGTTTAACCAACCGTAGTATACTTTAAGCCGACAGACTCTGCATAGATGCAAAAACCTCGCTTTGCCTTTATTAAAGTATGCCATTTATGACTCCGCCGTGACATCCTTTTTGTCTTTAAGGGGCATTGCGCTGAAGTTTGCTGTTAAACATGACTATTAATGGTGAAGGACATGAGTAAACTTCAGATATTCGACCGCTATTGACTTCCTAGCGTATGCCGTGTGTCGCAGTACCATCACCTAAATAACATAGTAGTCAAATGTTGAGTTTTAGGGAGAAGAGGTAATCCAGTTGATGAGGTTACAAAGCTTAATCGATTCATTTCAATGGGACATATGTTACGCATGTCTAGTCACCATCTTAGACAGAGATAGCCAGATTAAAACATTCCATCAGTCTGTAAAGTCTATGACTGTGGTGTTCTGAGTTGTGTAGGGGAACCTAGACCTCCTGTTTGGGGGAGGCCACGTGACAACTTGATGAAACTTCCTAGCATTGAAAGTCTTAAATCTTTGTGTTTTATTTATCTTTCATTGCTTGTTGTCAGCATGGTACAAACTACTGACTAAGATAAATGAGTAGGTAGGAACCACCCACCACTAAACAGAGTAGTATTTGGTAGTTAATTTCAGATAATTTGAACAACAGACAGTTGTTTCGTGTATTCATATTCAAGTCCATCATCCTTTATTTTTATTCACATGGTATCGATTGTAAATGGAGTCCTTTAACTGAGTCATAAATTCATGAAGGATCTTTACAAAATTCCTTACCTTTGAATTTATTCACCGTAAAATCTCTCTTGAAACTTCCACTTTTTTTATTCCATTTTGCTTTCAGGTTATCAGATCTTCCTCGTTTTCTAACATCTAAACATCATCGATATAATCTGACTATTGGACCATCCTATGCTCCGCCTTCAACATCTCAACGTAAATTTACCAATCTTGGTTCACCGTCTTCTTCGTTGAGTCTATCACCCTCTTCATCACTGCTTAACCTCGCCTCAGGGATTCAAAGGAAACGTTATCGGCGTGCTTCATCGTTGATGCGTGCTTTTGTTGGTCAACCACCATTGATTTGTCCTAGTTGTGAATCTATAGTCCCAAAGACAAGTTCTACTGATCAATTAGGACATTGTCGAACATGCATTAATGGCAATAGTAGACTGATGAATATTGGAGTTATTAAACTTGGTTGTGCAGTAGGTTCTTATTTGAAATTTGCTTGTTTATATGTGCATGTATGTAAGGTGAAACAACGAGTAATTTCCATCTCATTGTCAGTGTCCACCGACAAATCTATCGAAGATAGTTGCTTATCACATGGAGCAAGTTGTCATTCCGTATTGGTTGACTTCAAACTGCTAACTGATAGTTGTATAGCATCATGAGAATGGATAGTTGCTCTATCTTTCTTAGTTTGCGCATTGGTTCGATCCCCAATGATAAATATTCTCAAATCGATCAAAAATACTATAACTCAATCCGCTACATGTATAAGTATTGCGTTATGAGATACAGTTCTTATCTGATGACAGCTTATGATATTATCCACTTGGTAAGATCAAAATAAGTTGGCGGGGAGCTGGGTTCGAACTCAAAACTTATTACTTTACAGTTGAGTCAATATTCTCACAAATTATGCATACTTCTTAACATTAATATGATAATTGTCGTCAAATTTTCACCAATAGACTTTTGTCTAATCCCTAATTGAGTTTTATTTACATGATCCTATTAGTTGACGTGTGTGTATGTGTTTCCACGCGTTGGTTAATTCATTACCATCGGAATCATTGAGTAAATGGCTTGAATTCACTCACCTCTATTCTATTTCAATTTGATCAGTTTGGTGGTATGATAGCGAACAAGACTAATGTGAAGACTGATGATAAATTGCCTTCTACATTCGAATAGAATTTTCCTTCATTTTTTTTATCGCTTCACTACTTGTCCAGTGTGTTTCTTTCTGATATGGCTGATCTACTCCTCCAAAATCTCCTCTTGTTGTATGTGAACTCATTACTTTTCACACCTGAAGCGATGTTGATCATAGTCTGATGCACACTGATGCACATGGTTGCTCAGTTGTATCGTCATCTGAAGTGAATTCTGGTCATGATTCAGCTACGGGGATAAACAAAGTTGAAAGAAAAGTCAACTTTTCATGGGATATTGAAACCATCAACCTCTGTGTTAGCTGCACAACTATTTTGCTGACTGGTTTCTAACTACTCAAATTGTTTAATAGTAGTGTAGTGGGAGATAGTGATCAGAATGGATGTAAGTAGTACATGTTGGGAGGGCAACAAAAATCATAGCCAATTACCACCAATCAGTAAATATTATGTCAAGACAAACGCAAGAGACAATGTGAGCGTATCAAGAACAAATCAAGATAGGAGCAGAGGAGGAAATGAAGCGCATTCAAGCATACACAACACCTCTATCTATGGCTCTTACGACATCTAGTCGGAAAAACAGAACCCATATAACGTCGTTCAAAAGGTTTCCTTTTTCACCTCTCCAGACAGTTTCTTCACCAGTGTCTCAGTTTTCCGTATTCAAAGCATTTACTCTGTCTGTTGATATTCATTTGAAGTGCAGCCAACCCTCCTGAAGGTTAACGATTTGTTTTTGCCAGTTATTTACCTCTGGAGGCTCCACCACAGCTACTACTGTACCCATTAGTTGTCTGGTGACCTTGGCCAACCCACTAATATCCATAGGTTGGGCTGCGTTCACTAGTCGTAGCTGCTGAGCAATGACATTTGGGACACTTTCGATGAACTGTGCAGCTAGCAACTGCTCGTTGGAGTCTTCATCCAAAATGGGAAGTGCTCGTTGAAGTAGTTTACTCAACTTCAAAGCCAATATTAGCGGATCTTCGTCTATTCCAAGTTTCGTGCTCCGAACTGCTGCATCGACAGCTCCCAATCCGTTGGGCTGTCAAACTCCGCCTCCAGTCCAATCATTCTCTCCTAAATCTCCTTTGCATCTACGCGTTCCACGCCGTCACATATCGCTTTCGCTCTACCACTTAACAACATGCCAAGCACTACAACCTTCGCTCCTGGATCCCAGACACCCACCAGCTCTGTGATTGTCTCGAAGTCCTTGAGGAAGACTTCGATTTTTCCATCCTCGAACGGTGTAGGCCATGGGATCTTCACCACGTCTAGAAGCAGCAAAACCACTTGTAGGAAATAATAAAACTGAGACAAAGGAAGTAATTTTATTATTGACATCTTATACAGTGGTCATCAAATATTGCAAACCAACTTCCACTATAACAGTCATCTGAACAATGTGCTTCATTTCCTCCTCTGCTCCTATCTTGATTTGTTCTTGATACGCCACATTGTCCCTTGGGTTTCTCTTGGCAGTATCTTTACCCATTGGTGGTAATTGGCTATGATTTCTGCTGCCCTCTCAACATATATACTACTTATATCCATTCTGATTAACAGCACCCTACCGTAGTATTTTTCATTAGTTCATGACAATTTTGTGTTGAAGAACACACTATGTGATCTTGCCTTGCTAGTTAGTTGCCAGTGGAAACCCTTTTGACTGACACGATAGTTGGGCAGTTCCACAATGGTGGAATTTGTAAATCATTCGAAAAAATGATACAAGTAGTTATAGTTTACTTGCACCAGTCATTATGATCCTGCAATCTGTGTTTAAATGATCTAAAGTTGGATATGTACAAAAACGTTTGAATGGTTATATCCCTTTGATTCGGTTGGCAAATATGATTGATTCATCTAAATAAATGTCTAGTTAAGGGCTAATTAGTTGATCGCAATCGGCGGAAAGCCTTGGATCTAGTTTTCATGCTTGTTGGCATTCGTCAACACCGCATGTCTGCAGCATCGATGGAACTGATATCCCGCCGGAGATTCAAACCTGCATCATTCAGTGTTGTAGTCAGCGACTTAACCACTGAGCTACTCGGGCTACGATTGACCTTCTGTAGGACTAGGTTACATGTCTAGTAATCATATCCTTCAATGGTATATGTATCATAAGACTTTTCTATTTGCATTGTTAATGGCTTTGGTCAACTTGGATTTCATTGTTCAACTTCATCTAACTACTGTATACTATTCTTTAAATGGGATTATATTTTTAATCTGTAAATCTATTGTATGAAATGAATCTTTTAATTGAATGAGATATACTTAATTTTTTTTTCATCTAGATAAATTGTATACAATCTCATTTGAATCGACTAGAAACAGTATGCACTTATTGTACAATTCATCATGATATGAAATGTGATCCTATATGGTTGTGTAATAATCTCAATTGTCCAATCAGTAGTCAACGTTTACTTGGATCAGCTGATTTAGCACTTCTATGGACACATTATACTAAATGCTTAAATCATCAAATGGATACTGTTAGTTCATGGTAGAGAAATCTGAATAAACAATCAATCGATCTGATGATGATGATGATGATGATAATTGAAGGGGATTGATAACTGTAATGAAACTCTATAGAAATGAATAGTGAATATCTCCTTCCTTTTCTTGTTGTTCTTCTCTATTATAATTTTATATTGGATGATGATGAATTGGAGGTGAAATGAAAATTTGGACTATAGCCAGAAACTTGGTGGTTGCTGGTTTGAATCCGGCCGTGGTCTCACCTCCAGTTTACCAAACTACAACTATCTCAGATGGTCAAATGATATTATAATTTTGTATGTTTATTTCACTTACTTATTGATACTTCAAATGGACGCATTATTATTATGATTATTTCTTTGATTTCAATACAATTATTGTTGATATAACGATTATCTTCCTGTTCTTCGTCATGTTGTGTTGTAACGATGATTGTATGCAGCTTGGAAACCTTTTGCATATTTGTGTGCGTATGTGTCTGTGCTAATCTTATAGGCTATGGTTTATGTATATGGATCTACATTACTATCCGGTTATGCGAACCAAAGTAAGTGGAGTGCAGGTTCGAACTCATTACCCAATGATTAATTGTTGAATACGTGTGTTACGCGTAATTTTTTTTTCGATTCATAATAAAAAACTTTATTAATTGATCATATTTCACACTGACTAACTAGATAAACGTAGTTGTATTACAACCTGTGTGAATACCGCTCCATTTATGGCGCTGCGGCGATACCTGATTCCCGACTAAGGGACTGGTCTGCTGCGAATACTTGCGGCTTAATGAAGTGATTGAATAGATTGACCATTTCACTTACCTGAAAAGTTACATTAGCCCGAATGGTTTTGTTGCTGATGAAATCTGAGCTCCAATACAGAAGGGCCGTTTGACTTTTGACAACTTGCATCGTCTCTGGAGCCAACTGGTGAGATATCGCGCTATCTATCAAAGGATGAGTATACTGTGCTGCACTCCGTTCTGTGCTGTTATATGACTATGAGACATGACGGTTAAAAGTAAAAGACATGGAACGGTTACTTGCTTTTGATTACAGATGTATTCGTAGCGTTGCTTGGGTTTGTTGGAATTACTGTGTGAGCAGTGTTAAGGTTAGGGGAAAGGTACTAAGCAAGACAAGTAAGTTGATTGATATCATTGTGAAGGTAAGTCGACTAATATGACTTGGACATGTATTGTGCATGCCGAGCCACCTTGACGTGCCTTGCCATTGAAAGAGAAGTTGGATTAGGTGCCAGTTGATGAAGTCCCTGGTTATTAGCCTGGACCGTGTGGGCAGGTGTAGACTACCTGGTTTGGGTCGCCTAGACGAAAGTAGTCAGTGGTTGAGAACTCAACTCTCAGTGGGAACAACATCATTCACTGGAGGAGGGCAGGTACACCTAGTTGACGAGTCCCAAACAGACTTAAACACGCTAGCCATCACCACATTGTGACTATTTAGGCGCAATCGAGGGATCTGCATAGTAGCCCATCTGCTAACAGAAGTCGAGCAATTCGATCCAATTGTACTGGAGGTAATCGGGATGCATCGATTAGATCTCTACACTTCGACATATTTTGCAGCATAGGCATACTTACTGTTACCCGATACTTTCATGATTTGGAAGTAGTCTCTGACTGTGAAGAGAGTACCAAGCAAGTATATTGTGCTAGTCAAGGCTTGCCAGTGAAACTCATGAATCTTTGTAAAGGCATATGGAGAGTTGTCCTCTGAAGTAACGTCAATCAGTGATATCCACTGAAAATGTCCGTTGCCACC